AAAAGGGGAGAAGATGCTGAGAATATTCTTGAATGTTCCTGAGTTTTCTAGCTCCAGCCCAAATCTGTACATCTTTAAAATATGCCCCTCATTTTCTTCAGGGCTTCCAAAAGAACTGACATACCAGCCGATAGTCCCCAAAGATTAGAATTATACCATCTCTTCCTAAAGGAGGACACCATGAATGGAAAATGTGAAGCCTGGCAGGAAGCTGATGGCAGGTGGAGTGGAGAGACCCCGCTGAGGTCCTTTTCTGGCCCCTCCTGGCAAGCTGCCAGCCAAAGAACTTGGTACTCTTTATGTCACCCCCCTCCACTCCAATACACACACACACACAACCAGGTGGTGGAAGCCAGCATGCAGCCAGCCTCCGTGGGCTGGAGTTTGTTTCCACAGTTGACTGGATTAAGGAAAAAGCTGGACCAGGGGAGCTTTCCTGGGCTGAAGAAATGCCAGACGGTGAAGCTGGCCGAGCAGGTGGACACTAATCTCACTTTAACGGATTTCTTGAAGATGGCAAGCCTCACAATCCGAAAAGAACCAGGACAAACCAAACTGTGGCTCTCCTTTGTAGCCAGAGGGCAGAAGGAAGAGACAGATCTCTGGGTACAAGCCTCTTCCTCTCCCTGGGCCTGTTTATACACCTGTATGAGGCCTGGCACTTGGAGTTAGGTGTATCAGTTCTCTCAGGCCCCTATGACACCTCCAAACCAACTTAATGCTGTAAGTGTCTGATGAGAGAGCCCATTCCTGCCTTGGTGCTCTGGGACCTGAAACAAAAAGAAGCATGACCACCTCCATCACTGAAATGCCCCCAAAGCTGAAGTTTGCAGGTGGGAGGGCGGGGGAGAGGGCAAAGGAGGTGTGAAGCAGCAGGGCCTGACCCACCCACCTCTTGCTCCCTGGTGAAGATGCCCCAGGAGGCAAGGTCTGCCAGCCTGCATGCCCATGGGAACCAGGTGGCTGGCATCAGCACCGAGGCCTCATCCTTCACCCAAGTCGCTGCTGCTTCGAAGAAGTTCAGGGCTGAAGAGGCATTAAGAGCTTAATTATTCTCCCAGGGAGACAGCTGACCCAGAGAGCCTCCCCTAAGCCCTACACCTGGTCTCTGGAGGCAGAGGCTGAAATTGAAGTCTCTTCTTTCAGTGGAGAAAACAGAAGTTCTTCACCTTGTGCATATATCATATCCCAAGAGACTAAGTCTCTCTATCCCATTCAGGCAGGAAGGTGGACACATTTAGTTTAAAGGAGTATTTTCAAATAATTTTCAAGTTACCAAATCTCAAAATAAGGAAAAGGCTAGGTCTGGAATGAAAGAATGAGGGAGGAAGACAATGAGAATGAGAACATGACTAAGCCAGGGAGGGAAAGAACTGGACCGGCTCAGATTCCCAAGGCTGACACTGAAATTTCCTGGGAAGGATGCTGAGGATGGCCCAAGGGTCTGGAGTGGGGCTTGGGCCCAGATTGGAGATCAGGGCGGGTCCTTTCTGCACCTTCTCGCGAATGCCTGGGCGAGATGCAAGTCGAGGCCCTTCCTAGGGTCTCATCCCAAAGGGTGGTCCGGGTGAGGCCTCTGGGCTCTTTTGCCTCCCCCTCCCTCTCGCCTGCGGGGCTCCAGCTGGCCCTTATCCCCTCCTCACACACAGCAGTGCCACAGATGCCCCACAGTACTGCTAGAGCCCCACGCCGGCCAGGAATCTGTCCGAGCCTGTGGACATCCTCCTCTCTCGCCGCAGCGGGACTCGCAGGGGTCAGGAACCCCCCAACTGTTGCTGGGAGTCTAAGACGGCCCCGTTGGGGCTCAGCGTCCCCATCTATGAAGTGGGGACAGGTGTGTGTCTGTGGGGATCTAAGGAGTCCTGCCAGGCTGAGAGCCCTCGATCCTGCTGTTTGAATTCCAGGGTCGCGGCGGACAGCAGGGCTCTGCGGCCTCTGCACGGTGGCGCGTGGAGGTAAAGCGAAAAAGGGGACGCCCCGTGCCTCTTTTCCTTCCTGGAGAGGGGTTGGGGTGGTGCCTGGCGCCGAGGCGGTGCGCTCGGGGGCGGTGACGACCCTCCAGCGCCACCGCGTGGCTGGACTGGTCTTTGGCAACCGGCCCAGAAGAGACGTGAGGGAGCCGCAGCCTCCCCAGCTGCCACGAAACCAGAACATCGACGACCGCAAGTGTTTAGAAAGGGAGCAGCCACGAACGCCGGCGCTGGGCGAACTGGTGTAATATGAGTAAGAAAATGGCAGCTAACATTCATTGAGCGTTTATGACGAGCCCACTACTCGTCATTAAACTATAATAATAGACGCCTCTAATCCCAACACCTTGAGAGACCAAGGCGCGCGGATCAACTGAGGTCAGGAGTTTGAGACCAGCTTGGCCAACATGGTGAAACACTGTCTCTACTAAAAATACAGAACTGGCCAGGGGCGGTGGCTCACGCCTGTAATCTCAGCACTTTGGGAGGCCGAGGTGGGTGGATCACCTGAGGTCAGGAGTTTGAGACCAGCCTGGCCAACATGGTGAAACGCCGTCTCTACCAAAAATACAAAAATTAGCCAGGGATGGTGGCACACGCCTGTAATCCCAGCTACTCGGGAGGCTGAGGCAGGAGAATCGCTTGAACCCGGGAGGTGGAGGTTGCACTGAGCAGAGATCTCATCCAGCCCGGGCTGGAGTGCAATGGTGTGATCTCAGCTCCCCTCTGTCTCCTGGGTTCAAGTGATTCTCCTGCCTCAGCTTCCCAAGTAGCTGGGACTACAGGCACGTGCCACCATGCCCAACTAATTTTTGTAGTTTTAGTAGAGATGGGGTTTCACTATGTTGGCCAGGCTGGCCTCGAACTCCTGACCTCAAGCCATCCACCCACCTTGGCCTCCCAAAGTGCTGGGATTATAGGCGTAAGCCACCACACCTGGCCTAATTTTTGTATTTTTAGTAGAGACAGGGTTTCACCGTGTTGGCCAGGCTGGTCTTGAACCCCGGACCTCAGGTGATCTGCCTGCCTTGGCCTCCCAAAGTGTTAATATTACAGGCATGAGCCACTGTGCCCTGCCTGGAGTTTTATTATTACTCAAATCAGTCTCCAGAGCATTGGGGGAGCAGAGTTTTTAAGGATAACTTTGTGGGTAGGGGAAAGCCAATGAGCCAGGAGTGCTGCTGACTGGTTAGAGATGAAATCTTAGGGAGTCAGAGCTGTCTTCTTGGGCTGAGTCACTTCCTGGGTGGGGGCCACAAGATCAGATGAGGTAGTTTATCAATTTGAGTGGTGCCAGCTGATCCATCAAGTGCAGGGTCTGCAAAGCATCTCAAGCACTGATCTTAGGCGCAGTTTAGGGAGGGTCAGAATCTTGTAGCCTCCAGCTGCATGACTCCTAAGCCATAATTTCTAATCTTGTGGCTAATGTTAGTCCTACAAGGGCAATCTAGTCCCCAGGCAAGAAGGAGGTCTGCTTTGGGAAAGGGCTGTTACTGTCTTTGTTTAAACTATAAACTATATGTATAGGTTTCTCCAAAAGTTAGTTCAGCCTTTTCCAAGGAATGAATAAGGCCAGCTTGGAGGCTAGAAGCAAGATGGAGTCAGCTAAGTTGATCTCTTTCACTGTCTTAGTCATAATTTTGCAAAGGGGATTTCAAGCTGAGATGGCACCACTACACTCCAACCTGGGCAACAGAGCAAGACTCTGTTTCAAAAAAATAAAAATAAACTCATAATAATCTTTGAAGCAAGTACTACTATCAAATGTTAGTTCTATCTCACAGAGGAGGAAACAGGTTTAGAAAGTCCGAGCCACTCGTCCATGTCCGCCCTTGATGGAGACACTTGGAAACATGGGGGGAACATTCTAGTTTGCCATGAAGCTGAAATAATCCAGGCTTTAAAGACTCTCCATGCCCCAGTTTGTGGTTAACCCCTGCATCCCTGCTCCAGGGAGTGGCTTCCACCTCTCCATTTTGAAGGAGAATAATGTCCGTGGCCACCAAGGTCAGAAGCCAAAGGGCAGAACTTTTCTCGGATGCCCAGGAGCCTTGGCAGGAAGAGTGCTTGGAGAGTTGAGAGTCAGAGACTGGGGAAAGCTGGGTAGTCAGGAGCTTCTAGAATGGTAGGAAGAGTACCAGGTTGCTAAGGTAGAATGGTAGGAAGAGTACCAGGTTGCTAAGGTTCTCGGCCTTGCTCTGCTTCCAATAGGCTATGAGATCTTTTTTTTTTTTTTTTTTGAGACGGAGTTTCGCTCTCGTTACCCAGGCTGGAGTGCAGTGGCGCGATATCTCGGCTCACTGCAACTTCCACCTCCTGGGTTCAGGCAATTCTCCTGCCTTAGCCTCCTGAGTAGCTGGGACTACAGGCACGCGCCACCATACCCAGCTAATTTTTTTGTATTTTTAGAGAGTTGGGATTTCACCATGTTGACCAGGTTGGTCTCGATCTCTTGACCTCGTGATCCACCCGCCTCGGCCTCCCAAAGTGCTGGGATTACAGGCTTGAGCCACCATGCCCGCTAGGCTATGTGATCTTAAGCAAGTCCTTTCTCTTCTCTGGGCCTCAGTTTCCCTCAAAATGAGAGGATTCTTATAGAAGATCTGATCATCTCTTCCCTTTTCCCTATCTCCACTTATCTCTCCTACACAAAGTTCTCCCCACTGCCCCACCTAGCCTGGCTCTGACATTCCAAAAGCCTTGAACTGTTTGAAAGTCCCAGGTGGGATTTGCTGCCCAACCCTCAGGTTCCTTCTGAGCTCTGGGCCCTGGCTTTAGGTCCTAGTAGAATATGTCACCTTGACAGGTTGGAGAGATCAGAGGGGAGGAAGATTCAGTGCCTCTGAGACAGGCCTCAGGAAGGCCTGCATTGTGATGACCTCATCCACTCTATGACATCATCCTCGCTCCCACCCTCTCTTCTCCCTGGTCAACCACTCTACAAACAACCGTCAATCTGAATCCCAAAGGCCTGAGAATGTCTGTTCTCCAGTACCTGCTGCTGATCTGTTTCAGCCAACAAGAAACACCATGAAATTGGAATTCACTGAGAAAAACTACAACAGCTTCGTGCTGCAGAACCTGAATAGACAGAGGAAACGCAAAGAGTACTGGGACATGGCCCTGAGTGTGGACCACCACGTCTTCTTCGCACATCGCAACGTGCTGGCTGCTGTCTCCCCACTGGTGAGGAGCCTCATCTCCAGCAATGACATGAAGACCACTGATGAGCTCTTCATCACCATTGACTCCAGTTACCTGAGCCCGGTCACAGTGGACCAGCTCCTGGACTACTTCTATAGTGGCAAGGTGATGATCTCTGAGCAAAACGTGGAGGAGCTGCTTCGTGGGGCTCAGTATTTCAACGCACCACGCCTTCAAATTCACTGCAACAACTTCCTTATTAAGTCCATCTGCCGTGCCAACTGCTTGCGCTACCTCTTCTTGGCCGAGCTATTTGAGCTCAAAGAGGTATCAGACCTAGCTTACTCGGGCATTCGCGACAACTTCCACTATTGGGCCAGTCCTGAGGGCTCCATGCACTTCATGCGCTGTCCCCGTTATCTTCGGCCGCCTGCTCCGTGATGAAAACCTTCACGTGCTCAATGAGGACCAGGCTCTCAGCGCACTCATCAATTGGGTATATTTCCAGAAGGAGGAACGGGAGAAGTATTTCAAGAAGTTCTTCAATTACATCAATCTCAATGCTGTTTCCAACAAGACGCTGGTGTTTGCCAGTAACAAGCTGATGGGCATGGAGAACAACTCATCCCATGCCTCAACCCTGATTGAGAGTGTCCTGATGGACCGCAAGCAGGAGCGGCCATGCAGCCTGCTGGTCTACCAGCGGAAAGGGGCCCTGCTCGATTCAGTGGTCATCCTCGGTGGCCAGAAGGCCCACGGCCAGTTCAATGATGGAGTGTTTGCCTACATAATCCAGGAGAACCTGTGGATAAAGCTCTCCGACATGCCTTATCGGGCAGCAGCACTTAGTGCCACCTCTGCTGGTCGCTACATCTACATCTCTGGTGGCACCACTGAGCAGATTTCAGGGCTGAAGACGGCCTGGCGGTATGACATGGATGACAACTCCTGGACCAACTTGCCCGACCTGCCCATCGGTCTTGTCTTCCACACCATGGTGACCTGCCAGGGGACGGTGTACTCAGTGGGCGGGAGCATTGCCCCAAGGCGGTATGTCTCCAACATCTATCGCTATGATGAGCGGAAGGAAGTCTGGTGCCTGGCAGGGAAGATGAGCATCCCCATGGATGGCACGGCTGTGATCACGAAAGGTGACCGGCATCTGTACATTGTCACTGGACGGTGCTTGGTGAAAGGTTATATCTCCCGAGTTGGGGTAGTGGACTGCTTTGACACCAACACCGGGGATGTGGTCCAGTGTATCACTTTCCCCATTGAGTTCAACCACCGGCCCCTGCTCTCTTTCCAACAAGACAACATCCTCTGCGTGCACAGCCACCGGCAGAGCGTGGAAATCAATCTGCAGAAGGTAAAGGCCAGCAAGACGACCACCTCAGTGCCTCTCTTGCCCAACAACTGCCCCTTGGATGTGTCTCATGCTATATGCTCCATTGGAGACAACAAGGTGTTTGTATGTGGGGGTGTCACCACCGCCAGCGACGTCCAGACAAAGGACTACACCATCAATCCAAATGCCTTCTTGCTGGACCAAAAGACAGGCAAGTGGAAGACCCTGGCTCCCCCACCAGAGGCACTGGACTGTCCTGCCTGCTGCCTAGCCAAGCTACCTTGCAAGATTCTTCAAAGAATTTAAACAACATTTTAAGTGGGAGAATAAGTAAAATTATTATTCAGAATTTAATGAGAAAGAGAGGAAGATGGCCTGATGGTTTCTTCTTATTGTTCCAGTCCACACTTCATCCTGAAGGTGGAGATCCTGGGGTAGGGCTGCTCGCAATGGGTGGAAACTCAGGGCCACTGTGTCACTGCAGGTCTCTAACAGAGGCTGGAAAGGAACCCCTGGTGGTTGGGACAGGCCTCTCCCAGGCACTGGCCAAGGCAATGTCTGTCTCCTATTCTCTACCCCTGTGGTCATCTCTCAGGCATCTGCTAGATCAACAGGTAAACATCGCTCAGAGCTGTGAAGCATTGAGCTCCTCTAGTACCCACTTCCCTTGGGTCTTCCATGAAAGTTGGAGAGGACCTGTCCCAGGTCTGAGAGGGGAACCTCATGGCCAGGAGGGAGAAGGTGATCTAGGCAAGGCACAGAAAAGAGGGCAGAAGGAACAGGAGAGGCAAGGTGGCTTGGCTACTGTATTTGCCCATGCAGCTATGGTAGTTTGTGTCTCATTTGTGGGCAAGATGGAGGTTTCTTACAATTGTTTCTAGTAAGCCAGTTACATTGATAACTTTCTCCAGGAATATGAGTCTGAGAGACTGGGGATTAAAGAGAGGCCAGTAAAGGGAGAAGAAAGAAACATATATCCTGGCCAGGCACAGTGGCTCATGCTTGTAATCCCAGCACTTTGGAAGGCAGAGACAGCAGGATCACCTGAGCCTAGGAGTTTGAGACCAGCCTGGGCAATAAAGCGAGACCCCATTTCTAGTATAAAAAGCAGATCACGAGGTCAGGAGATCGAGACCATCATGGCTAACACAGTGAAACCCTGTCTCTACTAAAAATACAAAAAATTAGCCAGGCATGGTGGCACGCACCTGTAGTCTCAGCTACTCAGGAAGCTGAGGCAAGAGAATTGCTTAAACCCAAGAGGCAGAGGTTGCAGTGAGCTGAGATCACACCACTGCACTCCAGTCTGGGCGACAGAGTGAAACTCCATCTTGAAAATAAGAAGAAAGAAAGAAACGTGTATCCCTAGTGGAGAGAAGCTGTGGGATGAGGCGAGATGCCAGAATGCTGTAAGAGTTAGAGCTATGGGACCAGATGGCCTGGTTTGAATGAATAACCAGTTCCATCCCTTACTGGGTGATCCTGGGCAAGTTACTTAACATCTCAGTGTCTTCTTCCTCATCCGTAAAAGGAGGATAATAAGAGAGCCTACCTCATAGATTGGAATGTTAAATAACTTAATACATGAAAAATGCCTAGGACAGTCCCTGCATATATTAAAGTGCTACATAAGTACTTTTTTTTTTTTTTTTTTGAGATGAAGTCTCGCTCTGTCACCCAGGCTGGAGTGCAGTGGTGCAATCTTGGCTCACAGTAACCTCTGCCTCCTGGCTTCAAGTGATTCTCCTACCTCAGCCTCCCAAGTAGCTGGGATTACAGGCGTGCACCACCACACCTGGCTAATTTTTGTATTTTTAGTAGAGACGCAGTTTCACTATGTTGACCAGACTGGTCTTGAACTCCCGACCTTAGGCGATCCGCCCACCTCAGCCTCCCAAAGTGCTAGGATTACAGGCATGAGCCACCAGGCCTGGCCAATACCATTTGTTTTTTTTGAGACAGAGTCTTGCTCTGTCACCCAGGCTGGAGTACAGTGGCACGATCTCAGGTCACTGCAACCCCTGCCTCCCAGGTTCAAGCAACTCTTCTGCCTAAGCCACCCATATAGCTGGGACTACAGGTGCCCTCCATCATGCCCAGCTAATTTTTGTACTTTTCGTAGAGACTGGGTTTCCCCCTGTTGGCCAGTCTGGTCTCGAACTCCTGACCTCAGGTGATCTGCCTGTCTCAGCCTCCCAAAGTGTTGGGATTACAAGTGTGAGCCACTGCACCCAGCCTTATTTATTTATTTTTGAGGCAGAGTGTTGTTCTTGTCACCCAGGGTGGTGTGATCTTGGCTCAATGCAACCTCTACCTCTCAGGTTCAAGTGATTCTCCTGTCTCTACTTCCCAAATAGCAGGGACTACAGGTGAGCGCCATTGTACCTGGCCAATTTCTGTATTTTTAGTAGAGACGGGGTTTCATCATGTTGGCCAGGCTGGTCTCGAACTCCTGACCTCAGGTGATCAGCCCACCTCGGCCTTCCAAAGTGCTGGGATTATAGCTGTGAGCCACTGAGCCTGGCCTATTATTATTATTTTTTTTTTGAAACAGAGTCTCACTCTGTTGCCAGGCTCCAGGCTGGAGTGCAGTGGCACAGTCTCAGCTCACTGCAACCTCTGCCTCCCAGGTTCAAGCAATTCTCCTGCCTCAGCCTCCCGAGTAGCTGCCACCACACCCAGCTAATTTCAGTAGTTTAGTAGAGATGGGGTTTCACTGTATTGGCCAAAATACTCTCAATCTCTTGACCTCGTGATCTGCCCACCTCAGCCTCCCAAAGTGCTGGGATTACAGGCGTGAGCCACTGTGCCTGGTCTTAAATTTTTATTTTATTTTATTTTAGTCTTTTTCTTTGTGGAGAATGGTGTTTCACTATGTTGCCCAGGCAGGTCTCGAATTCCTGGCCTCAAGCTATCCTCATGCCTCTCTCTCCTTAATTGCTGGCATGAGCCACTGTGACTGGTTGTTATTTTTTATTATTTTATTTATTTTCTCCCTGCCATTAATGACAAAAATAAATAAATTGAGGGGCAGAGCAAGATGGCTGGATCGAGTGCTCCACCAGTTTTTCCCTCTGCAGGAAAACCAAGTTTGACAACTATACAAAGGGAGTACCTTTGTAGGAACCAAAAACCATGTGAGCACTCACAGTGCCTGGTTTTTACTTCGTATTACTGGAAGAGGCATTGAAGAGGGTAGGAAAGACAATCTTGAATTACCAATGCTGCCAGTATCGTCCGGCAGCCACATGGCAAGGAGAATCTATATATGAGCTTGGGGAGGGAGAGTACAGAGATTGTGAGGCTTTGCATTGAACTCCGTGCTGGCCCGTCACAGTAGAAAGCAGAACCAGGCTATACTCAGCTGCTGCCTAACACCAGAGGAAGCATTTGCACTGACCTGATCCAGAGGGGAATCACCCACTCAGTGGTTGGAGCTTGAGTTTGGGCAAGCCTCACCACGATGGGCTGGAGTGCTCTGGGGCCCTAAGTGAACTTAAAGGGCTGTCTAGGCCACAAGGATTACAATTCCTAGGCAAGTCCTGGTGGTGAGCTAGGCTCAGAGCCATTGGACTTGGGGGGCGCACAACCTACTGAGATACCAGCCCAGCTGGCTAACAGAGTGCTTGCATCACCCCTTCTCCAACCCCAGACAGGACAGCTCATAGCTACAAAAGAAACCTCTTCCTTCTGCTTGGGGAGAGGAGGGATGACTAAAAAAGATTCTGTCTTGCATCTTGGATACCAGCTCAGCCACGGTAGGATAGGGCACTAGTCGGAGTCAGAAAGCCTCCATTCTGGGCCCTACACATTTCTAGACACACCCTGGGCCAGAAGGGAACCTGCTGCCTTGAAGGGAAGAATCCAACCCAGGCAGGATCCATCACCTCCTGACTAAAGAGCCCTTGGGCCCTGAAAAACCAGCAGCAATGCCTTGAGTGAGACTCAGAGACTACTGGCTCCAGGTGAGACCTAGCACATTCCCACCTGTGGCGGCCTCAGGGAGAGATTCCTTCTTGAGAAAAGCAGAAGGAAAAGCAAAGGGGACTTTGCCTTGCATCTTAGGTACCAGCTCGGCCACAGAGGGGCTAGAGCACCAAGCAGGCTTTTAGGTTCCCCAATTCCAGATCTTGGCTCATAAATGTCATTTCTGGACCTAAACTGGGCCAGAGGGAGGCCACTGCCCTGAAAGGGGAGTTCCAGGCCTGGCAGCATTCACAACTGACTGAAGAGCACTTGGGGCCAGGTGCGGTGGCTCACACCTGTAATCCTAGCACTTTGGGAGCCCAAGGTGGGTGGATCTCTTGAGGTAAGGAGTTCAAGACCAGCCTGGGTAATATAATGAAACCCTGTCTCTACAAAAAATACAAAAATTAATTGAGTGTGGTGGCCTGTGCCTGTTATCCCAGCTACTTGGGAGGCTGAAGCCAGAAAATCGCTTGAACCGGGGAGGTGGAGGTTGCAGTGAGCAGACATGCCACTGCACTCCAGCCTGGGCAAAAGAGCGAGACTCTATCTCAATCAATCAATCAATCAATCAGAAGAAAAAAGAGCACTTGGGTCTTAATGAACATCAGTGGTAGCCTGGCAGTACTCCCTATGGGCTTGTGGTGGTGGCTATGGGGGTGAGGCTCCTCTGCTTAAGGAAAGGGGAGGGAAGAGTTGGAAGAACTGTGTGACATCTCAGGAGCAGTGCAATAGAACACGTCTCTGGACCTACCCGGGGCCTGGGGGAACTTACTGCCCTGCAGGGATGTTCACAAGCCTGACTGGTTTTACAACCTGATGATTAAAGAGCCCTAGGGCCTTGAACAAACATAGGCAGTAGCTTGGTAGTGGTTACAGAGGGCCTTGAGCAAGCCCCCGGGCTGTGCTGGCTTCAGGTCTGACCCAGAGCAGTCTCAGTGCTGGTGGCCAGAGGGGTGCCTGTGTCACTCCACCCCAGCTCCAGGTGGCTCAACATAGAGAGAGAGACTCCATATGTTTGGGGAAAGTAAGGGAAGAGACAAGAGCCCCTGCCTAGTAATCCAGAGAATTATTTCAGATCTTATCCAGGACCCCCAAGGTGGTATTTCTGAGTCTGCAAGAACCACAGTGTTACTGGTCGTAGGGTGCACCCTAATGCAGAAATGGCTCAGTTCACAACACCCAAGTCCTTTCAAATGCTTGTAAAGCCTTCCCAATGACGGGTACAAACAGCCCCAGCCTGCCAACACTACAATAAATGCCCAACTCTTCCATCTCCAAACACTGCCAAACATCCATAAGCATCAAGACCGTCCATGAAAACACACCTCATCAAACTAACATAAGGCACCAGGGACCAATCCTGGAGAAACAGAGACAGGTGACCTTTCAGGCTGAATTCGAAACAGCCGTTTTGAGGAAAATTAAAAAAAAACTCAAGATAACACAGAGATGGAATTCAGAATTCTATCAGATAAATTTAACAAAGAGACTGAAATAATTTGTTTTAATTATTCTTTTGTTTAAAAAGAACAATTTATTTTAATTATTTTTTTGAGATGGAGTTTTGCCCTTGTTGCCCAGGCTGGAGTACAGTGGCGCAATCTTGGCTCTTTGCAGCCTCTGCCTCCTCAGCTCAAGCAATTCTCCTGCCTCAGCCTCCCAAGTAGCTGGAATTACAGGCACCCACCACCACGCCCAGCTAATTTTTTGTATTTTTAGTAGAGATGGGGATTCGCCAGGTTGGCTAGGCTGGTGTCAAATTCCCGGCCTCGGGTGATCTGCCCACCTCGGCCTCCCAAAATGCTAGGATTACAGGAGTCAGCCACCTCGATCAGCCAAGTTTTAATTGTTCTTATAATTTATTTATATTTAAGTTACTCTTACTTTATAATTTCTTATTTTAAGAGCAGAAATTCTGAAGTTGAAAAGTGCAATTGACAACTGAAGAATGCATCAGAGTCTATTAATAGCAGAATTGATCAAGCAGAAGAATTAGTGAGCTTCAAGACAAGCTATGTGAAAATACAGTCAGAGGCCAGGCACGGTGGTTCATGCCTGTAATCCCAGCACTTTGGGAGGCTGCGGTGGGCAGATCACTTGAGGCCAAGAGTTTGAGACCAGCCTGGCCAACGTGGCAAACCCTGTCTCTACTAAAAATACAAACAAACAAAAAATTAGCCAGCCATGGTGGTGTATGTCTGTAGTCCCAGCTACTCAGGAAGCTGAAGCACGAGAATTGCTTCAACCAGGGAGGCAGAGTTTTCAGTGAGTCAAGATTGTCCCACTGCACTCCAGCCTGGATGAGAAAGTAAGACTGTCTCAAAAAAAGTTAAGAAAAGAGAAACAGTCAGAGAAGACAAAAAAAGGAATAAAAATGAAGCATGGCCTGGTGTGGTGGCTCATGCCTGTAATCCAGTACTTTGGGAGGCAGGCAGATCACTTGAGGTCAGCAATTTGAGACCAGCCTGGCCAACATGGTGAAACTTCATCTCTACTAAAACTACAAAAATTAGCCAGGTGTGGTGGTACATACCTGTAATCCCAGCTACTCAAGAGGCTGAGGCAGGAGAATTGCTTGAACCATTGTGCCTGGCCTAGATCAGGCAGAATTCTTTATGACAGAAACACAACTCAAAATTGTCTTAAGAGAAGAAAAATAGAATTTATTTGTTCACGAAGCCACAAAGTACAGAAGTAGATCTTTCACTTCAAGCACAGCTGAATCCAGGTCCTCAATGATGCCAATAGGTTGTCTTTCTCACTCTCTGCATTCCTTCATGTTGACTTCATTCTCAGACTGAATCTCTCCGCTTCATGGCAAGATGGCCACGGGAAGCTCAAAGTTTACACTTTGCCTGCTTGTCAGCTCCAGCAGAAAGAGTAGCTCTTTCCCTAAGATTCTAGTAACAGCCCTGGAATTGAGTCTCATGAGCCTGGCTTGACTCACTTGTCCACTCCCAAACCAATCATTTGGGTAGGGAATGGGATGTTCTAATTGGCCAGGCCTGGGTCACATGGGAGTGGTCCGCTCAATCCAAACCGCAAAACTGAAAATGAGGAAGAGTGGTTCCCCAAAGGAATGGTGGAGTGCTGTTATCAGAACAAAGGGAATTGGATGTAGGCAGGCAGAACCAATAGATGTCCACTACACTTCCACCCCTCAACCTAGTGCAAACTGATTTCCACTCATGGCATTCACTGACATCTTTCTCACCAAAGTGACCAGGAAACTTGAGGGCCAAGAGCATCTACTCAGCTCTCATTCTTCACTTTTCTGCTAGTCACTCTGTCCTTTTGCAAACTCTCCTTGACTTCTATCACCCAACTCTAATTGAACTCTCCAGTCTCTCTGACCCACCCCTCTACTTCGTTCACATGTCTCCATCCTCTAAGATTTAGACCTCAGTCTTTCCCTCTCTAGTCTCTATCTATGGTCCCATTCTCTCCTGTGTACACTTCTAGTTCCTGAACATCTTCTAAATCTTCTGTCTCCTGGCAGTCACCTGAGCTCCCCCAGAGCCCTCAAACTGATGGTTCTGGCCATTTCACAGATTCATGATTTATGACCTCATCCTTTCCCCTTGCCTTTTTCCCAGCCCTTACCTCTGGTCAGTTACCAAGTTAGTCACTTCCCTATTGGGACCCGATTTCCCATCAATGCTCCCCACTCAGCTCCATACCTCTGCCCTACCCAGACCTTCTCATGTCACTCCTGGCATCTCTGCCCACAGCCTCTGCCCCATCCATCTTGCACTCAGGGACCCAATTAACCTCCTAAGCAGCAGTTGATCAAAACACTGCTTTATCTGAAACCTTCCATGGTTCCTTATTGCCATTAAGACTCCTTAGCGGCCGGGCTTGGTGGCTCATGCCTGTAATCCCAGCACTCTGGGAGGCCGAGGTGGGTGGATCACGAGGTCAGGAGTTCAAGACCAGCCTGGCCAACATAGTGAAATCCTGTCTCTACTAAAAATACAAAAAATTAGCCGGATGTGGTGGCACATGCCTGTAATCCCAGCTACTTGGGAGACTGAGACAGGAGAATCGCTTGAACCCAGGAGGCGGAGGTTGCGGTGAGCTGAGAATGCCCCACTGTACTCCAGCCTGGGCAAGAAGAGCTCTGTCTCAAAAAAAAAAAAAGACTCCTTATCATGGACTGCTTTCAGGGCTCCAGAATCTGTCTCTGGATTTACCTTCAATTACTCATCTTGCTGAGTCCTTCAGACTCAAACTAATTTACTCACTGTCCCGAAAACATGCCAAACATTTTCCCACCTCTGAACTTCGACACAACACTAACATTAGATCCTCATTATTGACTCTTCTACATTTTACCCCTATTTCAAAACTGAGCTCCAAGCCACCTCTGTGAAGTCATCCCTAAATACATCAGCAAGTCCTCCAATTTTGAGTGTAAACATGTATACACTCTAAAGCAAGGGAATCACAGAAGAGCTTCTTCCAAAGTCAGGCATTTCCTGACTTTGGAACATGTATACACTCTAAGCAAGGGAATCACAGAAGAGCTTCTTCCAAAGTCAGGCATTTCCCCAGAAAGAATGCTGTTTGTCCTGGAGCTACTACTGTTGTGAGCAACTAAAAGTTGTCTTCCGGCTGGGTGTGGTGGCTCACGCCTGTAATCCCAGGATTTTGGGAGGCTGAGGTGGGTGCATCACCTGAGGCTGAGTTTAGACCAGCCTAACCAAAATACAGAAACCCCATCTCTACTAAAAATTAGCCAGGTGTGGTGGTGCATGCCTGTAATCCCAGCTACTCAGGAGGCTGAGGCCGGATAATCACTTGAACCTGGGAGGCAGAGGTTGCCAGGAGTGGAGATCACGCCATTGCACTCCAGCCTGGGCAACAAGAGTGAAATTGTCTCAAAAAACAAACAAGCAAAGAAAAAAATCCCCCCCCAAAAAAACAAGAACAGAGAGGGGGAAACAGAATCAAATGCAGACCCTAACATTTTAACTTTCTTAAATGTTTTTCTTCCATACTTTCCTATGGTTCAGACTTTAAATAACTTTAAAAGTAAATTATGCTTTAAATAAATACATATCCTTTTTTTATTTGCTTCATTTTTCCTTCATAATAACTATCCTTCCCTCCCTGTTTTTGTCATCAAAGATACGTGGTTTTTTTTGTTTTTGTTTTTTAAAAAACATTTTTTTCTGCCCTGCTGACTACCTCTGGAAGCTTCTTGTTGACCTCTGGTTGGTTTTTTGGTTTCTTTCTTTTTTTGGCTTTTCACTTTTTAGGGTGTTGGCAGTGGTGAAGGAGAAGGGTCCTTCTGGCGGCCTGTTCATAAGCACTCCTCAACATGAGCATGATTAACTGAAATCACTGTTATGCCTACGGTGTAGACAAAATTAGCCATGTAGCTATTAACATGTCCGTGATTAAAAAAAAAACACTGAACTTTCTTTTTCTTATTGTCCTAGTACCTTGGAAATCCCCAGGAGACAGGTGTTTCCTCTTGGTCACTGACTCCCTGGGTGACTGATGCCCCTCGAACAGCAGGGCCACTGTGTTTCCCTTTGAAGCAAGTGATCCTTAAGGAATTTTCCAGGTTAGTAATTTCTGTCTAGCTCTGAAAAGACGTAATGGCTGCAAAAGTGCTTCGTCAAAGAAGATAAGACATATTCAGTTTTAATAAAAATACTTATGGGGAGAAAAATTGGGAGTGGAATGAATCAATTACAGTAAATCTATGGGCTCCAAGGGAGCAAATAATCTAGGCTGGTTGACCGTTAAATATTTCAAAAAAAAATTTTTTTTTCCCAGAAAGCCAAGGCAAATTCAAATAGGATTAATTTTTTTTTTTAAGTTTTCAATCTTCTAATAATCCCGGGAGGGGGGGCAAGAGCAAGATTCTTGTCCCCGTTTTACAAATGAGGAAACTGAGGTTCAGAAAGCCTAAGTGGCATGCCTCTTCAGTAATCGGCCAATCGTCGTCGCCCTAACTTCACCTCACCTCCCCGTGCAGCACTAGGGTCCCCTCCGGGGTGGCAGTCTCGGGTCAGTCCAGCTTCCGCAGGCCGGGAAGTATTGCCCCCTCAGGCTGCACTTCCGCCTCCTGGGGGCCCGCGCGGCTCACCTCGCTCACCTCCCGCGCTACCCAAGTCACGAGTTTTCTTCGGGGGCCCGCCCCTCCACTTGCTGATTGGGTAGCTTCTGAACAATTACTGTCCTCTGATTGGTTGTTCTCTTTTCGGCTCTCCAACACTGCCTAGACCGACCGGATACACGGGTAGGGCTTCCGCTTCCCCCTTCTCCCTCCTCCCGCTTGTCCTCCTCAGCCAGTCGCCACCACAGCGGTGGCTGCCGGGCGTGGTGTCGGTGGGTTGGTTGGTTGTCTCTCACCGTTGGTGTCCGTTCCGTTGAATTGCCCGCCATGACTGAGCTGGATCCGTTCGGCGCCCCTGCCGGCGCCCCTGGCGGTCCCGCGCTGGGGAACGGAGTGGCCGGCGCCGGCGAGGAAGACCCGGCCGCGGCCTTCTTGGCGCAGCAGGAGAGCGAGATTGCGGGCATCGAGAACGACGAGGCCTTCGCCATCCTGGACGGCGGCGCCCCCGGGCCCCAGCCGCACGGCGAGCCGCCGGGAGGTCCGGGTAAGAATGCGGGCGCGTTTGGGGCGAGAAGACTTGTCTGGAAACTCGGCCCAAAGTGGGCCCGAGAGCTTCTGTGTGACCCGTGTTCCTTACTGAATTAGGAGGTTACGCAGCAGTGCAAAGAGGAAATGAGACCCTGGCCCAGTCATGCAGAAACCTAGGCTGGAGAAGCCTGTTCGGTTCTCAGTGTGAGTGCTTCTGGGCGCGGGTGGAGCGAGAAAGCAAGTATAGAGTGGCAGACGCCGGAGCCGGAAGAAGCCCGTTCATTTCAGCAACTTTTCATTAAGCACTTGCTGTGCCTTTAGTCCGGTCTCTAAATCAACCGCATTGGCGCAGTTTGTCCGGACTTTAAACAAGTCTGAGCCGAGCACGGAACTCCAGTTATTAGAAAAACAGGGCAGAAAAAAAATAAGAATGGAAATACCGTTTTTGAGAGATGCAAAAAAAGTAGCGTTGCAGTTCAACATTCAAGCTCTTCAGGTGAACATAATTTTGGATTACGAGAAGCGAGCATTGAGTAGGGAACTCAGGAAAGATGGTCTGGGTCTGGAGAAAGAAAGAACTGCCAAGCGGGGAAGGAGTTTACTATCGTTGAGCGATTGATTTACACCCAGGACTTCTGGAGCTCTTCCTCTGGGAACAGCTTTGGTAGGTAGTATTTATTGTCCAAGCAGAACCCAAGATTAGCCTAAACCAATCAGGGATGGATGAAGAGGTGAATAGAGAATGTTCTCAGCCAAACGCAAGTAAAAACGGGCAGGTAGGATGACAGTTTGACCTTTGGATGCCTTACCTGTGTGTGATGCTTAGGATCATGAGTGGAAAAGACCTATTTAATTACAGAGAAGTAGGAAATTTAGCCAGAAGAAATGAGATATGGCTTTTCATCCACTTAAAAAATTCCAACTAAGGGAGAATAGGGCACTACTGGGGCACTTAGGAGTAGTGTCCATACTACCCCAAATTCAAACCTTAAGGGGCTAGGTGGGTAACAGACACGAGAGAAGCTGGCTTGACATGAGACAGTAGAAGTGTTGGAGAAAAGGCATTTAGACCCAGCAGTCTCAAGTTACTATGCCAGCCAAGCAGAAACTTTTGAGGGATGTGGGGGGGGGGGGTGCTGCTAGTTTGCAGTCTCTGAGTTTTTGACGGCACCGTGTTGCTTCCTAAGTAAATCAGTCCCCCAATAAGAACTTAAGGGGAATATGTAATATGCCTGAATATGCAACTTATAGCAAGTAGTTGAGCTGAACTGGGCTGTGATTGCAAGAGGAAGTTGGCCTTAAGTGATTAGATTAGGAGATATTTTTTCATTGGGTGGTCTTTAACATTTGTCTGGGAATTTTAAAGTTGACTTCTTAGATCCTCTGTGCACCTTCCTCATTTAGTACAAGAGAAACTGAATCCTAGAGAGAAGTGACTTGCTTAAAAAAGCACGAGTTAATAGCTGAGCCCCAAGTCTACCCACTCTTAGAATGTACCACGTTCAGTTGCAGTGTTTAGTTGTTTCAGCAGGGGTGTGGTGTGATAAGAGGCATTTGTGGCTGTCCCACGTAGAACAGATTTCGAAGAAGCAGGACCCGAGATCTATAGTTGGAAGATTGTCCTGATTCAAGGACAGTGTTACTCTTACTGTTTGATCCCCACTACCTAGCAGTGTGTCTGGCATGTAGTAGATGCTCACGTTTGACAAAGAAATGGGCAGAAATGTCAGATCCAATGGTCCTATGTAGAACTGACAGATCTTGGTGACGGGCAGTTAGGAAAAGTAAAAGGGAGAGAACAGATTTGGATACTTAGGTCCTTTGTGTATCTAGGCTTCAGCAAAAGGAAGGAAAGAAATGGTTGCTGACTTAGCTCCTAGGAGGGACTTTCTCAGTGAACTAAGCATTTGTTGACTTAAAGCCAGATTCCTGACAGTGTAATTGAGGTTGGTAATGTGCAATGGTCAGCATTTCCTTTGGGGATTACAGAATTGGACACTTTTTCTCTCTTAGTTTTCTTTTTCCCTTTTTTTTTTTTGAAGATATGGTCTAGTGGTTAAGATTCTATGCTATCCTAAGCTGCTTGAGTGTGAGTTTCGCTTTGTGATTTCAGAAAATGCATGTAACTGCCACCAGTCTGGCCTCAGTTTTCTCCTTTGTAAAAGTTGCATAATACAATTTATAATGCTATGTGACATCTTTAGGATTACATTAAAAAGTGTCTATAAAGTGCTTACAGTTATATAGTAAGAATCCAGTGAATTCCAGCTACTGTTAGTGAGAGAAAGGTACAAGGCATTTAGGCTTTGAAGTGTACTGAAGAAATTTAGAGGTTTTAGGTGGGAGCTGTCTTTCTGATGTTATACAGAGATAAATAGACAGTCGCCTGTAACAGATTGATGAAAGGAAAATAAACCAGCCCTAGCCTTGTGGAAAACTCCCACGGAGGATGGGCACAGGCAAAAACCAGAGGGGTTAGGTCTGAGCTTTGGATGACTCCTTTGGTTGTTAAGAGATCCAGAGAAGACACAGTAGGTTTAGAGGCAGGAAGTAACCAGCTGGGGGAAGTTACTTGGGAGGGGGATATTGAGAAGAACAGGTGGTCATGAAGGAGGCAGCACAAGTGAAGCGGTTGAAAAGCTCAGTCATGAGGGCTGAGTGGGGGAAGAGAACAGGAGAGACAAGCCACAGAGAGAGTATGGCAGTGAGGCACTATTATGATTTGTTTTGAGACATAGTCTTGCTCTGTCGCCCAGGCTGGAGTGCAGTGGCGCTATCTCTGTTCACTGCAACCTCCACCTTCTGGGTTCAGGCAATTCTCCTGCCTCAGCCTTCTGAGTAGCTGGGATTACAGGTGTGCGCCACCATGTTCAGCTAATTTTTGTATCTTTACTAGAGACGGGGTTTTACCATGTTGGCTAGGCTGGTCTTGAATTCCTGACCTCAAGTGATCTGCCTGCCTCGGCATCCCAAAATATTAGGATTATAGGCGTGAGCCACTGCACCCTGCCTATTCATTTTGTTTTTGACAAGTTATTTCTTGTAGGAGAAAAAAGAGATGTAGATGAATTAAAGGGAAGCTTTCGGGAGAAGTAACTTTATTGGTAACAGTGGGGGAGGGAAGTTTAGGGAAATATCATGCATGATAGTTAATTATACTGCACATTTGCTGTGTACCAGGTACACTTTCAGATCCCGGCAATAACTCCATGGGTTAAGTGGTAGTGTCATATTTCAGATGAAAATGGGTATCTGTGGAAGTTCAGCAGTGTCCCTAAGGTAGCAAGGTAATAAATGGCTCAAGTGCAGCTTCAAACCTAGGTCTGCTTGACTTCAGATGTTTCTGGAATGTGGAAAGTTGAAGGTGGGTTTGGGACAGTCTTTCACTTTTGAAAACTTAATGTGGCCCTTTTTCTTTCTTTCTTTCTTTCTTTTTTTTTTTTTTTTTTGGTGCCGTGACTCCGGTGCGTGGCCCTTTTTCTGTCTGGAGTTCCTGAAAGGCCCTAGAAAGTTTCCTTCTGAAGCATCATGTGGCTTAGTTTGGTTGTCCTAGTAAGTCGGGATATCCTTTCTGCATGTTTCCCCTGCAACAGAGGATCCCTTGACATGAGCTAGTTGTTGATTCATGTAAGAATGTTATTGCAGTAGTACAGTAACTAATAAAGAGGAAAGCAGATGCCAGTGGGTCTGGAGGAGTCTTCAGACAGACAGTATGTGATTTTGAAGATGTGGGATGAGGATTACTTCTTGTTTTTTGTATGGAGTAGTGATCAAAGTCTCTTCTATTCCAGCCCAAGGCTGGACTATATTAGTAGATAGTTGGTATGTCAACTGTACTATATTAACCATAAGGTAGGCCTGGCCAGACTAGCCATTGTAGGATCTAGGATTTAAAACTATCTCACTCTTCTGTCTTACACAAAAATAAATTCCAGGTGGATTAAAAAGAGACATTTAAAAAGTAAAAGAAGAAAAGTGAATATTTGTCTATCTCATAGTAGGAAAGGCCTTCAGCATAAAGGCAGATACAGAAATCATAAAAAGTCTATCAGGTCTACATATACAAATTAAGTTAGTTGTTCTGAGGTTAAATATCATAAACCAAATCAAAAGAAACTAGGGAAAATATTTGACTATTAATATAGAGCAAATACTTAGAGATCAAAAAATAGCAGGAAAATAGACAAATTCAGAAAATTTGGTAAGAAAAACAAATGTCGGGTATGTGATTACATCACTGGAAATAAGATTGGCACAGCAAACCCCCATGAGTTTTTTCCATTATTAAATTAGCAAAAATTTTAAAACATGATTAAGTACAGTCCCTAGTATCAGTGAAGTTCTAAGAAATGGGATACTTGTGCGCTAGTAGTAATATAAACTGGTGGACTATTAGGGTCAAGTGAGTGGGGTTTTTTTTTTTGAGATAGAGTCTGGAGTGCACTGGCATGATCTCAGCTCACTGCAACTCCTGCCTCCTGGGTTCAGGTGATTCTCCTGCCTCATCCTCTGGCGTAGCTGGGATTACAGGCATGTGTCATCACACCCTGCTTATTTTTGTATTTTTAGTAGAGACAGGGTTTCGCCATGTTGGCCAGGCTAGTCTTGAATTCCTGACCTAAGATGATCCTCGTGGGTGGGGTTTTAGAAGTCTTTAAAATACATATCCTGGGCTGAGTTCCATGCCACTGCATTCCAGCCTGGGCAAAAGAGTGAAACTTCATCTCAAAAAATAAAATAAAATATGTATCCTGGCCAGGCGTGGATTACAGTCTGGTACCTGTATTCCCAGTGCTTTGGGAGGCTGAGGTGGGTGGATTATCTGATATCAAGAGTTTGAGACCATCCTGGCCAATGTGGTAAAGCTAAGTCTCTACTAAAACTACAAAAAAAGCCAGGCATGGTAGCTTACACTTATAGTCCCAGTTACTGAGGAGGCTGAGGCAGGAGAATCACTTGAACAACCCAAGATACAGAGGTTGCAGTGAGCCAAGATCGCAGCACTTCATTCCAGCCTGGGTGACAGAGAAAGACTCTGCATCAAAATAAATAAAGAAAATATATATCCTGTGATCCAGCAATTCTTTTTTTATTATTTATTTTTTCGAGATGGAGTTGCTCTGTGGCCCAGGCTGGAGTGCAGTGGCGCAATCTTGGCTCACTACAACCTCTGCCTGCTGGGTTCAAGCTATTTTCCTGCTTCAGCCTCCTCAGTAGCTGGGATTACAGGCTCATGCCACCACCCCGGCTAATTTTTGTTTTTTAAGTAAACAGGGTTTCACCATGTTGGCCAGGCAGGTCTGGAACTCCTCCTGACCTCAGGTGATCTGCCCACCTGAGCCTCCCAAAGTGCTGGGATTATAAGCATGAGCCACTGCACCTGGCTGTAACGCAGCAATTCTACACCAAGGAATTTATTACAGGGGTAATACATTTTACTACTTTAAGCTATGTGCCACCTACCTATATAATTTTTTAAGCATTCTATAGAGTTTTGGAAGTACGAAGTTTACCAAACTAATAAAAGTATGGGGGAAGCATATTCTGTTTCACCTCTGTAATAAATTCCTTGGTGTAGAGTTCCTGAGTTATGGCCGGGTGCAGTGGCTCATGACTGTAATCCCAGCACTTTGGGAGGCCCAGGCAGGTGGATCACTTGAGTCCAGGGATTTGAGAGCAGCCTGGGCAGCATGGCAAAACCCCCTCTCTACAAAAAATAGAAAAATGAGCCAGGCATGGTGGCACATGTCTGTAGTCCCAGCTCCTGGGGGAACTGAGGTGGGAGGATCGCTTGAGCCTAGAAGGTTGAGGCTACAGTAAGCTGTGACTGGGCCACTGTGCTCCAATCTGGGTGACAGAGCAAGACTGTCTCAAAAATGAAACTGCATGTCTCTGCTCACTTTGGGGTGACTTCAGGCTATAATTTTTTCCCCCCTTCTGCAGAACTTTCATAGAGAAACACTGTTCTCTGAGAGTCTTCTGCCAGTCTTCCATTTGTTACTACTGTAAACTAGAAAAACGAATCTTTTTTTTTTTTTAATAAAGACTGGGTTTCACCATGTTGGTCAGGCTGGTCTTGAACTCCTGACCTCAGGTGATCCGCCTGCCTTGGCCTCCAAAGTGCTTGGATTACAGGCGTGAGCCACCATGCCCGGCCTAGAAAACCGAATCTTAAAAGCTTTTGGACTTGGGAGCTTGAGGACAGATGTGTCCACATTTTGGTGAAATTCGTATATAAGCTCATCTTGGTTTTATTATATATAGCACCTACCACAGGGATAGCATTTACTAGTTCAGGTTTCATACAGCTTATAATACTCTCTTCTGCTGTACAACCCTTTGGTCCAATATTTGACCAGTCTTGATTGACAGACCAAAATCTTATGTCTTGCAGACGCTGTTGATGGAGTAATGAATGGCGAATACTACCAGGTACGGAGTACTCTGATTCTGTGCATTGATAGTGATTGAGTCTTACTTCCCCGGATTTTAGTTGACCTAGAAAGAAACCCTAGTCCTTTGACTTTCCTGGATGTGTGTGTTAGTGGCTGGTATGTTACCTGCCAAAGTGGAAGGATTTAAAGAGAGGTAGCATTGATAAAAAGAGAACTGTTTAAAAATGTTATTTACCTGGCCCTCATGTTAACACCGTATTTCTCAAGAAATCACCCTTCGCTGGGCGCGGTGGCTTACGCCTGTAGTCCCAGAACTTTTGAGAGGCCAAGGCAGGTGGATCACAAGGTCAAGAGATCAAGACCATCCTGGCCAACATAGTGAAACCCCGTCTCCACTAAAATACAAAAATTAGCTGGGCATGGTGGCATGCGCCTATAGTCCCAACTACTTGGGAGGCTGAGGCAGGAGAATTGCTTGAACCTGCGAGGCGGAGGTTGCAGTGAGCCTGGTGCCTAGCGACAGAGCGAGACTGTCTCAAAAAAAAAAAAAAAAGGAAATCACCCTTCAAATGACATTGTGTTAAGTGCAGTAAGTTAATACTAACACTTTAAATAATTCTCCTTCCATCTTTGTTTATAGTCTGGTTAGGTTAACCTGCTAATATTCCTTAGTTCAGTGAGTGGCATATGGAATAATTCTCTAAAGATTAACATTTGGGTTTTTTTGTTTTTTTTGAAACGGAGTCTCATTCTGTCGCCCCCGATGTAGTGCAGTGGTGCGATCTCGTCCCACTGCAACCTCCACTTCCTGGGTTCAAGCGATTCTTCTGCCTCAGCCTCCCAAGTAGCTGGAATTACAGGCGCTGGCCACCAGGCCTGGCTAATTTTTTGTATTTTTAGTAGAGATGGGGTTTCGTCATGTTGGCCAGGCTGGTCTTGAACTCCTAGACTCAAGGGATCCCCCTGCCTCAGCCTCCCAAAGTGCTGGGATTACAGGTGTGAGCCACCGTGCCTGGCCTATGTTGTTGTTGTATTTTGGTTGGGGGGATGGAGTCTCATTCTGTCGCCCAGACCGCAGTGCAGTGGTACAGTCTTGGCTCACTGCAACCTCTACCTCCTGGGTTCAAGCAATTCTCCTGCCTCAGCCTCCGGAGTAGCTAGGATTACAGGCACATGCCGCTACTGCCCAGTTAATTTTTGTATTTTTTGTAGAGATGGGTTTCACTATGTTGGCTAGGCTGACCTCACATGATCCACCCACCCAGACCTCTCAAAGTGCTGGAATTGCAGGAATGAGTCACTGTGCTTGGCCTATATTGTTGCTTTTAAGGTAGTTCTTTAACATTTTACAATAGCCACCATTGTTGTTAGAACCAAGGGTTCTAACTTGGATGAAGTACATTTCAGGAAGGAATTCTTGGTACTAATAGAGCACAATTGTGTTTTGTGTTAAGGAAAGTAATGGTCCAACAGACAGTTATGCAGCTATTTCACAAGTGGATCGATTGCAGTCAGAGCCTGAAAGTATCCGTAAATGGAGAGAAGAGCAAATGGAACGCTTGGAAGCTCTTGGTAAGGAATCCCTTTCTGCCTTTGGGTGTCTATTTTCAGTGGAGTAGTTGACCTACACTCTACTTTTATCCCTTTTTAGCTCAGATTAGCCAGTGTCCTTGTCTGGTCTTTGGGAAAGTTACAAGGCTACCTGCACAGAGATGCCTAATCACAGGCCATTCTGTGAGGAATAGGGTAGCCTGGAGAGCCCCAAGATCCTCTCACAGGAAGAGCATAGAGATGCTGTGATAAGAGCGCTGGAGTTGGAGTGAAAGACTAGATTCCAGTCTGAACTTACTAGCTTTGGGCACTTGATTCTCAAACTTTTCAGTCTTGTTTGTGTCATTATCTTTGAAGTAAAATGAGTGTTATTGACCTCAAGAGTAACCTCAGGTGGTGTTTATAGAGTGCTTTGTAAACTTGAAGGATTCAGGTTTCACATGTCCATGGACTTTTATGATCTATTTTTCATCTGAAAGCTGAATGAATTTAAGGTAACATGGGGAAAATCAGATATGTTAGGAAAAATGTACAATTTGTTTTTCCTACCTTAATATCTCTGTAAGGTAAGTTTTACAATTTTACAGGTGAAGAAAGTGGAGGAGAGGTAGAATAAGTATTTGGAATACTCAGCTAAGAAATGGTATGGGTCACAATTTCAGCTGGCATCTGCCTTGCTTCAAAGTCAGTGCCCATCTCCATAAGCCACATTGCTTTGTAAACATTTAATGTGCACAGCCATCTAGTCACACAGCCTGGCCTTTGATAAAGAGTTGTGTATATGGAGTGTCACCTGTTGGTTTGTGATCAGGGGAGACTTTTATCTATACATGATGGATTGGAGAAATATGCAGAGTATGAGGATATAATCCACAGTGTGGTCTTTTGTTTTTTCTTTTTTTAATCAGCTGATTTTAAGATTTATCTTTTCTCAACTTTACAGAAGAGGAAAATAAACGTGTACAACCCCAGATTCAGTAATTAGTATTTCACCATGTTGGGTTATCTTTACATAAATGATATGTTCTGTACATACACACACATACACAAATTGTTTTGGCTGATCTATAAGATAAAGACACCATATACTTCATGTCTAAATGTTTCAATGTACACCTCCTAGAAGTAATGACATTCTCCTTTGTAACCATAATGTCAGCAGTATTATCCCTCTTGATAACTGTTGAACTAGTGAAAACATGAGTCCTTATTTTTCAGATGGGATAACTGACACCCAGAAATAGGAAGGGACATGACTCAGATGACACAGCCAATTAGTGCCAAATCATTTATCTCTCTAGCCCAATTTAGGTGGCTTTCAGAACAAAGAGTACACTTAATATTTGAACCTTTACGGCTGGGCGCGGTGGCTCATGCCTGTAATCCCAGCAGTTTGGGAGGCTGAGGCAGGCAGATCACGAGGTCAAGAGATCGAGACCATCCTGGCCAACATGGTGAACCCCATCTCTACTAAAAATACAAAAATTAGCTAGGCGTGGTGGCATGCGCTTGTAGTCCCAGCTGCTCGGGAGGCTGAGGCAGGAGAATTGCTTGGGAAGTGGAGGTTGCAGTGAGCCAAGATTGCGCCACTGCACTCCAGCCTGGCGCCTGGCAACAGAGTGAGACTCTGTCTCAAAAAAAAAAAAAAATGTTTGAACCTTTATAGCACCATTCAGTAGTAATTTTTGAGGTGGAAATATTCTGTATTTCTGCTGTCTAGTATGGTAACCACTAAACCACATGTAACTGTTAAGTACTTGAAATGTGGCTTCACATTTCAAGTGTGACTTAGGAACTGAATTTTAAATTTTCTTTAATTTTAATAAATTTACATTGAAGTAACCACATGTAGCTAGTTATCTACCATATTGATATTGAACAGTGGAGCTGTAGGAAGATTGGACAGTGAAGCTGTAGGAAAATTGGTCCTGACAGCTTTGGTCCTTGCTTGTTCTTTGTGTTTCTTGAGTAGGCTTAAAGGCAAGATTTAGCTGGTCTTAGTACCACTGGAGTATTTTTCATGTTATAGAACCCAACTTTATCTTTTCTGTTTCCACAAGCTTTAGCAGTTTTTCTTCTCCATGGAGTGAGTATACTTTGGTGTCTGGAAAGATTTGATTTTTCAATTATGAAATTGGGTACTTGGAGAATATGCTTATGAGCCGTTTTCTTAATTCAGAGTGCTTTATTGAGAGAAGTAAAACATTTGGCCCCGCATTCCAATGGAATTGAATTCACTTGATTCATGAACAAGGTGTTCCTTCAGCTTCACCTTTTTTCCTAGCAAAAAACTGTGAGAAAGCACATGATGCTAAAAATAAGAGAACCAGTGCCATTGGTTTTCAGCCTAGCTGCTGGCTACATTCTCAAGTCATTTTCTTTTCTGTGACCAGTAATGAGGGTGGCCAGAAAGGTGTTCTCTAAGGATACTCTTCCTCTTCATCCTATGAAGGGAAGAATTCTAAATTAATATTGCAGTGGCACTAAAGCTGCAAAAGCCAGATTAATTTAAACGTACTGATTTATGCAGTAACCACTGTCTGTTCAGCAGGACACCATTTTTATTTAAATTAATTTTTCAGAGATATATTTTATATTTTAGTTCTAATGTATAGTAAATGTTAAATGATCATTAAAATACATTGAAAGAAAATACTGTCCAATCAAAAAGTAATTATTTGGAAGTAATTTCACCACAATTGAAAAGGGGGCCTTACATTTTAAATTAGGTATTGCCACATGGCACTTCTAGCCCACAGCTTCTCATTGCAGCATAGCATCTTCCATTCCACATACATACTTCATACCGTGGATAGACACATGTTAGAGGTTTATTGTAGAGTCTGGGCATGGTAGCTCATGTCTGTAATCCCAGTACTTTAGGAGACTGAGGTGGGAGGATCACGTGAGCTCAGGAGTTGAGGACCAGCTGGGGCACCATAGTGAGACCCCATTCCTAAAAAAAAAAAAAAAAAATAGCTGGGGGTGGTGGTGCACGCCTGTGGTCCCAGATTGAGGTGGGAGGATCACTTGAGCCTGGGAGATTGAGGCTGCAGTGAGCTGTGATAGCACCACCACACTACAGCCTGGGCTACAGAGTGAGACCCTGTCTCAAACAAAACAAATATATATATATACTGTATATACTTGAAAGTCATCAGTAAAAAATCTGAGAAAATGATTCTTCTTCTGAACGATAGATCACCTTCTGACAAATTAGATACCAAGATGAGCATTCTTTCTAACCTCAAACTTGGGGGAGTTTCTAGCTGCTATTAGGCTTTTCCTTAGAGTTACACACAGTTTTTTGCTGGTGTTACTATAAGACCTTTCTTGCAAAGGCCCTAAAAATTCCCTTAGTTTTTCATCCCTCCTAGTAGTTACTTGACGCCACTACTGCTTTCTACTCTCCTCCAAGACACTAATTACAGTTTGGGCTCTTGTGCTGTTCTTTTGAAATTCTGTTCAGATCACTGGTGGCTACTTTCTAGTCACATCTTATGATTTTTTCTAGTCTTGCCTCCCTTTCTGTCCCTCCCTTTGGAGGAAGCATAATGAGGTAAGCAAAGTGCAAGCTTTAGAGCCAGATCTGGATTTGAATCTTGGATCTGTCACTTACAATATCTTTTAGGAAGTTCACTCAAACTTCTTGAGCTTTAGTTTTTTTCACTGCTGAAAATGGGATCAGAGTTTGCCTTCTTGGGATTGTTGTAAAGATTGAGTGAGGTATCTATAAAACACCTGCCGGACAGACAGGATGTCCAGAAGAACTTGTTTAAAGTGAAGTATCAGGTTAACTCTAAGTGTCAGCTGTCTCAGTAGTTATGACATGTATTTCTTTTGGCAAGAATCTCACTTTGTTACCTAGGCCGAAGTGTAGTGGCACGATCTCAGCTCACTGCAAGGTCTGCCTCCCAGATTCAAGCAATTCTTCTGTGTCAGCCTCCTGAGTAGCTAGGATTACAGGCGTGTGCCACCACATCTAGTGGATGTTTTGTATTTTTAGTAGAGACAGGGTTTCACCATGTTGGCCAGGCTGGTCTTGAACTCATGACCTCAGATTATCCACCTGTCTCAGCCTCCCAAAGTGCTGGGATTATAGACATGAGCCACCATGACCAGCCAGTATGTGTTTCTTTATCTCCCACTATGTAATGATGTATGTCTCTTTGAGACAGAGTTTTGCTCTTGTTGCCCAGGCTGGAGTGCAATGGTGTGATCTGGGCTTACCACAACCTCTGCCTTCCAGGTTCAAGTGATTCTCCTGTCCCAGCCTCTTGAGTAGCTGGGATTTCAAGCACGTGCCACCACGCCCGGCTAATTTTTTGTATTTTTAGTAGAGATGGGGCTTCTCCATGCTGGTCAGGCTGGTCTTGAACTCCCAACCTCAGGTGATCCACCCACCTTGGCCTCCCAAAGTGCTAGGATTATAGGCGTGAGCCACTGTGCCCAGCCATCTACTGATGGATGCCTCTTCAGCTCAGTGTCTTAGGGAAAACTATATTTAGTCCTCAGAAACTTCATGTTTTATGTTTGAGAATCCAATCTAGGCAAACCCGCTAGGTGTGCGTTTTCTTGCTCTCATTTCTAGAACCTTTGGCTGTTAACAATGATCCCATACCTCTACCCTCTGCAGTTCTCTCCAGTGGAGTTTCTTTTGTAGCTCTACTCTGCCTCTGCCACAAATGCACTCTGTAGACTAAGAAGGAGTAAATGCTTTGTGGTCCTCTCCAGTGCTAATATTCTGTATTTTATCATTCTCTGGTTCCTCAATCATCTCTACTTTTGGTAATTGTCCTAATAGCTCCCTGCTTCACAAAAGTACTTTGACTATATTTAATTACGAGAGTGCCATCTTGTGCTCCAAAAAACCATTGTCAAACTTGGAATATGGACTACTTTGTGAGAAGAGTTAAAAGATTATCTAAGATGAATACCCTATTCTGAACTAATATTGGCAGCATTGGTAAAGAATCATCTATAATTGTTTTTTTCCCTGTTGGTGCCCAGAGGCTTTTCTTCCTGTTAATATTAAAAGTCAGTATTTCCACATACACCCTTCTTTTTCGCTCTGCCAAAAACAAGACAAAACACAACTAATGACCCACTAAGATGATAGTGGACTGGTATAAGACCAGGAATAGGATCCAGGAATAGGACTGTGGAAAAGATCAGAAAGGAATAGAAGCACTGAAATTAGAGTTGGTTGTGCAAATAGGAAAAATAGAAGTTTGTCTTCCCTCCCTTCTCCTGTCCCCCAATATGCACACAAATATGGACCTGCACCCACCATAAGTTCAATAAGCCTCAGTTGTATTGTCTTTCTCTTCTCTCCCTTCAAAGATGCAAGTTCTCGGAAGCAAGAAGCAGAGTGGAAAGAAAAAGCAATAAAGGAGCTAGAAGAGTGGTATGCGAGACAGGACGAGCAGCTACAGAAAACAAAAGCAAACAACAGGTCAGTCCATGGTGGTTGTAGAACACTTTGTTTTCCAAATTGAATCAAATCCATTCTCAGCATCCAGTCTAGGTTTTTGGCTTCTGCCTCCTTTAGTGTGAAATGTCTGCAGTTTTTGAAGAAAGTGCTTGAAACAGGTTGCAAGTCTCTTGGGTCTTTTGAGCATAACTTGCTCTATTGTGTAGCCATCCCAATTGTAGTGACCTTAGCTGCCTGAGAGTTTGGTTAATATGCATCACCTGTAATGGTGTGATTCAGCCAACGGAAAAGTTTCTTTTCATGGAAACCTGAAGTGAAAGGTGGGTTTCATGAGTGCACCCAGATTTGGTTACTTTGGATATGATTATAGACTTGGTCATATTGAGTCTCCTAAATACAGCCCTGCTCTCTGAAAGCCACTTCATGAAGAGGTCCATTGGCAGGAAAATGTGCTTTAATTAGGCAACCAGGGATGTTCCAGCGTAATTCCTTTAGAATTGAGGGTTCTGTGGGTACATATCGGTGCCTTAAAAAGTCTTGAATTGACTTCTTAAAAATGCTCTGTTCGAAATAGATTTTACTCGCTTATTGATGGTTAAGGAGTTGTGGGGAGAAAAATACTTTCATTCTTGTATCACTCCCCATCAGCAGCTGGGCTTTAATGTCCTACACTTAGAGCCCTTCTTGGAAACAACAGAGAGGGGCATATGTGGTGTTGCTTCCCTCAGGGCAGGCAGGTGGATTGTTTACTTTCCTAGGTTCAGAGCCCAGCTTTTACCAAATAGTCACTCCATTCACCTCAGTGTATAAATGGGCCGGGCCAGACCAGGCCTGGGGATATTTTTGATTTTTAGGGTAGAGCCTTAGGTTCCTATGCAGAGGCAGGAAGCAAGTTGGATTAAGTGTCCTTGTCTCTAGCAGCTCTGTTAGAGACCTGCCAGAAGAGAGAGCTAACAGCTTTGCCGGCCAGCGCCGTTGTGAGGCAACTATGATAGAGCAGTTGGACTCTGTTTTGTATGCTGGCAGCCCTTCAGCTCATTGGATTCCAGCTTGACCGTGTCCTGGCCACCTTCCTCTGGGGATGGCATGCTCAAGGAGTGCCTGTCAGGTTCCATGTGGAGATCTGTGGGACTGCTCTCTGGTGTGCAGGGACTGTTCTCTGGTGTGCAGGCTGGGTTGCCAGTGGTGGTGGCTTCCATCAGCTACATGGGGCTGCTGTTGAGCCTGTGGTCAGTAAGAGGTGCTGACGGGTCTAGGTTCTTGTGTCCTCTGCTCCCTCAAGATGATTTTCTTCCTGGCGTTAAGTTCAGATTGGTAAAGCCAGGTGAGAACTGTGTGCAAGCACTGTGCAAGCCCTGGGAGCTCCTCCAGCCAGTGGTCCTGGCACTGGAGTTGACTTTGAAGTACTACAGCCATGCTGACCCTCCCTGCATAGGGTCTCTGATGCTTTAGGAACTTGGCACACACATTTTCAAACTTAGATAATGATTATGTTGGTAATAACCTTTCTGTTGGAGAGATTTTTTTAAGTCAGTTTTGCTGAACTGTCAAGAAAAAGATACTCTCTATACAGAATCTGTTCTCAGAGGGAGTAATGACACCTGTTTTTAGGAGCTCAGTCTTAAAAGTTTAGTCCCTCCAGGCACTGAGTTTGGGCCTTAGTACCTTTCTTTACTTGGAACTGTAGAGTGTTGGGTAAGCTGGTTTCATAGGTGAACCTCTCAAGTTCCAGAGAGAAGAAGGGACTTCCCCAGTACTCACGGAGAATGTAGAGCTGTTTAGGAAGCAGGTCACGTGCCTTATGAGAACCTTGCAGCACAGGGCTGACCCTGAGAGCATAAAGCTAGTGACACACCTGCCACTGTCACCAGGGCTCTAGGACAGAGGGATGGTTTTTACACTTTATTCCAGTGATTCTTGACTGGTTGGAGGTGGGAGCCATATGAGAGTCACTTTGGGGGACTTCTTCCAAGAGTCTACACCCTCTCCTGGAGATTTTTATATTGCTGATTATTCTCCTTCCCCATCCATGTTTGATTCTCAGCTTTAGAGTTCAAAGGAATAGGTCCCATTTAGACATATAAAGTGATTCGTCCTTGTTATCTGTCTATGGGTAAAGAGTGAATATTTTTAGAAAAGAAAGTGGGGGCCTGACCCAGTGGCTCACACCTGTAATCCCAGCATGTTGGGAGGCCTAGGTGGGTGGATCACTTGAGGTCAGGAGTTCGAGACCAGCCTGGCCAACATGCTGAAACCCCGTCTCTACTAAAAATACAAAAAATCAGCCAGGCATGGTGGCAAGTTCCTGTAATCCCAGCTACTTGGGAGGTTGAGACAGGAGAATCACTAGAACCCGGAAAGTAGAGGTTGCATTGAGCTGAGATTGTGCCACTATACTCCAGGCTGGGCGACAGCGAGACTCAGTCTCAAAAATGAAAAGAAAAGAAAATGGGGTGCTCATTTCAAGCAAGTATCATTCTCTGTGGGTGACTCTTGCAGTAGCTGGATGTTAAGGGGACCTGAGAGAGAAGGCAGAAAGATGAGAAGTTTGAAAGAGGAAACTCGGGGACAGGAAGGGCATCCAGTTATTGTGAGAGCATCCTTAGGCCTCCTGCCTGCTAGCTGCCTCATCACTTGGTCACCAAAGCACTAGGAGTACATCGTGCCTGGCACTACGCTGGGGATGGGTGTGCGGCAGGCGGACGTGATTCTTGCCCTGCATAGTCTGTAGTCTATTGTCAGTCTCCAGACTGCACCTCCCTCCTTTTATTCCAAGTTGGGGCCTAAATGTCACTGCACAAGAGCTGTGAATTACTCAGTGACAGCCATGGAAAAGAGTTTCCTTTTCATAGGAGCCAGCCAGAGCAGTGACCGACTCCTGCAGTTGGATGAGTTTGCTCATCAAGAACAACCCTAGAACATTTCCCTATTACAGGTAGCACTTGTGCTTGTCAGCTCTTTCAAGGCTTAGGAAGGTTTGGGGAACCCACAGTTCTCAGAGATGGCAAACATTTTTTTCTATGCCCACTTTGAGGCTGTTTATGGAATGAAGTTCTGCATTGTCTTCATGCCTCCAGAGCTTGTCATGGGTTAGGCGTTCCTCTTCCCTCCCATCTCCTGAGCCTACCTGAGCCTCTTCTACCTTGGCTGAGGATTGCTACTTTCAGGTCCCCCATCTGCTGGGTGGAGAATAAACAAGCGGAGGGCCACGGTGTTTGTGTATGATTTTCTGTTCTGAGCCTGCAACCTTGACAGGGGATGTGCTTGTCACTGAGGAGGTCTTTGGTCTTGGGCTAGCTGCAAAGGAGCAAGAGCCTGACATTCAAACTTTTGTTGTCTTAGTGGTGCTTTGACAGGAGTCATGAAACCTCTGTTTCTTCTAGTGGAGGGAAACCCAAGTTGAAATCGATCAGGTTTAGCCCTCTGTGTAAACTGAAAGGATTGTGGGTTTACAAGCCAGCAAGCCTTGCCTTTTCCTCCCATTCATTCTGCCCACAAACAACTCTGTTTTCCTACTGAGTCACTTTAAGTTACAATCAGCCTGCTTTTTTTCTTTCTTTACATTCCCACAAAACACTACCTGTGTATAAGCCAAAATGGGAAAGAAGGAAGGGCATGTGTGAGCTTAAAACTTAACTGAAATTAAAATTACTAGAATTTACTTTCAAATAAATATGTGAGCTTAGTTTAATGACTAGACATGATTATCCTTGAAAAATGTCTTTCCCCTTGCCCACCCCAAGCCATCTTGACAAAAGACAGGGTAAGACTCCATAAGGGAGCTTCCCTACCCAGCCGCAGTGGACAAGAGTGGGCTGGCTGATCCCGGGAGTCATTCCAGGGCAACAGAGAGTCAAAGCCAGCCTGGCCTCTGCTGTGAAGATTTCTCCACCCAGTCTGCCCCTCCTTCCTGTCTGAGAGCCCTGCCATGCTGAGAGTTAAGAAGGGATGAAGTTCTAGAATCTGGGCTACACCTTGTCAAAGCCAATTGAATCTGGTGTAGAAATATTCAGAAACTGTACTAGCTTCTTGAGCAGAGAGCCATACTCAGGAACAACAGAAGCCAGGGCCAGAGTCCAGTGTTCTTCCTACCAGACCTCACCTCCAGCTGCTTTTTTTCTGTAAGGTTGAGATTTTGAAATGACCATATGTGTTTTCAGGATTCTGAAAATGTATCACACCCAGCCAATATGGGGAAACAGTAGTTGGATAATCCAAGGTAAGACTGGCTTTGGATCCTAACGCATCTGGTGTCTGGCAGGATTCCTGCCCGGTGATATTTACGGAGACAGGCAGGAAGGTGGCATGGCTTTCTGGGCACACACAGGCAGGGAAGAAGCATGACTATACAGTAGAAAGAACCCTGGATTTAGGGCCAGGCTGCCTTAGTTGTGAGCCCTGAATGCTGCCACTGTGGTATAGCCAAGCAAGTTGTTTCATCTCTAAGCCTCAGTTACCTCATCTATACAGCAGGGATGAGAACAATGTCATAGGTTGTTATAGTTAAGGGCTGAATCAATATAATGTATGTGAAAGGGCTTAGTCCATGATTAGGTGCTTAATAAATGCCCATTGCTGCTGGGGTAAGCCAAAGGGATGAAGTTGGCAGTGCTCATTCCATCGTGGAGAAATCCCCATGTGGGAAGGCCAGTGGAAAACCAGGTCTGCTGAAGTCTCCAGCGCTGGAAGCCTCACGGGGGTTAGGAAGGAGCCCTGAGAGCAGCTCCTCAGAGCACAGTTGCACCTCGATTGTGGATTTTAGATGTTTCTGCTTCTCAATGTTCTCTCTTTTTTCCTGCCTGCTTGCCTGCCTTTTGGACCTCTTGCTGTCTAGGGTGGCAGATGAAGCTTTCTACAAACAACCCTTCGCTGACGTGATTGGTTATGTGTATGTTGCAAAACTAATTCCTTTTTCTTGTGATTCTTTCTACTTTTTGTTTAGAGTTAATGCTCCTTTTACGTGACAAGTTGCTTTGCTTTTTAAATTACTTCAAATTGGCACTTTGGGGGCGACCTAAGAATTGATAAGCGGGGTATGATCCATTGATGAATCTTCCAGAATTGTGACTCCCTGTATCCTCTGATGGCTATTTTTCATATTTGGGATTTTGGAGGGAAGAAAGCTAACTCCCTTTCAAAATGTGTCATTTGTGATTTTATCTGGGAAAGGTTTGATGCTGGGGGGATCTCTGCCCTCTTGCTCTTGCTGCCATTACTCTGCTATGCCCTGTTGTCTGCCTGCCCCAGTGGGAAGGAAGGAGGTCTCCCCACCTGGGAACAGGTGACAGTCCCAGGAGGTTAGGAGCCAGTGAGCAGCAGCACCTTGCATTGTCAAAGTCAGAGCTGTGGGGCAGCATTTTCCATACTTGGTTCATTCAAACAATGTGGGGTCTTTTGCCTCTCCCTCAGGCAGAAGAGTCCAGAGCAGAGGGGGTTGTCTCCAGTGGGTGTCTATAATTGTTCCTCTGTGGTCTTGCATGTCAGAAATTGCTATCTAGTGGTCAGCTTCTGATGCCCTGTCTCCTAGCACAGGGAAGCCCCCAGCTTTGAGATCAGGATAGTTAAAATGTCTGATACGGGCCACTTGGGCTTCTCCCCCAGCCCCATCTAAAAGAAACCTGCATCTTCTCTGGAGAAGCTGTTTTTTTTTTGTTTGTTTGTTAAGGATTCCTGTTATCAAAGCAATTTTGCTGAAGAGTTGGAAACAGTTCTCATTGTCTCCTCCGTAAAAATTAGGGTTGGCTTTATAAGGAAAGTAAGGGTGGAATGGAAGAGGAGAGGAACCTGTTGAAAGTGGGCCATGAGCTGAGGCCCATAGAGCCTCCCAGGGCCTATGACCTTGAGATGTTCATCCCCTTAGAAGACAGAACTGGGTTTCCTGGGCCCCCAGATGCATTTGCAGTGAGACTTGTGAAATGCTGGACTTACAGGTGGTGTTTGATTTGATTTCTGCACATTCTCTCTGGAGTAGAAATGGAGACTGGAAAGGTCGAGTCTGGTTTTGCTGGGCAGCTGGGTGGCCAGCAAAGCCAGCTGCACGTCCCCAAGCACAGATAGAGTGGCAAGGGCATGTCCAGCTTACTGACCATCTGCATTGAGCTCATTCTCATTTTCTATATCTGACCTAAAGTTTCTCTTGTTTCTTTTCTTCTCTTCACCTTTAAGCACAAACATAAACCATCCTTGCTACAGCCTAGAACAGTTAAGTAAACCTTTCTCACTGCCCCAACTGTGTGTGCCATGAAGTCGCAGTGTTGTAGTGGCTCTGGGCTTCAGCAGTGTTTGCCACGGCCATCCCTGTGATAGTACCACCCTTCTGTCCCCCCAGACCAGTCATCTCCATTGCTTTTGCTTTGCCCGTGATGCTTGTTGGAGTAGATGAATATAGTGTGTCTTACCGCTGTCCTTTCCGGCTGTAGCTCCCACCAGTTAATTCCGAACTGGGGGTGGGCTGACCTTGATGTGAAAGAATGTTGCGGCAGCATCCTGCCAAAAAGCAGCTCACGTTGGCTCTCCTGCCAGTGTGCCCTGAGTGGCCCCAAGGCACCCGGCTGGAGGGAAAATGGCAAACTTTTGGCTGAACTGGAGAATGTCCTAACAAACCCCCTTCCAGAATGGCTTTAGTCTCTAGTGCCTGCTAGCATGGGAGCTTTGTCTTGAATTCCTTTTGATCTGCCCTGTTTCTCTCCAGCGTTAGGAATAAATCTAGAGGCTATTGTGCAATGATCTATGGGCTTTTTAGAAGTCTCCAAATTTCCTTGAAATTCCCGTACAGCCCAGCGTAAAGTACTGAAGTTCTTGACCGGCCTGCTGCTTTGTTCTTGTTAATAAAAGCAGTGTGTAGCTGGCTAAGGACTTTTTATTAATGCTCCATAGGAGCAGAAACAGCCAGACAGATACATAGTGAGCCCTGAACCAAACACCTGTATTCCAACATTTTACAGCACCCTGTGCCTAGGAGAGCCAGCCATGTGCCTACCCGAGTCTGACCTGGGCCAGGGGCCATTATCTTGGGAAAGCCAGAATGCCATTAAGAAAGGGACAAATAGGCAGTTGCTTGTGTAGCAAGGCAGCCACCAGGTTGTTCAAAGGGAGTTCTACATAAACCAACATATTTTGTTGTTGCTTCCAGGGCAGCAGAAGAAGCCTTTGTAAATGACATTGACGAGTCGTCCCCAGGCACTGAGTGGGAACGGGTGGCCCGGCTGTGTGACTTTAACCCCAAGTCCAGCAAGCAGGCCAAAGATGTCTCCCGCATGCGCTCAGTGCTCATCTCCCTCAAGCAGGCCCCGCTGGTGCACTGAAGAGCCACCCTGTGGAAACACTACATCTGCAATATCTTAATCCTTCTCAGTGAAGCTCTTCACAGTCATTGGATTAATTATGTTGAGTTCTTTTGGACCAAACCTTTTTGTCTTTAGAATTGATCATTGTTTGTGATTGCATGTTTTCTTCAACTGTGTTCTCCCCGGCATTCAGAGAGGAGGGGGAGGAGGAAGAGAAAGGGAGGGAAGCCTCCCAACAGTAGCCTCAACCTGTGCTTTTGTGCATTATTCTGAGAATAAATTTCTGTTTCAAACTGTATTATGTGAAGCTTCTTTATTGTTCTCAAGATGTGTTGCAGTTTGGAGTGAGGCTGGAAGGGTTGAGGAATTTCCTTTTTATCATTTCTAGCACTGAGGAAGCACAGCCACTGGGCACACAGCCCTGCCTTGAACTGAGATTGCTCCGGCATCTAGAGTGGGATCCTGTGGACATTTTGAGAATGGAGTTGCGTGGCTAAAGGTTAACCCCCTCTTTATCTGGCTAAGACACAGCTGTGAATCCTTTCACCAACCTAGACATTTTCTCCCAGATGGGCTCTTGCTTGCTAGTGTCCCTCAGTTTAGGGTCTTGGATACTATATTTCAGCAGGAGTCTGTCTGGGGCACATAGACTCTAGTAAGACCTTGACTCCTTTGGATCTGGCCAGTAATGGCCAGTAAGCCTGAGTGAGGACGGCATTCATGTGTGGCAAGTCCCATTACTGTTGAGTCCCGTAGGACATGTTGGGTTCTGTGCCATCCCAAGTGCTTGGTTCTTATTTCTCTTGTAAAATCCTTCATCTAGACCTGTGCTGTTCAGTGCAGTATTCACCAGGCACTGTAGCTATTTAAATGAATTAAAAATACATTTCTGGTCCTACTCACAATTCATGTGCTCAGTAGTCGCATTGATAACACAGATTATAGAACATGTCCATGGTCACAGAAAGCTGCTTTGGACCATGCTGATCTATACCACAGGTGTTTCCAGGAGCCCATGCTTTGTTCAGACACCAGTAAATTCATTATCTGCTTTCAGAACCTGGCATAGTACCTGGCTTATTTTGGGTGATGTTCCAAGCAATTAGTAAATCCGTATTTCAGTAATCTGCTTTTAACTACCTGGTATTTCCAGACCGGAGATTGAGGTAAACTGTAATGCCATGCTCAGGATGGGGGTTAGGTGTTGTCATTGCCAAGAAGGAAAGGCCACTATCTCCTCAATGTTAACTACTTTTGGTTGGAAGGAGCTTCCATTACCTTTGCTGCCCCCTCTCCGCTTTCCAAGCTTCTTAGTTGAGCTTTCCTTGACCTGGCCCACATTTCTGGCCTCTGCTTATTCCTCCTCCTCCAGTCAAATCTGATTACAATCAAGCAATCACTGTTCGCAGGCTTTCGTTCCTACTGGGAACTGCTAATGCCATTCCAAATGTCAGAATCCAATTTTAAGAACTAGTTCAAAGGCCACTCCCCTTCCCCTGAACTCCCATAGCCGTCTACCTGGGGCAGCTTACTTTTTGGTAGTCTTGTTGCCATCGTCTGGACTAGTCTTGCCTCCCACACCAGATGGGTTTCTTGAGGTGGGAAGTGGCAATTTTAAATGTCAGCAAAATCTGTGACATTTTTCAGATGGAGAATGTGATGGACAAAAGTGATGTTGGGATGACTTCCAAGGCTAGGTCATAAAAGGCAGTGCTGCTTACGGCTGGTTTTTTGGTGGCCCTGAGCCACCACGTAAAAAACTACCACTGTGAAGCTAGCTACCCATGTGGTGAGGAAGCCCAAACTAGCTCACACAGAGAGGCCACCTGAGAGACCCTGTAAGCACTGCAGTGGGAGATGCCTGGCCAGCCAGCCTCCTGCTGTTCCAGCTGACAACTACAAGTACAGGACACGGCTACAACTGTCAAGTCTGAGCCTTTCCCAAACATGACCCACAGAAACTGACATGAAACAATTATGTTGTTTTAAGCTCTTCAGTTTTGAGGTTGTTAAACAGCAATAGTAACTTGGGATTGTTTCTAATGCCTGTATGAGACCCACATGGAGCCTTATAAAAGGAGAGAGAGGATCCAGGGACTCAGTGCTCAACACTTAGTTTCGAACCTCTTTCTTGGTGCTACTTTGCTCTTTAAGCCAAATTTTAAATGTTATGTATAATAATGTTTTGTATTTGTTGTTTTTGAGACTGTCTCATTCTGTTACCCAGGCTGGAGTTGCAATGGGATGATCATGGCTTACCGCAGCCTTGACTTCCTGGGCTCAGGTGATCCTCCCACCTCAGCCTCCTGAGTAGCTGGGACTAGAGGCACTTGCCACCACACCTGGCTAATTGTTTTGTACTATTTTTTAGAGACAGGATTTTGGCATGTTGCCCAGGCTGATCTCAAACTCCAGGGCTAAAGCAATCCTTCTGCCTCAGCCTCCCAAAGTGCTAAGCTTGGAAAGCATGCCCAGCTTTGCTTTCTATTAATAGACTTTTTTTTTTTGGTTAAGAAAGCAAAGATATTAGATGCCTTAAGGAAGTTATATAACCTTTAAAATGTAAGCAGTGCAACAACTTTAAATCTCTTCTGGAAAGGAAAATGCTTTTGGCGAGTCACGAACAAAACACAAGATTTCAACAAGGAAATGTGTTTATTTTTTCTTTAGAATTTGGCTCAGAACAGTAACAAAAATATTTACATCAAAATAAATTAACATGAAGTTACTTAACCATATGTAATAATTTATGTTGGAATATATTAGCCTTTCCATGAATTTAATAAAAACTTGGTATTTGGTTTTAGATTAAATACCATTCTTTCAAATATTTGGTAGGAAACTTGGTAGCAATGCAATTGTCTAATGTACAGAACAGATTTCACCAAAAGAGATTATACCAAAGAACAGATGCTCCTTCATGGAACATTATCTCACCCCAGACTCAGAAACTGAGCAGCCAAGGTTCCTTCCCAGGAATCACCATGGAATGTTTGAACAATAATCAGGCCCTGGAGATTACTGCAGGGCTGATAGAGTTCTAGGAATCAGCCAAACTTTTTTCACACTACCCACTAGGAAGGATATAGTTCAAATGCGATGTTGATTCTTTGAGTTTATTTGAACACTGCAACAATATGTTATAGAAACCTTCATTTTCCCAAAATAAACAATCTGAAAAATATATGAATATGCTGTTTTAGATAATCTAAAATTACCCCTAAAAACCTGTCACTAGAGCCGGGCACAGTGGCTCACGCCTGTAATCCCAGCATTTTGGGAGACCATGGCAGGCGATCACCTGAGGTCAGGAGTTCAAGATCAGCCTGGCCAACATGGTGAAACCCTGTCTCTACTAAAAACAAAAAAAATCAGCTAGGCATGGTGCGTGTGCCTATAATCCCAGCTACCTGGGAGGTTGAGGCACGAGAATCAACTTGAACTCGGAGGGCAGAGGTTGCAGTGAGCCGAGATCATGCCACTGCACTCCAGCCTGGACGACAGAGCGAGACGCTGTCTCAAAAACAAACAAATGAAAACAAAATACCTGTCAATAGACCAAATACTGTACTGGCAAAATTTCACAGCAGAGAGGAATATTTGATTAAATGCACAGCTGAGAGATAGGGTCAAGGATACATTAAGTCATTTACAAATCAGATATTAGTATTAATGCTTTTGGTGGCCTGGAGTGAATTAGAATATATTAGCATTTTGAAAATGTTTTTGAAATGGGAGGTTGTGTGGCTTAGCAGAAAAAGCACAGAGGGACCTGGGATCAAACCCTCTTTCTAGCCCCATAGCTTAACAGTTAAACACACTAAGTTCTATAAAACAAAAATTAAAACACCTACCTCAGATGTTGAGAGAATTTAGGATAATGTATATGAAACACCTAGTTCAAAGCCTGACACACAGTAGGCACTTAATAGGTGGTGGCAGTTAGTATTTCTTCCAAGTTACAATTTATAGCCAGAACTTTGGCTTTTGTATTTTGATACCAATGGAAGCATGAATTATGTACCCAGAATCCTGATTCATGGCTCTGGGCTCTAGGTAAAACTCACACAAACACTGCTTTAATAAACACCCTAGGGTCTTCTTCAACACAGTATGAAAGGCTATTGAAGGGAGAAGTGTCTGCTGGTCAGTAGGGAACATCCTTTTGGGATAGTAAATCTCCTTTTAAAGGCTCTAAGTCCCAGTAGCTTCTCAGCTGTCCTAAGAAGATAAGGACAAGGTCACTGAGGCCACTATAATTTAGATCCCTGGTCTAAAGTCTCATAAGTTCAGCCACAGAAATCACATCTTTCAACAAATGGTATCCAGGGTTAGGGAGGGATATCTGAGATGGGGGGGTTGATAGATATGTCCGATGATGTCTTGATTGTGGTAATACTTAAACAGGTATACATATGTCAAGGCTTATCAAATTGTAGGCTTAAAAAAAAATACCAATAAAGCTGTTTAAAAAAAATGTACTTAAGCCCTTCCTGGTAAGATTTCCTTCTGTTCCCTGACTGGATCACTTTCTGTGATCTCAGTTTGGGGTTCGAGGAGGAAATTTTTTTTTTTTTTTTTGGAAGATGGAGTCTTGCTCTGTCGCCCAGGCTGGAGTGCAGTGGTGTGATCTCAGCTCACTGTAACCTCCACCTCCTGGGCTCCAGCAGTTCTCTGGCCTCAGCCTCCTTAATAGCCAGGACTACAGGTGCATGCTACCATGCCTGGCTAATTTTTGTATTTTAGTAAGGATGGGGTTTCACCATGTTGGCCAGGCTGGTCTCGAACTCCTGATCTCAGGTGATCCGCCCGTCTCGGCCTCCCAAAGTGCTGGGATTACCAGCGTGAGCTATTGTGCCTGGCAGGAAGGATTATTAATGCAAACCTCAGGATGAAGTGACATCCCAGGCAAGGACTGCAGGTCTCAGTGGTATTAATACATTAGTAAGCAGAGTTCTAAGGCTTCCTTGTCTATTATTATAGCTACTTTGGCACAGAAAATTGTGACTGGAATTTACAGGGTTTGAGCAAAAATGACCCCTACTAGGAAAACATCAGAAAGAACAGCATCTACAAAAATAGGAGTTGGGAAAGGTGACTCTGGAAGAGGAGACCAAAAGCAAAAACATTTCTCTGCTAAAGTCACCTGCAGTTCAATAGCAGATTTGCTTGTTAAGAAATGGTCATTCTAACAACAAGAATTTGATTCCACTCCAGAGCTCTTTAGCCCATGTCTGTTCCTGGAGGTCTAGTAGATCCTGCGAGTTGTGTAGTCCAAAACCATGCTGGCAGCACCCAGCAGGGCGGGGTCAACCAAATCTGAGACCACCACGTCCACATCCTGCACGGAGGATAAGGCCTGTTGGCGAATGACGTCTTTGACAATGTGGATATAATGACTGGCCAGGACTCCAGAGAGGATCACAAGGGAGGGATTCATAGTATGGAGGATGTTCACAACCCCAAGACCCAAAGCTGTTCCAGCTACAGGGAGACAAAAATTAAAATGGGTTTCTGAGAGAAGGCAAAATCAAAATACAAAAGAGGAAGGCAGAAAAGAACCAGCAGCCAGAAATGGTAAAGAACCTCACAGCATGCAGTGGGAGGCAGTGTTTTAAAAGCAGCTCACGGATGATTCTTAATATGAGAAAATGATCATGTGACAGCCTAAAGTGGAAAAACCAGGGTGTATCACATGATCTCTGCTAGGCAGAAAAATGAATAGAAAGACTCCAAGGAAATGTTCATAGTCGACATCTTCTGAACAGGAAAACTCTAAGTGATATTTTTTCTTATAAGTGATATTTTTTCTTAGAACTGTCCTATATTTCTCTAAATTTCCTGTAAAATGAACGAGGAGCATTTTTACAGTTGTCAAACCAAACCAAACACCTGCTGAAAAAGGCAATGCTGCCACATACCTTGAATGCAAGTCCCTTTTTACCTCTGAGTAAGTAGGAAAAATACCTCTGAACAGACACTGCAAAGCACCTGTCCCTAGGGGAAGCAGGGTCTCTTCTGGGCCCAGCTGGGCCATATGATGTCTGACCCCACCCTCTGCAGCAAGCTGCCTGCAGCCACATGCTCACCTGTTCTTAGGATGCTCTGGGCCTTCGCATTGCCAAGTTTGGCAGCTTGGATGAGATGGAGTGCACCCACTGCCTCATCTTTTGGCACTGACATCCCTTCCACCAACAGCAGGTCCTCTGAGCAGAGAGAAAAGGAAAAGCAGTCACTAATGAGCTGTTGGGAGGCCCAACTAACCACTGGGCCTGTGGGCAGCAAGCTCCTATGTGGGAAGACAGTGTTTTCTTTTCACAGTTGCAAAGCTTATCATTCACAAACATCTCTATACACTGCCCCTAAAGCCTTTGCTACCCTCTTGCTAGTTGGTTGGACATAACCCAGAGCCTATCTTCCTGGAAAAATCTCAAGTCTGACAGCCTCCTACCCCTCTGGCTCCCTCACTTCTCACTTCCAGTAGCAGACGGTCTTTGAAGTGTTCTTTTCTCCAAATTATCACCCTCTTCCCACATTCACGCCTTCTTTACTCATCCCAGATGCAATGCTGCATCACCTGCCAGTGCCGCACGTTCTATGGCAGCAAGGCATAGTGGCTGAGCAACAGACACAGGCCTGGGGTCAGTGCCAGCTCTGCCACTCCCAGCTGCACAATCCCATGCATGTCACCTCACCTCTACATGTTCCTCCTTCCTAGAAGATGAGGGCAATAATACCTACCCTGGCAGGGTTATTTTAGGGATTAAATGAGATCATGGACATAAAGTACTTAGTTAAGTGCTGGCCGGAGTAAATGCTCAATAAGCAGCAGGTCTTTCTGTGGTTATCTGTAGTTCTTACCAACTCAGATCAATCTGCCTCCTAATCTGCTAGGATACCTGGACCCTGAAAGAAAAATCCCCAGCTGTGCAAACTGTTACCTAGACATCAACTGGTGGTCTCCTGTCTCCCCTGGGCCCTCACAGCTCTCACCCATTCTCCTGGACTGCTCTCTTCTGTACCTTCACCAACTCCCGGGTCCTTCTACCCTCCCCCCCCGCCCCTCGCACTGCCAACAGATATGCATACTTCTTACCTCTCTCAAAGGGGGCGCCACCAGGCAGTGATCCCCTTCCTTTTTGCTCCCCATCCCATCTACCCATCATCTCCACTCGCCATGCCCTCTCATGGGCCCTCTGCCTGGCTTTTCAGCTCATCTCTTCCCACCCCTTCAGAACCCTACTATAGTGCTCTATACCCTTCTCTCCTACACTCTCAGCCTCCATTCCTCATCTCCTTGATGTCAGCATATGCTCACAGATTGGTTTTGGGGGCCAAAAATGCTATACTCTTTATGTATGAAGCACAGATATACCGCACATACAGTGCGCAAACATAAACAGGTAAGCAATACAGCTGCGGTGGTACAGTTGCATGGGGAGGATTCATCAGGAAAAAAAAAAAACATATAAAGGGGCTCCTTAGGAGGGTGATAATGAAAACAAGGTTGAAAAATAAATACTGGTTTAAGGCTTCAAATAATATCCTGGTGGCCAGAGCCAATGAACTTTTCTAATTTCTTCTTACTCATGTCAGCCCTTGACATTGCTGACTGCTCCTCATCCAAACCCTCTCCCTTTTTGGCTTCTGTGACAATTCCCTTTCCTGGTGTTCCTCCCATCTCTCTCCCTGCCCCTCAAATGCTGATGTTTTTCAGGAGTCTATCCTTGATTCTGTCTTTCACCTCACTCCCTGGCTCTGTCGTGGGTTTAACCACCACCTCAGTACCGACGATCCCAGATCACCCCTCTAACCCAGTCATCTATCTCTCCTGAGCAACAGACCTCGTACCCCACCACCTCCTAGACATTTCCACCGTGGATGTCCTACAGCCACCAACCATCATCTTCTGCCAAACCTGTCCCTCCTCTTCAGTTCCCAGTCCTGAGTTGTCCAACCAGTAAACTGGACGCCGCCCTAGAACTGTCCCACTTAAAATCATCTCCATTCAACTACCCTTTTCTCCCCCAGAAATAAAAAGTAAATTCAGATCTGACCATGTCTTTTCTCTAAAATGTTTCCACCACCAACTGGTCCTGCTTCCTCACACTACATGATGACACCCTGACTTGCCCTTAAGTACCACCACGACTGTTTCCCTGCCTGCAGGCTCCCTTGGCCATCCAAAGCTGCCTGGCTGATTCTACTTACCTTCCACCTCTCACCCTGCAGGATGGCATCCTGGCACACCTTTCCCTGCATGCAGAGGACACAAAGTGGATTCTGGTTTCCCTCTTACATGTATCTACATTCCGCAGCCATCATGCTCATTGCACTGGGCATTCAATAATGATAGCAAATGCTCTTGAGTTAGACTAGAAACCATTCTAACTCTCATAACATGTCCAGAAACAGCTTTCATTCAAATAGATCTTTCCGAGTTAAAGTATAACATGTTTTGTCCATTTATTTCTTCATTAAAATGTGTATTAAATACCCACTCTGTGCTAGTGGCTGAGAAAACAAAAATGAAGGGAATCTTCCTTGCTGTCTTGGAACTCTAGACCTCTGTCCATCTCCATCCCTTGGGAGGAAGAGTGCCAATATGGATCAGGACCAAGGAGACTGTGCTGTTTTAGTGTGAGGGAGTCCTGCTCTTTCTCTAAGAAGTGAAAAGGGGGAAACTTTGGCTTCAGGGTTCAACTCTCTTTGGAATTTCCACTTTGAAGTACGTGTCTATCATTTGATTACTTAATTTCTCGAGAGAGGGACACCAACCATCATGGAGCTTTTTTGCCTCCCTCTGCAAGGCCATTCCAGAGGCATATGCTTCAATGCACCCATGGCTTCCACAGGAACAATCAGGCCCGTCCAGAGACACAACAAGGTGGCCCAGTTCTGCAGCACAGAAGGAGCTTCCATGGATCAATTCGTGCTGATGGATAATTCCTCCACCGATTCCTACAGCAAGGGACAGAAATCACTGAGGGTGCTTGACCTGAAACAGAAAACTATGATATCACAAGGCCTCATCTGTTTAGCAGAGTTTTGGCATGTGAGGTTCTATATATTGCCCCTTCTCTAGAGAGCTGAAGCTCACTAAGCACCAAAGCATTCTCTGGCAGTGTTTTGGATGGAAATGTTTTTAGCAGATCCTCTAATGCCCTGTGATGTATCTGCTTGGGTCACTGTGATTTCAAACACAGTTATGGGGATGGTACAGCACAAGTGCATACCCACCTTGTGGGTAGTAGATCCCTGCCCCAGCACACACTGCCCATCTTTCTGCACCAAGGCTTTCTCCAATACTGATGCAGGAGCCTACTCAGCCATGCAGGCACAGCACCCAGGGGCAACCTGCAACCAAGTTGAGGCAGGAGCCAGCAGATCCACAGGACAATTCTGGATGCTGTTCTGCAGGCTTGTTAGGAGGTGCTGGTAAAGTTCAGCTCCCTTTGCCCTTAAGACAACTTCAATAATGTTAACATATCCTTTCTTCCTGCTCTGTTTCATTCTTCCCACTCTCCCTCCTGCTTCTTGGGGTCACCTCCAAAAAAATCATACCTGCATCTAAATCCTTGTCTCAGGCTCTGCTCTGCAGAAAACCCAAGACAAGTCTTTTTGTATTACATATTACCTGCTTCCTGAAGCAGAAAATATGAAATACAGTTTTGCCTTTTTTAATGCTTCCATGTCTAAAAATCTATGATTCAATAATTACAAACATCAATGGCTGTCTTTTCTTATGGAGTTCAGCAGCTACTAAGGAGTAAAGGGTATTGTGCCTGAGAAGGCTCTGCTTTTAAGAGTTGTCTTGCCATTTGTCACTTCTTGGGACACTTAATTCTTCAACTCCCAGCCCTCTGACTTAGAGCTTACTCACTGCTCTGAGCTAGGATATGGTATCCAAGTTTGCTAAAACTGTGTATGGCACTAAAGGAGGATGAGCATCAGCTAAAGTGCATGAGCTTAGGCTGGGCATGGTGGCTCAGGCCTGTAATCCCAGTACTTTGGGAGGATGAGGTGGGCAGATCACCTGAGGTCAGGAGTTCAAGACCAGCCTGACCAACATGGCAAAACCCAGTCTCTACTAAAAATACAGAAATTAGCCAGGTGTAGTGGCACATGCCTGTAATCCCAGCTACTCGGGAGGCTGAGGCAGAGGAATCGCTTGAATCTGGGAGGCAGTGAGCTGAGATTTTGCCACTGCACTCCAGCCTGGATGACAGAGCGAGACTCACTCTCTAGATAAATAAATAGTACATGAGCTTAAAGGGGAGGTGGTGTAATACCGAGTTTAAGCACATAAAAGTTTTGAAGTGAGACATCTGTATCAAACGCTGGCTCAACCACTTATTAGCTGAGTCTGCTTCCTCATTTAAAAATCAAGTTATGGCCGGGCGTGGTGGCTCACGCCTATAATCCCAGCACTTTGGGAGGCCAAGGCAGGTGGATCACGAGGTCAAGAGATCGAGACCACCCTGGTCAACAAGGTGAAACCCCGTCTCTACTAAAAATACAAAAATTAGCTGGGCATGGTGGTGCGCGCCTGTAGTCCCAGCTATTCGGGAGGCTGAGGCAGGAGACTTGCTTGAACCCAGAAGGCAGAGGTTGCAGTCAGCCGAGATCGTGCCATTGCACTCCAGTCTGGGTAACAACAGCGAAACTCCGTCTCAAAAAAAAAAAAAAAAAAAAAAATCAAGTTATACATTTAAAATATAGACAATAAAATTTTAAAAAAGCAAAAGTAACAAATTAAGTTGTCATAAAAAATGACAGAGCAAGGAACTCTAAAAGTCCATTCTGCCACTAAAGCAAGGAAAAACTGGTAGAAGTGTCAGAATCAACCTTTTTGGAACTCTGGAAAAATAACCAAAGTATGCAACAAACAGGAATGCTTAATTTAAAAAACAAAAACAAAAAGCAGGGTCAGGTGCAGTGGCTCATGCCTGAAATCTCAGTGCTTCGGGAGGCCCAGGCAGGAGGATCACTTGTGCCCAGGAGTTTAAGACCAGCCTGGGCAACATGGTGAGACCTTGTCTAAAAACAAAACAAAACTGGCTAAATCTTGATAAGAGGACTTTCTGGTGTTTTAACCTACCCTGGTCCTATCACCCACTCTCAGGCTTGGTGGTGACACTGAACAGCAGCCCACACTCTCAGTACTGGTGTACAGATACAGTACTGGATGCCAGCACCTGATGGGGCAGGAGGAACTTATTCTCAAAAAATTGTGGTTGTTTTGACCTGTCAGCTCCCTGGAGGACTAGCTCAAAGGGCCTGCTTTCATCTCAACTAACTAGGAACTATCCCAGTGCTGAGGGGGTTACATGAAGGGTGTTTATCAAAAACATTTCAAGGTAAAATGGATTAGTCTCTGCTGCCTAGGGCAAAGGATAACAACTGGGGCATCCAACACACTAACCAAAAAAACTGGGAGGAAAGTTGGGAAATGAGAAGCTCTGGGAAATAAGAGCTTTGAATAGCTCTGACAAGTACCTGGAATTTAGAGGGCCACATGCATGTCTAGGGCTGGGCACATAGGAGAAGGCCACATGTGGCTCATTTTCAGGCTCTATTCAAGCAGGAAGTGAAGGCTAAGGCAGAGTTCAACACCTGACTATGTTGAAGACATGTCCAAAGATACATTCTAGCTCCTGAAGCAACCTTCCCTTACCTCTCTTACCTGTGCCTGTGATAAGTGTAACAAAGTTTTCCAGTCCCTTTCCTTGGCCAAATTTCCTTTCTGCCAGGGCAGCACAGTTGCCATCATTGTCTACCCATACGGGGAGATGCAAAGTGTCAGACAGGGGGGTCCTGAGGTCCACAGAGTTCCACTCTTGGATCAGTTTGGTTGAATGCAGCACAATTCCTTCCCGAGGATTTACACGGCCACCTGTGGAAATGCCTGTGCTCCACCATGAACACAAGGAAGATAATGCTGATGAGCAATCTCAGGAAAGTGTACTGATTTTCTTGGCTTAGAACACAGATTCATCCACCTCAGATCTCCTAAGATAAACATTACCAAGGACTGCAAGGAAATATTGGACAGTTCTGAATTAAAGCCATAGCGCCTCGAAGATTTCTAGTCAGTGCATCTTTCCTAATAATGTTTGTTGGTGTCCCAGGAAGTCTCCATGCTTGGGGCCCACAGACAGCACCCAGAGTCATCTGTGCACAGGACAGATGCTGATTTGATGCTTTGCATGCATCACAAGTTAGTCAATTTTGGACATTAAAATGACCATTTCTTGGATTTATAATTTACAATCTTACCTACTCCCAAAATTCTGCAGTTCAGTTTTACAGCTTCTGCTGCAGCTTCTACACACATCTGTAGGATTAAATTAATCCTCTCTTCATAGGTTTTAGGATTGAACTGAGTATACTTCTTAACTATTTCACCCTAAAAGAGAAAACAATAAGCTCTGTCTCACTGGTCTTAGCTAAGAAGCACACTGTGAGTGTTGTGATCTTTTTCATAATAAATTAGATACTGCTATAGGATGGCCCTACAGTCTTAGATCACTGCTTAGGGAGGGAGCCACTGCCTGGCCTGGGCCAGGCCTGATATAAGCCGAGGTAGTTTCTGTAATTTGTCCTAATATGGGGCTGTCCAAGCAATGACAACTCTGCAGCCAGCAAGATGGGCCCCTCTCTCTTTTTTTTTTTTTGAGATGGAGTCTCGCTCTGTTGTCCAGGCTGGAGTGCAATGGCACAATCTTGGCTCACTGCAACCTCCACCTCCCGGGTTCAAGCAATTCTTCTGCCTCAGCTTCCCAAGTAGCTGGGATTACAGGTATCTATCACCATGACTGGCTAATTTTTGTATTTTTAGTAGAGACAAGGTTTCACCATGCTGGCCAGGCTGATCTTGAACTCCTGACCACAGGTGACTCAGCAACTAAGTAGCTGAGCTTTAATCATCTCCTGTAACTTAATTCAGTGATGGTCTGGATACTCTATTTCTTTCTTTCTTTTTTTTTTTTTTTTGAGACGGAGTTTCGCTCTTGTTACCCAGGCTGGAGTGCAGTGGTGCAATCTCAGCTCACCGAAACCTCCGCCTCCTGGGTTCAGGCAATTCTCCTGCCTCAGCCTCCTGAGTAGCTGGGATTACAGGCACGCGCCACCATGCCCAGCTAATTTTTTGTATTTTTAGTAGAGACGGGGTTTCACCATGTTGACCAGGATGGTCTAGATCTCTCGACCTCGTGATCCACCTGCCTCGGCCTCCCAAAGTGCTGGGATTACAGGCATGAACCACTGTGCCCGGCCTTGGATACTCTATTTCTTTAGGGTAAATTTCCATGCTCACTGGTGGAAAGACCACCTTGTTTAAATTACTATGCTTTGTATGGCCTGGCACAGTGGCTCACACCTGTAATCCCAGCACTTTGAGAGGCCGAGACAGGTAGATCACTTTAACCTCAGGAGTTCAAGACCAGCCTGGGCAATAAGAGGAAACCCCATCTCTATAAAAAAATACAAAAATTAGCCAGGCGTGGTGGCACACGCCTATAGTCCCAGCTACTTGGGAGGGTGAAGCTGGAGTTCACTTGAGCCAGGGAAGCAGAGGTTGCAGTGAGCTGAGATTGTGCCACTGCACTCCAGTCTGGACGACAGAATAAAACCCTGTCTCAAAAAAATGAAATAAATTACTGTGCTTTTTTATATGTTTTAATACAAAACAGGGATAGTCCCTCCTAATTACATGTTTTTGTTTTTATATTTTTTCTTTGCACACTTACTTTTGTACTTTTAATGTTAAACTTTTTTTTTTTTTAGAGACGGTCTTGCTATGTTGCCCAGGCTGGAGTTCAGTTGCTATTCATAGGTGTAATCCCACTACTGATCAGCACGGGAGTTTTTGACCTGCTCTGTTTCCGACCTGGGCCGGTTCACCCCTCCTTAGGCAACTTGGTGGTCCACCGCTCTCAGGAGATCACCATATTGATGCTGAACTTAGTGTGGACACCTGATCAGTATAGTGCACTACAGCCCAGAACTCCTGAGCTCAAGCTATCCTCCCACCTCAGCCTCCCGAGTAGCTGGGACTACAGACATACGCCACTACACCCAGCTTAATGTTAAACTTTAAAAAATACCACTGTGGTTTACAATAATTTTATTAAATATAAAAAAATACCATTGAAATGTTTACTAGGATTATGTTGAACTTATAAATCCAATTTGAAAAACAGTGACATCTTAAAAATAATTAGCACTTCCATCCAGGGCATTTTTTCAAGGCTTTATGTCTTACAGTAAAGTTTTAGAATTTTCTTTATATAGATCACATAGTTTTCTGGTTTCAGTTATTCTTAGAGGAGTTTTTGTTGTTGTTCTGAATAAGATCTCTTTTTCCATTTATATTATTTTGTTATTAGTGGATTTTAATATATCAAATACAGGGTTAGAGCTGTCACTAGGATTGTCATTAAAAATAAATCTAGGCCAGGCATGGTAGTTCACACCTGCAATCTCAGTGCTTTGGGAGGTGAAGGCTGGCGGATCCCTTGAGCCTGGGAGTTCAAGACCAGCCTGGGCAACATGGGGAATCACTGTCTTTACAAAAAATAAAAAAATTAGTCAGGCATGGTGGCACAAGGCATAAGTTCCATTTCCTCAGGAGGCTGAAGCACAAGAATCTAATAAATCTAATAAAAAATTAGCTGGGCGTGGTGGTAAATGCCTGTAATCACAGGTACACAGGAGGCTGAGGCAGGAGAATCGCTTGAACCTGGGAGGCAGAGCTTGCAGTGAGCTGAGATCATGCCACTGCACTCCAGCCTGAGTGACAGAGCAAGACTCTGTCTCAAAAAAAAGAAAAAAGAAAAATACATCTAGAATTGGGCACAGTGGCCTATAGTCCTAGTTATTATACTTCAGAGGCTGAGGCAGAGGATCATTTAATCCCAGGACCTTGAGTCCAGCCTGGGAAACATAGGAAGACCTTACCGCTAAAAAAAAATTTTTTTTAATTAAAAGAATAAAAAACCTAGAGTAATGCTCTCAGTCTTCACTGTGCATCAGAATCACCTGGACAGCTTTTAACAAAGAGCAATGCCTGCCCCCCATTCCCAGAGACTCGAATTTAACCAGTCTAGGGTGGAAGCCAGGCATTTTTTTATCTATTAATAATGTTTTTTGCTTTAACCTGTCAATAATCTCAAGTTTTCCTTCCTTTATTCCCTTCATAACTTCCAAAATTATGTTAGATGAGGCTGCAGAAAACATCTTTCTTGATTTCAACAGGAATGCCTGTAGAATTTTACCACTGAAAAAGATGTTGGCCTTTCATATGGAATAAATCATCTTTCTGTTAAGAAAATATTCTTCTATTAGTTTTTGTTTTATTTTTTGAGACCTGAGTCTCACTCTGTTGCCCAGGATGGAGTGCAGTGGCGTGATCTTGGCTCACTGCAATCTCTACCTCCTGGGTTCAAGCGATTCTCCTACATCAACCTCCGAAGTAGCTGGGATTATAGGCGCCCACCACCATGCCTGGGTAATTTTTTTTTTTTGTATTTTTAGTAGAGACAGGTTTCACCATGTTGGCCAGGCTAGTCTCAAACTTCTGACCTCAAGTGATCCGCTCGCCTGGGCCTCCCAAAGTTTTGGGATTACAGGCGTGAGCCACCACACTTAACCTTCAATTAATTTTTAAAAGAGTATTTATAAGGGAAACCTCTTGGCTTTTCTTGAGAAAATTATGTTTTGTTTTGCTTTCCTTATCTGATCTAATGGTATTAATAAATTACCTACAAATTTACGTTTAAAATCTTTGCTATTTCTTGTGTCTGGAAACTTTATACACTTAACAATATTTCAAACAAAGATTTTTCCAGTAGGCTTATTCTTCCTAAGTCATTAGAGATCACTTTAACATAAACAGTTTATTTTTATTTTTTAAGACAGAGTCTTGCTCTATCGCCAGGCTGGAATGCAGTGGCGTGATTTCAGCTTACTGCAACTTCTGCCTCCCCGGTTCAACTGTTTCCCCTGCCTTAGCCTCCCCAGTAACTGGGACTACAGGTGTGGGCCACCACACCTGGCTAATTTTTTGTATTTTTTTTTAAGTAGAGACAGGGTTTCACCATGTCAACCAGGATGGCGTTGATCTCCTGACCTCACGATCCATCCGCCTCTGTCTCCCTAAGTGTTGGGATTATAGGCTTGAGCCACCGTGCTTGGCTAGTTTGTTATTTTCATGAGGTTCTCTCAACCTGTCAACACTGAGTGATGGTTTGGTTGACAGACTGAAGGTATGCTGTATTCAATAAAGAGCAGAACTGTAAAAAGGCAAAATGGAAAATCCACACAACTGATCAGATTCTAGTGAGGAGGCAGTTCTCTTCACCATTTGCTGATAGATACCCTCACTTGGGCAGTGATAGTAAACAGCGTACTCCACACTCCAAGTTGTTACCAAGTATAGAATTTCAGGTCTCCTGGGTGGCAAAAGCCCGATCTGATGCCTAAAAGGGTCTTCCCACTGTCAAGTCTACCATCTTGGATTCCCAGATAATTTACTTCTTTGAAATGTTCATGATTAGTAAAATAGTGAGACAAACATTGTAAAGAATCCATATGTCAATACTATGAGCAAATGATTAGAAGCTCTTGTGTATGTTTCTAGTCTTACCTTCCAACTATACATACTTAAAAAAAAGCAATCACTCATATGGGATATAAAGTTAGGCATTTAGGAGTTATTTTACCTTCATGCTGACTATTGCAACTCGGAGGTTCGTCCCACCAAGATCAACGGCCAAGGCACTTAGAGTTTCAAGAATATGGTCAATATCTTGAGAGATATTCTCCTTCACAGGAGGGAAGCAGAATTTCTTTTGTAGTGGCTCTTGAAGATCAATAGATTTGAGAAACTTCAAAATCCTTGGAACAGCATTTCCATCCCCATATATCTTTGAACTGCAATATATATATAAAAAGTCAGTTAAATTAAATGCTTCGGCCATGTATGTTAAATGGTAGCGAGGGCATAATATAATGGAATCTGAGACTTCAGGTAAAAATAATTTGTGCTTCTTCCTAAAATGACATCTCCCTGCCGTCATTTTGGGAGGTCAAGGCAGGCAAATCACCTGAGGTCAGGAGTTTGAGACCAGCCTGGCCAACATGGCAAAACCCCATCTCTACTAAAAATACAAAAATTAGAGTATGGTGTTGCAAACCTGTAATTCTAGCTGTTTGACAGGCTGAGGCAGAATTTCTTGAACCCAGGAGGTGGAGGTTGCAGTGAACTGAGATTGTGTCACTGCACTCCAGCCTGAGCAATAAAGCAAGACTCCGTCTCAAAAAAAAAAAAAAAAAAAGCCAACAAAATACATATTCTACATTGGAACCTTTGGTACAATAATAATGGGTATGATATTAGCAATCCCTGTCTCCCCAGCAACTAAGGGCCCATAGGCATAAGAAGGAAAGCTCTGTTAGGATGATTAAACAGTGACTGTAGCTCTAAAATGGTACCGAAGGTAGCTTCCCTTTTAAATCACTAAAAAAAAAAAATGACTTCTACTCACCAAGGGTACTGTTTACCAAACTGAAGGTGCAGTGCTTGCAATATTTTGTCTTGGGTGTCAGCATCCCGGACATGAAGAACATTCTCCCCTAGGTAAAACCAGTGACACGTTACAAGGATTTGGAAGTGGGAATATCCAAAGAATAAGGAAATTATCAGTGTACTATGCTCATAATTAGACCTAAAACCCACCTGACTTCAGATAAATTTTTTGTTAGGGAAACATCAACTTTTCTACTGTATACCTTTTAAAGAACTCTTAGTAAGATTTCAGTATATCAAACATTTAAAGGCTCTAGTGTCCTTTATTCCCAAAGAGAACAAATCAAGTTTTTGTTTATTGAAATAAATAAGGTGGATTAGCCTGGCATCCACTTACCATTTGCCTAGTCATCTATCAGATCCATTCTCTTTCAACCTGTCCTGTCTTGGCTGGTCAGGCAGTCACTTTCCCTCCAGATGTTTCCTGACCAATATGAGGGAGTAAATCTAGTAAAAACTGCCACGTTCAATGAGCTTGGCTAAAAAGAGAAGAGCGGACAAGTAGCAGCTGTAGAGAGGTGTGGGGTCAAGGAAGGGGTTGCTTTGTGTTGTTTTGTTTTTAAGATGTGAGAGGCTTAGGTATGCTTAAATGATGAGGAAGTTAAATAGAGAAGGATGAGAAAAGATGGCTCATGGATAGGTAGGCAGGAATGGTAGGGATTGAGAACACAAGTAGAAGGATGAGCAATGGACAGGCAGGAGAGACGGCCACACCCACACTCTGCTATAAAGAAGATAAGATGGAAAGGATGGATGGGCATGTATGTTTATATAAGTTTATTTAAGTGTGGTGGCAAAAAATACAGAGACCATGTTGGCACATGGTTCAATTCTCTTTTCACATCTTTTTAAAATTTTTATTTATTTATTTTTTTGAGATGGAATCTTGCTCTGTCGCCCAGGCTGGAGTGCAGTGGCATGATCTCAGCTCACTGCGACATCTGCCTCCTAGGTTCAAGCAATTCTCCTGCCTCAGCCTCCCAAGTAGGTGGAATTACAGGCATGTACCACCACGCCCGGCTAATTTTCTTATTTTATTAGAGATGGGGTTTCACCATGTTGGCCAGGCTGACTTGAACTCCTGACCTCAAGTGATCCACCTGCCTTGGCCTCCCAAAGTGCTGGGATTACAGGCGTGAGCCACCACGCCCAGCCCTCCTTTCACATCTTAAATGAACTCAGCAGTATCCACCACCCCTTCCTTAAAACACTGTATTTTGGGGGCTTTAATTATAGCACACTCTCCTTGTTTCCCTCCAACTTCACTGGTGTTCTCTGCAGTCTTCCTTGCTGGACCTTCCCTCTTCACCAGAACTCTAAAGATTGAAGGGCTCCAGAAGCTGGTCCTGGGCTCCATTCTCTGTCCTATTTACAAGTTTGAGAGATAGGATCTTGCTCTGTCACCCAGGCTGGAGTGCAGTGGCATGATCACAGCTCATTGTAGCCTCAAACTCCTGGGCTTAAGTGATCCTCCTGCCTCAGCCTCCTGAGTAGCTTGGACCACAGGCACATGCCACCAGGTCTGCCTAATTTTTAATTTTTTTATTAGAGATAGAATCTCACTATCTTGACCTAAGCTAGGGTTGAACTCCCAGCCTCAAGTAATCCTCCTACCTTGGCCTCCCAAAGTACTGTGATTATAGGTGTTGAGCCACCTCACCTGGCCTCAGTCCCTGGGTTTTATATGCTATCTATGGCAGAGTGCCATTATCCTCGCTATCTTTTCTTCATACTAGAAACAATTTTTAGCCAGGCATCTGATCCCCAGCCAAAGATTATATTCTGTCTAGTCCAAGTATAGTGGTGTTTACAACTAATTGATCACAACCAGTTCCTTCTCCCCAGGCACTGCTTCACTTGACTAGCCTTAAAAAGAAAAAGAAAAAAAAAAAGACTTGGGCACAATGGCTCACATCCATAATCCCAGGAGTCTGAGGCCAAGGTAGGAAGAATCACATGAGTCCAGGAATATGAGATGAACCTGGGCAACAAAGCAAGACCCTGTCTCTATAAAAAAAAAAAATTGTAAAAACATGTACCAGACATGGCTGGGGAGGCTAAAATGAGAGGATCACTTGAGCCCAGGAATTCAAGGTTACAATGAGCTATGACTGCACCACTGCACTCTAGCCTGAGTAACAGAACAATACCATTTCAGACAAAAAAAAAAAAAAAAAAAAAGGAATATATTCTTCAGCTTGCCTTGCAGCCAGATGTGGCCACGTGACTAAGTTCTGATGGAAGTGAGAAGAAATATTTGCAACTTTCAGGTCTTATCGTTAAAGGAAAAGGCATCTTCTCTTTTCCTTCTTCTAAAGGCTAAAAGAGACTTGTGAGCAATAGCTAGAGAAACCACTGAAAAAACAGATGGGGGCTAAGTCTGATGATTGTGGAGCTGCCATACCACTGAGAAACAAAGAACATCTAACTTATTTAACCCATTATTATTTAGGGTCTCTCTGTTACAGCAGCCAAACTGACAATACATCATTTCTATACTAATGACTCTCAAATTTCTGTCTCCAACTCTAACTCCCTGGAACTATCTAGCTGTTTACTAGCCATGTCTGCTTTGATATCTAACAGGCATCTCAGACTTCACATAGCCATAAAGAACTCTTAATTCAATCCCTCCTCAGATCTGTTCCTCCCTCAGTGTCCCCATATCACCACCCAATCAGAAATCTAGGCTTCCTGTTGATTCCTTTCTTCCTCTCGCCTCCACATCCAAACATCGGCAAGTACTATGACAAAACCCAAATCTAACTTTTCTCCATCTCTAATATTTCATCAAAGCCACTATCATCTCTCATCTGAGCAACTGAATCAGCCCCATTACTGGTCTCCCTGCTTTTATTCTTGCCCACCCCCCGACATTCCATTCTCCATGTTAGCAACCAGAGTGATCTTTCCAAAATGCAAGTCAGGTCATGTCATTCCCTCCCATCACACTTGGAAAAAATTCCAAATGATTTACCCTGACTTACATGCATCTGCTTCTTTCTCTAACGTCATCCATATCACTCTGCCTCTTGCTCACTACTCTACAGCCACATTGGCCCTTCCATTGCTCAAATACATCAAGTTTGTTCTCACCTCGCAGCCCTCACACTGGCTGTTCCCACTGCCTCTCCCTGATCCTCACATAGGTGACTCCCAATCTAATGGAGCCCATCATATACCTGGTGTTACTGCAGGCACAGCATATAGAAATCCTGATATTTTTCTTATTTCTTTTGTGTATGTCTATCATCTATCTCCCCTCCCACTAGAATGAAAGTTGCAATGAGAGCCCAGCCCTTTTTAGTCTAGTTTATTGCCAAATCCCAGTGCCTAGTACATTGTGGGTGCTTATTAAACATTTTCTAAATGAATGAATTGAGGAATTTGAAAGAATTTCCATCTCATGGCTTCCATTTTCTCTATGAAGCAGGGAGTAAAGTAATACCCTGTGAATGAGAAGGAAAGAAGATCTAAATATAGCAGAAGGGTGGCCATTATAAAGAACGGGAGAAAGAGCAGAGCTAGAACTATCTCCTTCGTTCTAATCCAGTTCTTTTTCCTTTAATGATACACACTTTTCCATTACAGCTTCCGTTAAATTCCACTGCATGTAAACAGGATTAGAACTTGAACTAATGTTAATAACAGGATCTAGCTCAGTTAGCAAATTCATTAATAATAATCCTACTTATACTTAAGGGGCACTTTATTTAGAACTACTATACTCTAAAGTACTGACTGAAGGGATTCTATATTAGGCCCAGAAAATAAAAGACTAGCATTCATATATTCATGCAACAGTCAACCATATTCTCTCTTAAACACAGCCATGAAAGACCATAATTAGGAACCACTTAGTGCTAATTGATATCACAAAGACAGTAAAATATAAGTAGAGATCTAAAATATTTGGTCATCACTATGTGCTATTTATCAACTATAGATTTTAGGCTTCAATTGGTTATTAACCTCACTCACTCATTCACAAAATATATGCTCAGCACTGATATATGCATACCTTATAATAACTCATTAATGTATAAAGCCTAGTCAGTTGAAGTATAAGCAAAGGTAAATACCTGTTTCTCTTCCAATCTGACGTGTTCCCAGGTTGATCACAGGTGTTCCAAAAGCTCCCACCTCTCGTACCCCACAGCTGCTATTCCCAATCATACAACCAGCATGAGCAACCAGCTGTATAAACTGGTCAAATGGGACGTGTTTAACTGCACGAAAATTGGGATGATGCTCAATGCCCTTCTTCCGCATCACTCGAACCATCTCTTTGCTCCCTATGAAAATAAAAAGAAGCAATTGGTAAATGGTTTGTGATATAAACCATTTTCATTGGCAGGTATAGCCCACATAAAGAAATCTCCCTAAAAAACCTCACATCAATTATTAGGGAAATAGTAATTTTAACTACTGACTTTTTAAAAGCCCTAGTAAAAACCTTTACCTTAAACAGTTAAGAGGCTAAAGACAGGCCAACAGCCTGTATCTTAACCTGAGAGTTTGCAAATGGAACACTCTCAGGCTCCACACACGCAAGCTGATCAGAGAACCTCTGCCCAGCTACGCTCACTACAAGAACTCAGTGGGACAGCACTCCCATTTATGTGGACTAAACTCCAAGAAAATACAGGTACATTCTGACACTGTGGCTTATATTTTAATTGCATGACTTAATAAAAATTTAAAGATACATGAAGGGGAGGCAATATTTAATGTACCTCCGCTTGCCTCTCAACTGACCCTCTCCTAACTACCCCATACCAAGGGAGGAAAACTGCTAACCTAATTGGGTAGAAGGCAGAAGTATAACCACATCATGCTCATCAGTGGGCAGGCGCCACTCATTTAACCAAAGCTGTGCATGCATGTATGCTTCTCAATCTTTTTAACTTTCACTGTATGGTGAGGTAGGTAAATGGATTTGGGGTCTCTCTGGAGAAGGCTTGCCCACTTCTCCCTATACACAGTCTTGCCAGAGCATCATCTGTAATTATTGTACAGGTTGAGCATCCCTTATTTGACATGGTTGGGACCAGAAATATTTTGGGTTTCAAGTTTGTTTGTTTTTTTAAATATTTCTTATTCTGTCATATTTACCAGATGAGCACCCCAATCTGAAAATCCAAAATCCAAATGTTCCAATAAGCATTTCCTTTGAGTGTCATATTGGCACTCAAAAAGTTTGAGATTTTGAGATTTTGGAGCATTTCAGATTTCAGATTTTTAGATTAGAGATACTCAAACTGTAGTACATGGCACACCAGTGCCACTACTATTCCGAGATTCAGGTTTAGATTCAGTTGAAAGCTCCTCTTTGGCTTTAGGCCTCAATAATCCATTTTTCAGAGAGAGTCCTATACTGGGGCACTGGGCACTGAGCCAGATAATGATAAAGTGATGCCTTGATTCTTATTTTCTTATTGCTCCCTGGGTATATCTTATCAAAAATCCCGTGGAGGGTAGAGGCAAGTGGCAGCCAGGACTTAGATATGCCTGGGACCCTTTACTTTCATAGAGAAAAAATACCTCCAATTCTAAAGTACATATAGTCAGGAAAGTATATTATAAACAATATATCATTGACAATGAATATTGAACAAGAGAGATACATAGTTATAAACATTTATACAAAATTTAAAGGATCAGAGAAGAATAAATATTAAAGTTTCTGAAATACTGATGCATTACCTGGAAAAAATCTGGGTTGGGTATTAAATGTTTTTCAACTAATATCCTACTTTGTTCTCCCTCACAGAAAAGATTATTCAAGGGAACACTTGACAGGGGTTCTTTGAGGGTAAGGTGGTGATATCTTGACATTGCAGAGAAAGGGTTCTGCCTCCTTTACCAAAAAAAAAAAGCCCAAGAATTCAGCAATGAGTGGTATCAGCTAACAATAACCAGTACTTGGAAATTCTTCTGTGTTAGGCTCTGTTCTGGCATTTCTCATTAATATCTCATACCCTCATTAACTCACCTAAGGTCTCAGCAGTACCAAAATCGATAGTACCATCCACCAGTAAGCAAGTGATCAACCAGGGCAGGCTTGAGGATCACTGGTTGGGATTGGCTGGGGACTCCAGATTTAAACTGCTTCAGCTCAAGATTAGACTTTAAGGTATAGTTAATATAAGTAAGAAAGCAAGCAAGAAATAATATTAGTGGCTGATTTACTTTTCTAGAGCTACTCTTTCACTTCAACTTCTACTTTTTTTTTTTTTGAGATGGAGTCTCACTCTCTGTCACCGAGACTAGAGTGCAGTGGTGAGATCTCGGCTCACTGCAACCTCCACCTTCTGGGTTCAAGTGATTCTCCTGCCTCAGCCTCATGAGTAGTTGGGACTACATGTACCCAACACCATGCCTGGCTAATTATTGTATTTTCAGTAGAGACAGGGTTTCCCCATCTTGGCCAGGCAGGTCTCGAACTACTGACCTCAAGTGATCTGCCCACCTCAGCCTCCCAAAGTGCTGGGATTACAGGCATGAGCCACCGCACCTCACCATCTTTCACTTCAACTTCTAAGGTTTATGTCTCTTGACTACTGTGGTTTCTAACTGGTGGAAACTGGAGGGAAACTATTAGTACTAAACATGAGACGAAAGTAGAGAGTAGACAGGCTATTTTTATTATTAAGTTTCTATTGGACTTGGCAAAAACATTAGACTTTTTCAGCTACAGCAAAATTAGTAATCCTTTGAAAATTGGAATGCATTTCAGAATAGAGGGCCCTTCAATAATAAGATGAGCAAGACAGGAAGGCAGTTAAAAGAAAAAGTAATAGAAACATAAAATTTGAAAAAGTAGGTGGCATAATTTCATTTTCAAGTTCAATTACCTGCATCAATATTTGGAAACAGAACTAGGGTCCGCTTGTTAAATGAGATAAGTGCATCCAATGTTAATTCAAACATTTTTATGGAATGCTTAATGTCAGTGGTCACAGGGTGCTGTAGTGCAACAATGTAATCTTTAGATTTTACATCATCACCTGTTTAAAGAAAATCAAACCACATTGCTTCATTAGTTAAGAATCTTAAAAGAGAAAGAAGCAAATTCTGGAAGCAAGACCCTAAGTTTGTGCTTTTAAAAATTCTAAGAAACATTTTGTCATATTCTGAGCAGGGCATCCAAATTAGAGTCAAACGATTAAGAACTTAACAGCAACAAATCCATGGATTCGGCAAACTTAACATTTTACAAAGACATGCTGCCACAAACATAAAATGTAACTTTAAATAGCAGGCACTAGAAATTCACTGTTTTAAAATGTGACTGTTCCCAATTTCTAACTAATGTTTTGAATGAGTATTCAGCAATATCAATGAATAAATAATATGTTGTAGATCAGGGCATTTTGAGACTGAACAAGCATTAAATGTATTTCCTAGAATGTACAGGAACTTCCCTGTACCATCATCTATCAGATTAACAAGTGGCAAGTGTTTCTAATGCTGTTAAAGGACTAAAGAGTTTCACTTATCCCTAAGCTGGGATCCCAAGGACAGTTCTTCAGCAAAATTTAAAATGTAAAAAGTTTAGACTAACAGTGCTATGCCAAACAACACAAGGTATTTATCAACAGGGCCTATATTATCCCATAAAAAGTGAGCTCCACTCACTTTTTTTAATAATTAAAATCATTTATTTATTTTTCCCTAAGTTATGGGGTACAGGTGGTATTTGGTTACATGAATAAGTTCTTTGGTTGTTTTTTGTGAGATTTTGGTGCACCCATCACCCAAGCAGTATACGCTGCACCATATTTGTAGTCTTCTATCCCTTGCCCCATTCCCCTCCCTCCCACTCTTCCCCTCAAGTCCCCAAAGTCCATTGCATCATTCTTATGCCTTTGTATCCTCACAGCTTAGCTCTCACATGTCAGTGAGAACAGACGATGTTTGGTTTTCCATTCCTGAGTTACTTCACTTAGAATAATAGTCTCCAATCTCATCCCAGCCATTGAAAATGCTGTTATGTCATTCCTTTTTATGGCTGCATAGCAATCCATCATATACATACCACAGTTTCTTTATCCACTCGTTGATTGATGGGCATTAGGGTTGGTTTAATGACTTTGCAACTGTGAATTGTGCTGCTATAAACATGCATGTCCAAGTATCTTTTTCGAATAATGACTTATTTTCCCCTGGGTAGATACCTAGTAGTGGATTGCTGGATCAAATGGTAGCTCTACGTTTAGTTCTTTAAGGAATCTCCACACTGTTTTCCATAGTGACTGTACTAGTTTACATTCCCACAGCAGTGTAAAAGTGTTCCCTGGTCACCGCATCCCCACCAGCATCTACTGTTTTTTGATTTTTTGATTGTGGCCATTCTTGCAGGAGTGAGGCGGTATCCCATTATGGTTTTGATTTGCATTTCCCTGGTCATTAGTAATGTTGATCATTTTTTCATATGTTTGTTGGCCATTTGTATATCTCCTTTTGGGAATTATCTATTCATGTCCTTAGCGCACTATTTGCTGGGATTTTTTTTTTCTTCACAATGTATAGATTGTGAAGATTTTCCCCAACTCTGTGGTTGTCTGTTTACTCTGCTGTTCCTTTTGCTCTGCAAAAGCTCTTTAGTTTAATTAGGTCCCAGCTATTTATCTTTGTTTTTATTGCATTTGCTTTTAGGTCCTTGGTCATGAAATCCTTACCTAAGCCAATGTCTTGAAGGGTTTTTCCTATGTTATCTTCTCTAATTTTTATAGTTTCAGGTAATAGGTTTAAGTCTTTATTCTATCTTAAGTTGATTTTTGTATAAGGTAAGAGATGAGGATTCAGTTTCATTTTCCTACATGTGACTAGCCAGTTATCCCAGCCCCATTTGTTGAAAAAGGTATCCTTTCCCCACTTTATGTTTTTGTTTGCTTTGTCAAAGATCAGTTGGCTGTAAGCATTTGGGTTTATTTCTGGGTTCTCTATTCTGTTCCATTGGTCTATATGCCTATTTTTGTACCAGTACCATGCTGTTTTGTTGACTATGGCCTTATAGTATAGTTTGAAATCAGGTAGTGTGAGGCCTCCAGATTTGTTCTTTGTGCTTAGTCTTGCTTTGGCTATGTGAGCTCTTTTTTGGTTTCATAATAATTTTAGAATTGTTTTTACTAATTCTGTGAAGAATAATGGTAGTATTTTGATGGAGATTGCATTGAATCTGTTGATTGCTTTTGGCAGTATGGTCTCTTGCAATATTGATTCTATCCATCCATGAGCATGGGATATGTTTCCACTTGTTCATGCTGTCTATGGTTTCTTTCTTTTTTCTTTTCTTTCCTTTTTTTATTTTTATTTTTGAGATGGAGTCTCACTCTGTTGCCTAGGATGGAATGCAATGGCACAATCTTAGGTCACTGCAACCTCTGCCTCCCAGGATCAAGCAATTCTCCTGCCTCAGCCTCCCAAGTAGCTGGGACTACAAGCATGTGCCACCACGCCTAATTTTTGTATTTTTAGTAGAGTCAGAGTTTCACCATGTTGGATAGGCTGGTCTCAAACTCCTGACCTCAAGTGATTTGCCCACCTGGGCCTCCCAAAGTGCTGGGATTACAGGCATGAGCCACCACGCCAAGCAAAAACTGGTGTTTTATTTTTTTGAGACAGGGTTTTACTCTTGTCACCAAGGCTAGAGTGCTGTAGCACAATCATGGCTCATTGCAGCCTTGATACCCCAGACTCACAAGCAATCCTCTTACCTCAGCCTCTGGAGTAGCTGGGACTACTGGCACACACCATCACACCAAGCTGATTTTTGTATTTTTTGTAGAAACAAAGTTTCGCCACATTGCCCAGACTGTTCTCAAACTCCTAGGCTCAAGTGATCTGCCCACTTTGGCCTCCCAAAGTGCTGGGATTACAGGCATGAGCCACCATACCTGGCATATAATTATTTTCTATTCATTACAAATTTTCCAGAATACATATAGAGCTGACGGTATAATTAGAACAGAATCCAACAGTGTTTCATTGGAAGCATACGAAAAGGAGAGACTGAAGAGACAGAAGATTGTTCCACCAGCATTATCTAGATGACCCTTTGATGACTACAAATCTGTCCAAAGATAAGAAATATTAGAATGAGCCAGGTGCGGTGGCTCATACCTATAAACTCAGCAGTTTGGGAGGCCGAGGCAGGAGGATTGCTTGAGCCTAGGAATTCATGAAACATAGTTTCTCAAGCCTGAGAAATATAGCGAGACCCCATCTCTACAAAAAGTTTTAAAAATTAGCTGAGCATGGTGGCACATGCCTGTAGTCCCAGCTACTCAGGAGGCTGAGGTGGTAGGATCGCTTGAGCCCAGGAGGTCAAGACTGTACCACTGCACTCCAGACTGAACAACAGAAATAGGTAGAATGGATTACGTTATTTAGTAGGAAAGCCCAATTCCTTTCCTATTGTAATGTAATCTAGATTAAAAATATACAAAATCTCTTTGCTTATTCAATTTTCTTTTTCTGTTTTTGTTTGTTTGTTTGTTTGTTTTGTTTTGTTTGAGACAGGGTCTTAATCTGTCACCCAGGCTAGAGTACAGCAGTGTAATCACAGGTCAATGTAGCCTCAACTTCTTGGGCTCAAGTGATCCTCCCATCTCAGCCTCCCAAGTATCTGGGACTACATGCATGCACCATCACACCAGCTAATTTTTTTTTTTTGAGACAGATTTTCGCTCTTATTACCCAGGCTGGAGTGCAATGGCGTGATCTCGGCTCACCGCAACCTCCGCCTCCTGGGTTCAGGCAATTCTCCTGCCTCAGCCTCCTGAGTAGCTGGGATTACAGGCATGTGCCACCATGCCCAGCTAATTTTTTGTATTTTTAGTAGAGATGGGGTTTCACCATGTTGACCAGGATGGTCTCGATCTCTTGACCTCATGATTCAGCTGCCTCGGCCTCCCAAAGTGCTGGGATTACAGGCTTGAGCCACCACGCCCAGCCTAATTTTTTTTATTATTTTTAGAGACAGGGTCTTGCTATATTGCCCAGGCTGGCCTTGAACTCCTGGGCTCAAACAATCCTCCCACCTAAACCTCCCAAAGTGCTGGGATTACAAGGTGAGCCACTACACCTGGCCCAACCAAATCAATTTTCTATTCATTAATTTTATAATTCAGTAAATCTGCCTCTTAGAAATGAAAGGTCCTAAATAGAGAATTAGTCCTGATTTTTCCCCTAGGTATACTCTTACTGTAAATTAACCAACTGACATTCTGTTTGTAAATTTTTTTTAACCTCTGATTAGCAAAAGATAATTTCTAGGAAGCTAGAGCACTGATCATTGAAAATTTTGAAACTTAAGGCTTATTTACAAAAATAATGCTACAACTATGACTCTTGCTTTTTAATAATTATCATCATAATCCCTTATATTAATAAGTACTTATGGCTTACTGTTTCCAACATTCATAATCCGAGTATTCCAACAATTCTATAAGAAAAGCATTAAAAATAAAAATGACCATTTTGCCATTGTAGTAAAAAAGTTTAGAAAATCAGGCCAGGCACAGTGGCTCACGCTTGTAATTCCAGCACTTTGGGAGGCTAAGGCAGGCAGATCACCTGAGGTCAGGAGTTTCAGCCCAGCCTGGCCAACATGGCAAAACCCTCTCTCTACTAAAAATACAAAATTAGCCAGTCATGGTGGCACATGTCAGTAATCCCAGCCACTTGGGAGGCTGAGGCTAGAGAATCGCTTGAACCTGGGAGGTAGAGGTTGCAGTGAGCTGAGATATCACCATTGCACTCCAGCCTGGGCGATGGAGCAAGACTCTGTCTTTAAAAAAATACATTCATTAAATCAAAAATAAAAACACCCATAATCCCACACCAGAAATAAATATAATAAATTACTTGGTGTACATACTTCCTAACCATTCCATTGTTACAGTTTTTATTAAAATGGCATATTACGGCTGGGCGTGGTGGCTCACACCCGTAATCCCAGCACTTTGGGAGCCCAAGGTGGGCGCATCACTTGAGGTCAGGAATTTGAGACCAGCCTGGCCAACATGGTGAAACCCCATCTCTACTAAAAATACAAAAATTAGCGGGACGTGGTGGTGCATGCCTGTAATCCCAGCTACTCAGGAGGCTGAGGCAGGAGCATCACTTGAACCTGGGAGGCAGAGGATGCAGTAAGCCGAGATCATGCCACTGCACTCCAGCCTGGGCAACAGAGCAAGAAAAAATTAAAATAATAAAAAATTAAATCAACAAAATAAAATGGCATATTATACATATAATTTTATAGCTCCCCCCTTTGACATATTAAGATCGTTCTTATAACTAAATATTCCCCCATGATGTTATATTTAATGGATTAAAAGCAGTCCATTGAATAAATATAGCAGAGATTTTTAAGAATCAATCCATTAAGCCTATTTTACAGAAAAGGTGAACCTCAGAGAGGTAAAATCATACCATAGGGCAAGGTTTATGAACTAAAACCTTGGCCTTCTCATTGCTAACAGAGATTCTAGCCATAACAGTTTCGAAAAGGATTGAAATATATGCAACATTTTCTGACAAAAACAGCCGTTAGACTGACTAAAGTCTGAGATACGTACCTAGCCACATCCGAATGATGCTCATGTAGTCTTTGTTCTTGGCTGAGAGGAGTTTGTCATAGGAAGGGCAGCCTGCCAAAAGGATGCGATCATGGTCCTCACACATGGATATCAGGTGCTGCTCTGCACTTCGGGTGCAGCACACATGATAATGAGCCAGTTTTGTTATGGCATGTCTGATAGAGTCATCAATGGTCCCACTGACTTCCCCACCTTCAATGTGAAGGATTCGGATGTTCATCAAGGCAGCAGATGTAGCCAGAGCCAGGGCATCAAACCTGTCTCCATGAACAATCATGATATCAGGCTTTAGGCGATTAAGGACATCTGGCAGCTTCACTAGGGCCAGGCCTACTGACTCCACCATAGCTGCCTCATCTTCTCCCCTCACAATTGTGTGGAGCCTGGTGTTAATGTCAAAGTCATCTTGTTCAATCATTCGATATGTATTTCTAAAGCAGGAGAGAAATAAAGATATAAAAACATGTTTCTTAAACACAGAGCTATAACATACAAGGAAAGCAATCTAACACCAACCCTGAAGTGAGAAACATTAAAATAAATTGAAGTAAACTTACAAACATAAAAAGCATATACCATAAGTGTATACAGCCTGATTAAGACTCTTTTTTTTTGAGATGGAGTCTCACTCTGTTGCCCAGGCTGGAGTGCAGTGGCGTGGTCTTGGCTTACTGTAACTTCTACCTCCTGGGTTCAAGCGATTCTTCTGCCTCAGCTTCCTGAGTACCTGGGATTACGGGTGCCTCTCACCACACCCAGCTAATTTTTTGTATTTTAGTAGAGATAGGATTTCACCAGGTTGACCATGCTCTTCTCGAAATCCTGACCTCAGGTGATCTGCCTGCCTCGCCTCCCAAAGTGCTGGGATTACAGGTGTGAGCCACCATGCCCGGCCAAGATTTTTACATGAGTACTCTTGTAGCTGCCATCCAGATCAAGATATAACACATTTAGCACCTTGAAAGAATCACTTGTGCCCCCTTCCAATCAGCACCTGGAGGAAGAAACACCTGATGGAGATTTTTATTTAATTAATTAATTTTTTGAGATGGAGTCTCGCTCTGTTACCCAGGCTGGGGTGTAGTGGCACGATCTCAGCTCACTGCAGCCTCCGCCTCCCAGGTTCAAGCAATGCTCCTGCCTCAGCCTCCTGAGTAGCTGGGATTACAGCTGCATACCACCACACCCGGCTAAATTTTGTATTTTTAGTAGAGACAGGGTTTCACCATGTTGTCCAAGCTGGTCTTCATTAAACTCCTGACATCAGGTGATCCACCCACTTCGGCCTCCCAAAGCACTAGGATTACAGGTGAGCCATAGTGCCCAGCCCATTACAGTTTTATTTGTAAAATCTGGAAAGCAATATAGTACAGTGGAAAGAGTGCTACCAGAAAGTAGACCCCATCCAGATCCCAAGAGAGGGTTCTCAGACCTCACACAACAAGGAATTCAGGGTGAGTCTATACAGTAATGTTTAAACAGGCAGTTAAATGAAATGCCTTTTGGAAAGTTGGTTTAACACTTTATTCAGGTGAATCTGTTTCAGTTTTGCTTTAAAGTGCAAACGGGATATCATTTTTGCTTGTAAGCTGTGTGGCCCTTCTGGATTTTCAGTGAAAAGCCTGAGGTGTTTATGAAGCCCCTCTAACTTGGTAGGACTCAAACTGCAAACTATATCCTCTGCAGTGGACAGCACATGAAATACCTACTCAGTTTCTTCAGCCTCCAGCTGTTTCTTCTACCAGAATTTTTGGGAGTCTCATGCATGTGCAGTTTAGTGGTCAATCAAGAATCTGAGAGGAGTTTACATACAATCTTTATGGGTTTTTTTGTTTTTGAGACAGGGTCTCACTCTGTTGTCCAGGCTGGAGTCCAGTGGCAAACTCTCAGCTCACTGTAATCTCTGCCTCATCAGTTCGATTCTTGTGCCTCAGCCTTCCAAGTAGCTGGGATTACAGGCATGCACCACAATGCCCAGCTAATTTTGTAATTTTAGTAAAGACAAGGTTTCACCATGTTGGCCAGGCTGGTCTCAAACTCCTGATCTCAGGAGGAGTGGCTGGGACTATAGGCACGTAGTCCTTCTGGCCTCCTGTGACCCACCCACCTTGGCCTCCCAAAGCATTGGAATTACAGCCATGAGCCACCATGCCCGATCTACTTTATGTACAGATTTTAGGGCTTCTCCTTAGTGGCTCCCTCAGTTCCAGAATCTTTCCCATCAATTTCCAGACACTACGGGCAGTCCAAATTCCATTTTTTGGCATCTCACCCTAAACAACTGTGGCTTTTTACCTGAGTTCTACCCGCCTTTCCCATGTGGACTGGGGGATACTCAGGGGTAAAGCCATTTAAACATGGATCTCACCAACTATAGTTCCTTCTTTTACAGATTGAAATTTCTTTCCATTTCTGCCTGCTGTTGGTTGCTCTCCAGTGCCTTCAACTATTTTTTAAAATACTTTTCCAGAGTTGATAAAAGGTAGTCAAGTATAAGCTGCCCTGTCATTACTGGAACCTGAACTTCTTTTTCCTAAATATTTCATAATTTAAGTTGTATGTGCAGTTCAATTTCTCCTAATTTTTCTTCCAGTAATGAAAACACTTAAGATCAAAAATTTATTTTTTATTATGTGTTTTCCTTTATTTTATTATCTCTTATTTTTATTATTTATCTGTGTATCATCTATCTCCTCCACCAGAATATAAGTTCTGTGAAAGCAGAGACTTTGTTTCTGTCTTAGTTGCCACTTGGCACAACAATGCTTGTTAAATGAACAAATGAAAAAATTTCACAGTTAAAAGTCACTGACTTTTGTCTCCCAGTCATCCAATTCTTCTCACCAGAAGCAACCAATTTCTTATGTTAGAATGTACTTTAAACATGTATTTTCGAGCCAGGTGCGGTAGCTCACGCCTGTAATCCTAGCACTTTGGGAGGCTGAGGTGGGTGGATCACCTGAGGTCAGGAGTTCAAGACTAGCCTGGCCAACCTGGTGAAACCCCATCTTTAAAAAACAACAACAACAACAACAACCAAAAAAACAAAAAAAACATGCATTTTCATTAAGTACTAGTCAAATTTCCTATTTAACAATCTCATCAGATAAATACTATTTTTCCACCCTTGATAACTGGTAGGCAGATAAGAAACCTACTACAATTTCCCTGAATGCCTCTCTTCTGCTAGTCCTCCTGTAAAGGCTTTCTCACAGGAAAAGAACACACTCAGACTTTCATCTCAGGTTCTAGCTAAAATTTCTCTTCTATCGAGAGGATGTTCCTAAATGGTCAGAATTCATTTCACATTTAAAACAAAATCTATGGATCCCTGAGTTTTCCATTAAGTTTCTTCTCTGCTCCTTAAGTATTTCCTAATAGCAAATACCTAACTTGTTTTTAAAGAATAGTCTGAAAAGGACAATTTTATTTTAACACAAGGTTCTTTCAGATACTTGTATTTGTGACTCTCTTTGGAGACTGCATTAATGCATTCATGCCACAAGGGTGCACTAGATGCCTTTTTATTACATATAGCAAGATGTATGTAATACCTCTTGTTCTCTCAAAGATTATCCAACATTCACTTTTTTTTTTTTTTTTTTGAGACAGAGTCTCACTCTTGTTGCCCAGGCTGGAGTGCAATGGTGTGATACCGGCTCATTATAACCTCCACCTCCAGGGTTCAAGCTATTCTCCTGCCTCAGCCTCCTGAGTAGCTAGGACTACAGGCATGCACCACCCCACGTGACTAATTTTTTTGTATTTTTAGTAGAGGCAGGGTTTTGCCATGTTGGCCAAGCTGGTCTTGAATTTCTGACCTCAGGTGATCTGTCTACCTTGGCTTCCCAGAGTGCTAGGATTACAGGTGTACACCATTGTGCCTGACCCAACCTTCACTTTTTAAATGTAGCCTGTGATTAATAACAAACCTAATGTCACCAAAATAAATGCCAATGGTCACAGTAGTATAACTCTCTCCTTTAACTTGTAGATTAATTAGATTTTTTAAATCTTGTTCCATATCTAGTACTTTATATGCTGTTGGCCTATAAACCAGTTTTAAAGAACTGCCATTGGAGCTCACAAAACAGATTACATGGAATCAACATTATTATTACTCATACAATATGTATTTGTAAGTGACATTTCTCTAAATGTAACAACTGATAACAAATATTAATATTATTTATAGCTACCATTTATCAATCATCTACTAAGCAGCATCATTGGGATAGATGCTCTATACCACGATCTCCATTTCTCACAATAATTTACAATATGTTTTCACTACATTTTATAATGAGGAAACTGAGGCTTAGAGATGCTATGCAACTTCTTTAAGGCCACATAAAAACTATGCAGCAGAACTGGAATTTGAAGCTGGGCCCATACGGCTACAAAACTCAAGCTCCCTCTAGCACACCGTTGCAATGAAGAATAAGAAAATGCTGTGGAAGACAGTGTGGCGATTCCTCAAGGCCTTAGAAATAGAAATTCCATTTGACCCAGCAATCCCATTACCGGGTATATATCCAAAAGACTATAAATCGTTCTACTATAAGGACACATGTACACGAATGTTCATTGCAGCACTGTTTACAATAGCAAAGACCTGGAATCAACCCAAATGCCCATTGATAATAGACTGGATTGGAAAAATGTGGCACATATACACCATGGAATATTATGCAGCAATCAGAAATGATGAGTTCGTGTCGTTTGTAGGGACATGGATGAATCTGGAAAACATCATCCTCAGCAAACTGACACAAGAACAGAAAATGAAACACCGCATATTCTCACTCATAGGTGGGTGATGAAAAATGAGAACACATGGACACAGAAAGGGGAGTACTAAACACTGGGGTCTATTGGGGGGAAAAGGGGAGGGCCAGTGGGAGGGGGAGGTGGGGAGGGATAGCCTGGGGAGAAATGCCAAATGTGGGTGAAGGGGAGAAGAAAAGCAAAGCACACTGCCATGTGTGTACCTACGCAACTGTCTTGCATGCTCTGCTCATGTACCCCAAAACCTATAATCCAATAAAAAATTAAAAAAAATAAAATAAAATAAAAAATAAATATAAGAAGAGAAAATGTGAAAAAAAAAAAAAAAAGAAAATGCTTTCATCTTACCCATAGTCATCGATCAGGTGAGAGCCAAGTACCACAACATCAAGTTCAAAGAAGTCAGGCTCAGTTTTAATGCCAAACATGATTGGGGCAAGTTTAGAATAATCTGCACGGTTACAAGTAGCAACACAAACCCGCAGCTTTCGGTTATTTCCATTCTTCTCCATGATGTGTTTGTTTCGTTTTGAGAGGTTCTTAAAATAGAGTTCCTGAAATTGACAAAATAAAAACTTTGTAATCAGAATAATAACTCCCAGATATAACTAAACTTTAAACTTCTCTCAATCAAAAATAGAAATTTTCAGTTTTATGTCTTTACTAATTAGTATAGTGATTCTTAATCTTTTTACAAAATACTGTGATTAGTGCTGGGAAGGAGAAAGATGAGTAAGTTAAAAACCTGACCTTCAAGCCCTCATCAGTACCTACACACCAGTGCCCACAAAACTGACAACTCCCAGTGCCTATCAGATATCTCCTGCTGTATGTCCCATATCCACCTTCAAGTCAGTGTCCCAAACTGAACTCATTTTCTTTTCCAAACCCATTCCTCCTCAGTTATTCTCTGAGTTACACAATTTCATTCATCCAAATGCCTTGAAATCCTTGTCTCTTCTGTTTCTCACCCCATATCTCCAAAACGCTGTCAATTCTACCTGATAAATATCTTTCAAATCTATCTTCTCCTCTTCATCCTTACAAGGACTTCCCCTAGTCCAGTCCCTCATTTTAGGTCTGGACGATAGTAACAGCTGTCAATGTGGTTTGCCTGCCTCCTACAAACTTTCTTTTCTATTTGTTCATTTATTTAGAGACAGAGTCTTACTCTATAGCCCAGGTTTGAGTGCAGTGGCACAATCTTGGCTCACTGCTACCCTCGCCTCCAGGTTCAATTTTCCTGCCTCATCCTCCCGAGTAGCTGGGATTATAGTCGCCCACCACCATGCCCAGCTAATTTTTGTATTTTTAGTAGGGATGGGGTTTTGCCACGTTGGCCAGGCTGGTCTTGAACTCCTGGCCTTAAGTGATCCACCTGCCTTGGCCTCCCAAAGTGCTGGGATAACAGGCATAAGCCACTGCACCCAACCTCCTACAAACTTTCAAAGTGATCCTCCTTTCCCACTATCTCTTCCCTAAAATTACCCTTACTCTGTGCCAAAGCGCCAGCCATACCAAACTGCCTCCAGTTCAACTAGTGGCTCTCCATGTATCTGTACTTTTATAGATGCCAAGTACTTTTTCCTAAAACTTCCTTTCCCTCTTGCCTGGTCTTCTACTCATCCTTCAAAACTCAAAGTGTCATCCTTTCTGGAAAAGCTTCACACAAACCTCAGATCCTCCTCCCCCACCTTTCTCAGTTGCTGCCTTGCTCTGAGCATTATGGCCTTCCCATTCGCAGATATACTATTGCTAAGCTTCTCTGCTCGCTCATCCCTCCCTGCCATGCTATACCCTCCATTCAAAAAGTAAAAATCAGGGGCAAGGAATAAGAGATTTGTTTTTATTTTATTTTATTTTTTATTTTTTTGAGACGGAGTTTTGCTCTTATTACCCAGGCTGGAGTGCAATGGTGCGATCCCAGCTCACCACAACCTCCGCCTCCTGGGTTCAGGCAATTCTCCTACCTCAGCCTCCTGAGTAGCTGGGATTACAGGCTGCACCACCATGCCCAGCTAAGTTTTGTATTTTTAGTAGAGACGGGGTTTCACCATGTTGACCAGGATGGTCTTGATCTCTTGATCCACCTACCTCAGCCTCCCAAAGTGCTGAGATTACAGGCTTGAGCCACCGTACCCGGCCCAGGAATATTTTTTAAATTTTAAAAAAATTTTTGGAGATGGGGTCTTGCTGTGTCACATAAGCTAGAGTGCAGTAGCTATTCACAAGCACGATCATAGCTCACTGCAGCCTGGAACTCCTGGGCTCAAGCAATCCTCCCACCTTGGCCTCCTAAGTAGCTGGAACTACAGGCATACACCACTGTACCAGGCTTGGAACATGTTAAACTCCGCTAAATCAACATAAAATTTCACCTCATGGACTCTGATCTCAATGTTCATGTTTCAGTAAGTGTATCAATATTTAGAATTTGTAATCAGGAATGTGGAGATGCTTCAGTAAGGATTCCAATACAAGGGGTGCCATCTTTTAGATGAGAGTAAACTCTGAAATTAACTGGAAATTCCATCAGCAGCCCTCCGTTGTTGGTACCTCATCTCTCTTAGGCTAAAATTCTGTGACCACGCAAACTCACTCATCATTAGGCACACTCTGAATTTATAATCCCCAGTAAAAACTAATTTCACCAAATGGCAGACTGCTTACAATATAATGAAACAGGCATTCCACCAAGAGAGTTGTATTCAGAACACCTAAGCACTATGTAATCTTTTTTTTTGAGACAGAGTCTTGCTCTGTCACCCAGGCTGGAGTGCCTCCCAGGTTCAAGCAATTATCCTGCCTCGCCCTCCCAAGTGGCTGAGACTATAGGCACGTGCCACCATGCCTGGCTAATTTTTTGTATTTTTAGTAGAGTTGGGGTTTTACCATGTTGGCCAGGCTGGTCTCAAACTCCTGACCTCATGATCCACCTGCCTCGGCCTCCTAAAGTGCTAGGATTACAGGCATGAGCCACCGCACCCAGCTGCAGTGTCTAATCTTTAAAGAAACAAAAATATTCTTCCAAAAATGGTTGTCCTAAGTGTTCTTCTATATAATCTTTCTTCCAGTGATCAAATTTGATCTGAATAAATTGTTGGTAATATTTAATTTGCTGGGTGAGGCAAAACAAATCATTCATGGTTTGTCAATTTGTATTTATTTTACAAAGAACAGTAAATGTTCCATCTGGCAGTATTAAAATGCTTAATATTTACCAGGTTACTCAAAGCTTATCCTATCTAAACTAAGAGCAAGCTGACATTTAAATATGCGGTGAAAATACAACAATGTTACCTAAACTCAAAGCTTTTTTTTTTTTTTTTGAGACAGTATTACTCTGTTGCCCAGGCTGGAGTGTAGTGGCGCAATCTCGGCTCACTGCAACCTCCGCCTCCTGGGTTCCAGTAATTCTCCTGCCTCAACCTCATCAGTAGCTGGGATTACAGGCCACCACACCTGGCTTATTTTTATATTTTAGTAGAGAGAGGGTTTCACCATGTTGATCAGGCTGGTCTTGAACTCCTGACCTCGTGTTCCACCTGCCTCGGCCTGCCAAAGTGCTGGAATTACAGGCATGAGCCACCGCGTCTGGCCCAAGTCAAAGCCTCTTTAAGGAAAGAAGTTAAATCTTAATAAGAAAATTATGGTAAAATGCTTTTTTAAGGGGAGGTTTTAAAAAATAATTTTAATTAACTCAATTTTTTATTAGGTAGTATATTCACATGGTTTAAAATTGAAAAGTCACAAGGGGTTAAATAGCAAAAAGTCTTTTCATCTGTGTTCCCCAGCTAGCTAGTTCTTTTCCCTGGAAGCAAACAGTTACTGGTTTCTTATCTGTCCTTCCATAGATAAACTAGGATAATATAAATAAATATGTGGTGCATGCTTGTAATCCCAACACTTTGGGAGGCAGAGGCTAGTGAATCACGTGAGCTCAGGAATTTAAGAACAGCCTGGCCAACATGGTGAAACTCCATCTCTACTAAACATACAAAAAAATTAGCCAGGTGTTGTAGCACATGCCTATAGTCCCAGCTACTTGGGAGGCTGAGGCAGGAGAATCACTTGAACACATGAGGTGAAGCTTGCAGTGAGCCAAGATCTTGCTACTGCACTCCAGCCTGGGTGACAGAATTAGTCTCTATCTGAATATACAGACACACACACACACACACACACACACACACACACACACACGATGTGTATATACACATATATATACACACATATAGACAATGTATATTATACAATTGGTAACATATTCTACAAACTGTTGTTGCAAATCTTACTTTTTTTTTTTAGACAGTCTCTGCTCTGTCACCCAGGCTGGAGTATAGTAACATGACCTTGACTCACTGCAACTTCTACCTCCTGGGTTCAAGAGATTCTCGTGCCTCAGCCTCCTGAGTTGCTGGGATTACAAGTACCTGCCACCAAGCCCTGCGAATTTGTTTATATCTTTAGTAGAGATGGGGTTTCACCATGTTGGCCAGGCCAGTCTCAAACTCCTGACCTCACGTGATCCACCCACCTTGGCCTCCCAAAGTGCTGGGATTACAGGCATGAGCCACCACACCCAGCCGCAAATCTTACTTTTTAAAATGCTTTTAATTATGACTCAATTAAATGGTAGAACAGGAACGTTTAAAGATGATATTAGAAATACCAAATCTAAAAATGCAAAGTTTTGGAAATTGCTGGCCATCAACTTGTCAAACATACAAATTGTTATAGGCCCTAAAATTTAGCAAAAACACTCAACTTTGGCCAGGTACAGTGGTTCATGCCTGTAATCCCAGCACTTTGGGAGGCTGAGGCAGGCAGATCACCTGAGAGTTGGAGACCAGCCTGGCCAACATGGTGAAACCCTGTCTCTGCTAAAAATACAAAACTTAGCCAGGTGTGGTGGCATGCGCCTATAATCCCAGCTACTCAGGAGGCTGTGTCAGGAGAAATGCTTGAACCTAGGAGGTGGAGGTTCTAGTGAGCCAAGATCAAGCCACTGCACTCCAGCGTGGGAGACAAAGTAAGACTCCATCTCAAAAGAAAAAAGAAAAAAATAGCCGGCATGGTGGTGTGTGCCTGGAATCCCAGCTATTTAGGAGGCTGAGACACAAAAATCACTTGAACCCAGGAGGCAGATGTTGCAGTGAGCCAAGATCACCCCACTGCACTCCAGCCTGGGCAAATGAGTGAGACTGTCTCAAAAAAAAAAAAAAAAAAATTAAAAATAAAAACAAGAAACCTGGCTGGACATGGTGGTTCATGCCTGTAATCCCAGCATTTTGGGAGGCTGAGGCAAGAAGGACTGCTTGAAGTCAGGAGTTCAGGACCAGCCTGGGCAACATAGTAAGACCCCTGTCTCTACAAAATTTTTTTGTAATTAGCCGAGTGTGGTTGTGCACATCTGTAGTCCTAGCTACTTGGGAGGCTGAAGCAAGAGGATCACTTGAGCCCAGGAGTTTGAGGTTGCAATGAGTTATGATCACTTCATGCCACCACACTTCAGTCTGAGTGATGGAGCAAGACCCTATCTTATAAAAAATTAAAATTTAAATCCAGCCTGTGGCAAGTAAATTTCGTTTTGTAAGAAGACAATCACTTTTCATCAATACTTTGATGGACAGTCTTGAGTTGAGAGATGGAAAAAGCAGTCAAGAATTGGGTTTCTCAGATTTCAGATTGCCAGTGAATTCAAGATTAAGGCAAACTTGTCTATAAACATGGTCTTAGGTAACTTTGTTCTATTTTTCAGTTTACTCATATGGCCAGCTTGCTCTCAGTTTAGGTAAAATAACCTTTGAGTAACCTGGTAAGTACTAAGCATTTTAGTACTGCCAGATGGAACATTTACTGTTCTTCGTAAAATAAATACAGATTAACAAACCGTGAATGATTTGTTTTGTTTCACAGTATTTTTTTTTCTTAAGATGAAGTCTCACTCTGTTGCTCAGGCAAGAGGGCAGTGGGCGGGATCTCAGCTCACTGTAACCTTCACCTCCCAGGTTCAAGCGATTCTCCTGCCTCAGCCTCCCAAATAGCTAAGATTACAAACACACGCCACCACGCCTGGCTAATTTTTTATTTTTTTAGTAGAGACGGGGTTTCACCATGTTGGCCAGGCTGTTCTCAAACTCCTGACCTCAAGTGAGCTGCCTTGGCCTTGCCTCACAAAAATTAAAAATTGAAATTAAAAGTCACAAGAGACTAAATAGCAAAAAGTCTTCTCATATGTGTTCCCCAGTTATATTAATTCTTTTCCCTGGAAGGAACTATGGTACAAATTGGAAAAGAATTACTGCATTTCAGCCTGGGTGACAGAGTGAAACCCTATCTTAAAAAATTAAAATTAAAAAAAATAAATAAAAACAGAAATATTTTAAATGAACATTATGAGGTAGGTGCAATGTCAATAATCCCCTCAAGCCCAGAGCTCAGAAAGTCAGAAGGTGGGACTGGATATTTGCATCCATTTCACTCTTCAATTCTATAATTGTAACCTGAGCCACCAAAAGAAAGACAGAAAAATAGATAATAGGTGACAGATGGATGGATGATAGATGATAGGCAGACAGACGGATCATAGTTTTCAGACAAGTTTGCCTTCATCTTAAACTCACTGGCAATCTCTGAGAAACCCAATTCTTGTTTTTTGTTTTTGAGACAGTCTCTCACTCTGTAGCCCGAGCTGGAATGCAGTGACACAATCTTGGCTCACTACAACCTCCACCTGCTGGGTTCAAGCGATTCTCCTGCCTCAGCCTCCCAAGTAGCTGGGATTACAGGCATGTGCCACCATGCCCAGCTAATTTTTTTGTATTTTTAATAGAGGCAGGATTTTACCACATTGGCTGGGCTGGTCTCGATCTCCTGACCTCAGGTGATCCACCGCCTGGCCTCCCAAAGTGTTGGGATTACAGGCGTGAGCTGCTGTGCCTGGTCAGAGAAACCCAGTTCTTTTTTTTGGTGTTGAGATGGAGTCTCCCTCTGCTGCCCAGGCTGGAGCACAGTGAGATCTTGGCTCACTGCAACCTCTGCCTCCTGGATTCAAGCGATTCTTCTGCCTCAGCCTACTGAGTAGCTGGGATCACAGGTGCCCACCATCATGCCTGGCTAATTTTTGTCTTTTTAGTAGAGACAGGGTTTCACCGTGTTGGCCAGGCTGGTCTCAAACTCCTGACCTCGGTGATCCACCTGCCTCAGCCTCCCAGTGCTGGAATTACAGGCGTGAGCCACCGCACCCAGCAGAAACACAATTCTTAAAGGCTACTTTCTGCATTCTCTCAACTCAAGATTGTCCATTATAAATGCTGACAAAAGGTGATTAATCCTTTCCAGAAAAATAACATCTCCCACTCAACTGTGGAAAGAGTTCTTTGTGAATTTAATTTTTTAAGGCAATCAACTGAAAATGATGAATACTTGGTTCTAGCAGTCACTGAACAGAGGAAACAACAGCAAACACTTGCTGAGCACTTCTGAGTGCCAAACATTGTGCTAATAGCTTTACACGTACTAACTCATTTCATCCTCACAGCCCTCGTATTAGCCCCACTTACAGACAGGAGGCACAGAGAAAATAATTTACTTGCCCCAAATCAATGTACAATAGCTCATCATTGGCCAGGCTCGGTGGCTGACACCTATAACCCCAGCACTTTGGGAAGCCGAGGCAGGTGGATCACTTGAGGTCAGTTCAAGACCAGCCTGACCACAACCCTGTCCTACTAAAAATACAAAAATTAGCTGAGTGTGGTGGCGGACGCCTGTAATTCCAGCTACTTGGGAGGATGAGGCAGGAGAATCGCTTGATCCCGAGAGGTAGAGGTTGCAGTGGGCCCAGGTCACGCCACTGCACTCCATCCTGGGGGACATGGCAGACTCCATCTAAAAAACAAAGTTCATCATTGAGAGAACCGAAAATTAAACCCTTGATAAATGACTTCAGCGCTCACAATACTGTCCCACATCCAGTGTTTGCCTTGTGTCTGTTCATTCCATAAACATCCATTAAGTACAAATCTTCCTTTAAAATATGATAAATCGCCCTTCCTTCAGTGCAATGAGGATGAGACCAACAGGAATAAGAAGAAAAGAGCTATATAAAGCAGTCTGAAAGTCAAGGCCCCATTCCGAAGCCATAATTCGGTTTGGCTTCTCCTGCGGCGCTCCTACAGTTGGGTTAACCAGTTACCTATACTGCGAAATTGTACCCCACCCCTCCTACCAGAGAGGTAAAAAAAAATACGTTTTTGTGTACAAGCATGCTTGTAAAACTGGGGACGGGAAGGTGGAGGCGACAATAAAGCCCAGACTCAGAATGTACTCAGAGTAAGGAGGATTTTCAGAGTAAGGAGACCTTTTAGCCCAGCCCTTTCCGCGCTAGGACAGCTGGCCTTCTAGGCAGCTCTCCACCCTCTCTCGTCCGGCTCCTAAAGGGACACTCAGCATCCCCCCTGGCTGGACAGCACTGTCCCAGGGCCAAGTCACGCTGGGCCTCCCTCTACATTCCCTCCCCTGCTCATCCGGGCCCACCCTGAATCTCACGGCGAAGCCCTGAATTGGGCCAAAGAGAGACCCTATGGTGCAGGCCTGCAGGACACTGGGCGAGACCCGGCTCCAGCGGGGGCCTGCGGGCGCGGTGGTGGAAAGCGGCCAGGGAGCGGAGGCCTGGGGCAGGAGGCCGGAGGAGGCAGCCCTGGGGTTGAGCAGAATGCTCTTTCCAAGTCCCCCGCCGCCGCGCGGCTCTCACCAGACGCCGTCAGAGGCTCCCTCCCGCGCCGCCACCGCGCTCCTCCGGCGAGAGCCGAACTAAGTGCCACGAAGCCGGCAGAGAGCGAGCCCGCCCCTCGGTTTCCGCGCTATGGAGCGCGGGTTGATGACTCGTCGCTCGACCCTGACCCCCGCTTCTCCGCTCGCCCTGCCACGCCCAACCGGAGCTCTGAATCCGGGAGCGCGCCCTGACGCCATCCTACAGGCTCCCGTGATTGGCTGCCTCCGTCCCCGCCCCGCCCCCTTCCCCGAGGCTTTTGGAAGCGCTGGCTGGGTGCAGATCGTCGAAGCACCTTCCGCGGTCTTTGCCGCGCTGATCTGCAGCAGAACTCTTCTGCCAGTCTGTGCTCTCAACCCCAAGCGTCCTTCTCCGTTGGCGACACACGCACTGAATCCCGAGTCTTCCTACAGGGTAGTTGTTTTGGTCTTGCACCCGAGGAGGGATTTCTTGCGCCTCTCGTTCCCTTAGTTATTTCACCAGGACCGAAACAATATTGTCGTGTAGCTCTTCCAGCCCGTACATTGTCACTGACATTAAGCCTTGTCGTGACTGCTGGAAGACACTGGTGGAGTGTGAATTGATGACTAAGGCGTGGCGGAGCCTGGGCAACATAGGGAGACCCTTGTCTCAAAAACAACAACCCAAAGTCCTACCCTTCTTCAGGAGCTGCGCAAGCACTTTATCACCACGTTTACCCTTTACCGCCATGTTTCTCCCTGTACGTCTCTAGGCCTTGGGACTGGCTGGGGGTTCCCTGTAGCGGAGGCCGCCCCTGAACTGATAATAAACATCATCTGCTGCTTCCCTCTCTCACTTAAAAGGACCTCCGTGATTACATTGGGTCCACTTATTAGTTCAGAATAATTTTCCCTTCTGAAAGTCCTTGCCACATCTGCAGTGCTCCTCTTGCCAAGTAAGGAAACGTATTCACAGGTTCCAGGGATTAAGATGTGGATATCAATTAGCTGGGTGTGGTGACGCCTGCCGGCAGGCCCAACTACTCAGGAGGCCGAGGTAGGAGAATCGCTGAAACCTGGGACACAGAGGTTGCAGTGAGCTGAGGTCATGCCACTGCACTCCACCTGGCGAAAGAGTTAAGACTGTCTCAAAAAAAAAAAGATATGGATATCTAGGCCAGGCATGGTGGGCGGATCACAAGGATAGGAGTTCGAGACCAGCCTAGCCAACATGATGACACCTTGTCTCTACTAAAAGTACAAAATTAGCCAGGTATGGTGGCACACACCTGTAGTCCAAGCTAATTGGGAGGCTGAGGCAGGATAATAGCTGGAACCTGGAAGGCAGAGTTTGCAGTGAGCCGAGATCATGCCACTGCACTCCAGCCTGGGCGACAGAATGAGACTGTCTTAGAATTAAAAAGATTGGGGAGCTCTCTCTTCTGCCTACCGCAAGATGTATTGAAAGTCACTTGAAGTCAAGATGGGTATGTTGTTTTTAAAGTTATATACGGTACCTTCAAATATGCAGAGTAGACGTTAATTCCTTCTTCGTGAAAGGTAAGAAAAATTAACTTTAAAAACAATGCTTAATGTTCAGTCTTTTTTTTTTTTCAAGAGATGGGGTCTTGCTATGTTGCCCAGGCTGGAGTGCAGTGGCTATTCACAGGCGCCATCCCACTACTGATTAACTTGGGAGTTCTGACCTGCTTCATTTCCGACTTGGGCCGGTTCACCCCTCCTTAGGCAACCTGGTGGTCCTCCGCTCCCGGGAGGTCACCATATTGATGCTGAACTTAGTGCGGACACCCGATTGGCCTAGCGCACTGCAGCCCTGAACTCCTGGGCTCAAGCAATCCTTCCACCTCAGCCTCCCGAGTAGCTGGGACTACAGGCAGGCGCCACCCCGCCCAGCTAATGTTCAGTCTTTAAAATCTGGGTATTGATTACATAGGTGTGTTTAGTTTGTGAAAACTCAAATTATAAACGTAATATATATGTACTTTTTATGTATGTTGTACTGTAATGTTTTTAAAATGTTTAATATAGCTAGAAAAATTATAAATATAAATACTTTTAACAGTAGGTAATACATTTTGAGAATTGTATGCACTTTCTAAGCCATTTGTAAGTTTTGTGTTTGACCAATATTAAAAATTTTATATTTCCATATATGGGCAGGTAGTTCTTTGTGCATGGAATCATTTAACGTTAACTGAAGTAATCTTTTTAGAATTTTCTTGTATACTTTCTTAAGATCAAACTGCAGCAAGTACCCTACCCTTAAGAGGCATTTTCTTTTGGCTTTTTGAGATCACTTTCTATTGGTAAATAATATTACATTTCTGGATTTCTGTTACTTTACTGTTTAACATTGTGAATTGACATACCAAAAATCTTCACTAGTTAAGTTTGGTTTGTATGATTTGGTTTCATTTGACTTTAGTCTGAGAACTATTCAAGTTACAAAAAAATTACTTATGGCTTTGTAGTATAATAAAATCAGATTTTTCTAGAGGTTACTCCATAAGCATAAATGTAACTTCAAGCATTCAGGGCATAATTAGGCTATGACTCTTAAGGACCTTAAGAGATCCTCTAATCTAACCCTCTCATCAGAGCTGGGAGACCTTCCAACAGCATCTCTGACCGACGCTCATCTGGCCACTTTGGGAACATTTCGTGTAACAGACTTGTCTTATTTTATTTGGTGATTTAATTATTATAAAGTACTTTGCCTCTCTGTAAATTCTACCCATGTATTAGTAGCCTAAACATTTCTAAAATAAAATAGCCTAAATTATTCTAAACATTGTTATCTGTATTCACTCAGTACTCATAACAACGTTAAGATGTGTATAAACCCCCTACTTTACAGATAAAAAGACCAAAACACAGAAGTTAAAGTTGCCTAAGGTTCCACAGCTGTTAAACAGAAGAGCCCAGCCCTTGATACCACTTGCTTAGCTACTACTGCCCAGTATTTCCTCTTTATACTAACTAGGGCCTTGTACTTTATGACAGAAACCCCTCTCAAGGTTCATCTCAGTCATCACTTTTTTCTTTTCTTTTTTTTTTTTGAGACAGGATCTCACTCTCTTGCCCAGGCTACAGTGCAGTGGCATGATCTCGGCTCACTGCAACCTCTGCTTCCCAGGTTCAAGCGATTCTTCTGCCTCAGCCTCCTGAGTAGCTGGAATTACAGGCACTTGCCACCACGCCTGGCTAATTTTTGTATTTTTAGTAGAGACAGGGTTTTACCGTGTTGGCCAAGCTGGTCTCAAACTCCTGACTTCAAGTGATCTGCCTGCCTTGGCCTCCCAAAGTGCTGGATTACAGGCATGAGCCACTGTGCCTGGCCTATAGTATCACTTTTTAGCTAAGTGGTTTCATTAGTTAAGAGTTCACATAACTTTTCTATTATCCAGCCCACATCTCTCTGAATGGCTCACATCAAGGTCTTAAGAGATTTTTAAAGATATCTTCTTTAAAATCAAGGTATAATCTCTGTGGCATTCTCCTGATGTATTAGTTTAGTAAGGCTTTCAAAAAAGAAAAGGACATCATTTGGCACAAATTTTTCTTAAGGTTTTTATTGAAGTGTCAATAAATACCTAAGCAGTGTAGTTGAATTTGGAATTTTCATAAAGTAAAACCCGCCACTAAATTAAAGAGAGAAAACATCGCCTCCTCAATAGCTGCCTATTCATTACCCATGAAAAAACCTGGCACCAAACCTGTGGCTAGCTAATAGTGACAATGGTAATTAGCTAATGTGCATGTTAAAGGCGCTCTCGGAACCATTTGGACTGGGGAACAGAGAGAAGATCGGCCAGTTGGAAGTGAGAGGAAAATGGGGCACCTGAAAATTGTAGTCACAGATATGCTGAGGGAGGTAGTGCAGGCAGGGCATAGGGAGAGAATCCAGGCCCCGACTTGACTTGAATCCTGAACACCCTTCTGATTTTAATCTACATGTATTCTCAAGTCCTTTCTGTTTATTATTTATTTATTTTATTAGTAGTAGTATTTTTTTGGGAGACATAGTCTCACTCTGTCACCCAGGCTGACGTGCAGTGGCTTTGTCTTGGCTCACTGCAACCTTCCAGGTTCGAATAATTCTTGTGCCTCAACCTCCCAAGTAATTGGGACTACAGGCATGCACCATCATGTCTGACTAGTTTTTTTTTGTATTTTTCATAGAGGTGGGGTTTCGCCATGTTGCCCAGGCTGGTCTCAAACTCCTGAGCTCAAGCAATCTGCTTGCCTCAGCCTCGCAAAGTGCTAGGATTACAGGCGTGAGCCACTGTGTCTGGCTTAAATCTTTTTTTGAGACGGAGTTTTGCTCTTGTTACCCAGGCTGGAGTGCGATGGCGCAATCTCGGCTCACCGCAACCTCCGCCTCCTGGGTTCAAGCAATTCTCCTGCCTCAGCCTACTGAGTAGCTGGGATTACAGGCACGCGCCACCATGCCCAGCTAATTTTTTGTATTTTTAGTAGAGACGGGGTTTCACCATGTTGACCAGGATGGTCTTGATCTCTTGACCTCGTGATCCACCCGCCTCGGCCTCCCAAAGTGCTGGGATTACAGGCTTGAGCCACCGAAATCTTCTTTTTAAAAAAGATACCCTGTTCCTTGTATTGGAAGATACTAACAGTAAAACTGTGAGCCAGGGAGAATCTCCAACCTTATTTCGATCCCCACTTCCAACCAATTGATGGTGGCTGCCTGAAGAACTGTCAAAAATGACTCTGAGGCTAGGTTTACTGTAAAAGAGTATGTACTATGATATCTGTCATGTTGTTTTCTAGGGAGATGGAAGAGCGTAAGGATGTAGCCATGTATTTCCCATCTCTGCCCTAAGCCACTATCATGAAGAAATCAACAAGAGGTGGAATAAACTGAGTAATCCATCACCATATTAAGCTGGATATTCCTGTTTAATAAATATCTTGGCCGGGTGTGGTGGCTCACACCTGTAATCCCAGCACTTTGGGAGGCCAAGGTGGGCAGATCATATGAGGTCAGTAGCTCAAAACCAGTCTGGCCAATGTGGTGAAACCTCATCTAGTAAAAATACAAAAAAAAAAAAAAAAAAAAAAATTAGCCAGGCATGGTGGCGTGCGCCTGTAGTTGCAGCTACTCAGGAGGCTAAGACAAGGGAATCACTAGGGTATGGGAGGTTGAGGTTGCAGTGAGCCGAGGTTGCACCACTGTACTTAGTGAAGCAGATTTGGAGATGGGCTGGAGTAGGAGAGAAGATAATGAGCTTTAATTTTGGATATGTTGAATTTGTAGCACCTACAGGACATTTCCATGAGATTGAGGATCTGGAGGAAGGTATGCATTGGAGACAGATTTGTGCTAGATGTAATTCACTCCGTGAGCTTCTTCTTTTTTTTTTTTTTTTGAGACAGAGTCTTGCTCTGTTGTTCAGGCTGGTGGACTGCAGTGGTACGGTCTCAGCTCACTGCAACCTCTGCCTCCCAGGTTCAAGTGATTCTTCTGCTTTAGCCTCCCAAGTGGCTGGGACTACAGGCGCATACCACCATGCCCATTTTTGTATTTTTAGTAGAGATGGGGTTTTGACCAGGCTGTTGGCCAGGCTGGTCTCAAACTCCTGACCTCAGGTGATCCACCCACCTCAGCCTCCCAAAGTGCTGGGATTAGAGGCATGGGCCACCGTGCCTGGCCACACTCCATAAACTTTATGTTCCTTTAAAGTCCAGAAGAACGTACTTCCCACATAACTTTGATATTTTATTTCTTACCTGACTTCTTGGGAAATGAGGTGAGTCAGAGAGTTCTCACTCATCCCTGCCTAGTAGAAAGTCAGAAAGTTTAATTGGCACAGCTATTCTAGAAGAACTGGAAATGTGTTAAAAACTAGTTTGCCTTTAACTTTGACTTTCTTATAAAAAGTTGCTCTAAAATAACCTCTCATTAAAAGTTATGTGGGAAGCCGGGCATGGTGGTGCACACCTATAATCTTATAGGTTTGGGATGCTGAATTGAGTGAATCCTTTGAGCCCAGGAGTTCAAGACTAGCATGGGCAATATGGTGAAAACCCATCTCTACAAAAAATTAGCTGGGCATGGTAGCATGTATCAGTAGTTCCAGCTACTTGGGAGGCTGAGGTGGGAGGATCACCTGAGCCCGGGAGGCTAAGGCTGCAGTGAGCCGTGATTGTGCCACTGCATCCCAGCCCGGGGGACAGAGTGAGACCCATCTCAAAAACAAGCAAACAAAGTTATGTGGGAAGTATGTTATTCTGGACTTTAAAAGAACCAGCTAAACTTTACATGTTTTGAAATATACTGCTGACTCTTAGCCCAAAGCACCCAACTACATTTCTTACCCTACCTGTTTCACCAGATTTTTCTGCCCCTGACTCTGTTCTACTTTACTCTTGGCTGACTTGGAACTCTTTCATGGTATTTTTCATATAAGATTTAGACAACTGAACGACTGTTAGACATCATTAAATTTAATGGGGTGTAAAATTCTGCGGAAATCCAGGAACTTCAGTCTATTTTACTTTTTTTTCAGTCTATTGTATTTTTATTTATTTTTTTATTTTTTTTTTGTGACAGGGTCTTGCTTTGTCACCCAGGCTGGAGCGCAGTGGCGTGATCTTGGCTCACTGCAACTTCTGCCTCCTGGGTTCAAGCTATTCTTCTGCCTCAGCCTCTCGAGTGGCTGGGATTACAGGTGCATGCCACCACACCTGGCTCATTTTTTGTATTTTTTTTTTTTTTGAGACAAAGTTTCGCTCTTGTTACCCAGGCTGGAGTGCAATGGCACTATCTCGGCTCACCCCAACCTCCGCCTCCTGGGTTCAGGCAATTCTCCTGCCTCAGCCTCCTGAGTAGCTGGGATTACAGGCACACACCACCATGCCCAGCTAATTTTTGTATTTTTAGTATTGACGGGGTTTCACCATGTTGACCAGGATGGTCTCGAGCTGTTGACCTCGTGATCCACCCGCCTCGGCCTCCCAAAGTGCTGGGATTATAGGCTTGAGCCACTGCACCTGGCCCATTTTTTTGTATTTTTATGAGCAACGGGGTTTCACTGTGTTGGCCGGGTCTTCAACTCCTGACTCACGATCAGCCACCTCGGCCTCTCTAAGTGCTGGGATTACAGGCGTGAGTCACTGCTCCTGAGCTTCTCTGGCTCTTATACTTCCTCAAACTCTTAAGTAAAAGTATTTTCTAGAATTCTGTAGTGAGTCTTCCTTATATCACATTTTAGTATATTTCCAGCATGACTTCAGCCATTTGCATGGCTTCACGGTCATTTAAAATTATTCCTAGGTGTGAATTTCTAGCCCAGTCTTCTCAGTCCAAACCCAAATATTCAGCTGCTTATAGGACATCTTTATTTGGATGTGTTCTACAGGCACTTCAAATCCACTAGTCCAAAATGGAGCTTTCTTCTTCCTCATCAACCTGGGCTTTCTCTTCCGTTCTAATTTTCAGTGAATATTACTTTCAGCTACCTAGGAACTTAGGAGGCATTCTTGACCTCTCCACCTCCTTTCTCTCTCACATTCAGTGTGCCATGAAACCCGATCAGTTTAACATTTTAAAAGAGTATTTTCCTGGAAGAGAATATGATGTGATTGAAGACAATAAAATGGGCATGAGAATAGCCTACAGGGGAGACCAGCCTGACAAGAGAAAGGTTTTATTGAGGAATATTGGAAAATATAATTGAATTATTGAGTGGAAGAGAACCTTGGATAACCACTTAAAAGCCATATAGAATATTTCAGGGTTTGTGTGGCCATAGAAACCACCAAAAACTAGACGAATGAATGAAATGATAATTCGAGGCCACATTTTTGAAGTCGGCCATACAAAAAACTGGATGGAGACATGGATAGACCAACTATTACTTTCATAGCTAGAAATAACCATTTCTAAGAAGATTTTATTGATAACACAAGGAAAAAACTTATAATTTCCAGCTAAAAACTCAAAAAGTCTGACCTTGAATTTCAATGTGTGCTAATAAAAAATAGAAATAATAAATTCTCATAGAAGAAGACAAATAGTATGCATTCGTGATACAGCTAGGAGTAAACTGTGTTGACAGTACTTGCAGGAATAATATCTGAAAAGTTTTTATAAGGGCCAGATACAGTGTCTCACACCTGTAATCTCAGCACTTTGAAAGGCTAAACCAGAAGCATCACTTGAACCCAGGAGTTTGAGATTAGCCTAGGCAGCATAGCAAGACCCTGTCTCTACAAAACATTTAAAAATTTGCCGGGTGTAGCTGTGTCTGTTGTCCTAGCTACTTGGGAGGCTGAGGCAGGAGGATCCCTTGAGTCCAGGAGTTCAAAGCTGCAGTGAGCTATGATTATGCCACTATAATCCAGTCTGGGTGACAGAGCAAGACTCTGTCTCTAAGCACACAGACACACAAACGCACACGCACGTGTGTATTTGTTTAAGCCATTCCTTGACTATAGATGATCTTTATATATTTTAATATATATTTTAATCACCCAATTGAACTGTGATGATTTCCTAAAACATTTGGATTTCCATATGCCTCAATGAAAAATTAGGTTTAATAAACTACATTATAGTATAGCACATTATAAGTCACATTTATATATTGATAAACATGATAATTGCCTTTTTATTTGACTTAGATACTAATTAACTTGGAGTAAATGCACCCACCCCAATCAGTCAATAGTTAAATAACTGAGGAAAAAGAAGTACAAATTAGGCAGCTCTGCATGTCACGTTTCAAAAGGGAAGGAAACAAAAGAGTTAAACATTGCATGTTTTGGAAGTAAACTGTTATTTATGAAACAAAGATCTCAAAAAGTAAAAGGAACCCCACTTTATCTGATGAAAGTGCCAGGAATCTGGAAAAAAGGGCTCAATTTCAGCTTTCAGTTTGGAAATGCAAGAAGACTGAATTTTAGCACAGTAACTGAGAAGCCAGTAGCAGCCACAGAATGACTAACCTGAGTTAGTAAAAAAGTGTTTAAAAATGATGGATCTGATAGATTTAAAGCCAAAGCTTTCCTTTTCCTCCTAATTTTTCTTTTCCCCTCCTTTTTTTTTTGATTGCAATTTTAATAATAAAGCTTGATTGAATTCCAAATTACTTACATGAGGTCCTTGAAAGCATGACTCCCTATGCAGATAGCCATAGGTTTCCATCCTGAAGCACAAGCTCTGTACCTTGGTGTGGTTTGAAATAATGAGCAGAGCAGCTGTTCTCTTGGTTTAGCTGCCACAGAGCAGTCATCAATAGGCATCTGAATTCCAGACTTAATCTTAAGCCCCACCTCTCTGAAAAGGAAGAGAAAAAAATGTGTCTGAATTCTTCTCGTATTCCTGGACAGTAGGTGGAAAGTAGGCGGGCAGTCATCATCTGAGTGTTACTTCTCTGTTTCGGATTTCCCATTCCACCCAGTGATTTTACTTTCCACTAGAAAAAGTTTTCTTCTGAGTTTCTGAAGGTAGAAACAAATCTACAAGCAAAATCTCAAGTCTTTTTTCACATGTTTTCACACATACATATACTCAAAACTTTTTTTTTTTGAGACAGAGTCCCGCTGAGTTGCCCAGGCTGGAGTCAGTGGTGTGATCTTGGCTCACTGCAACCTCTGCCTCCCAGGTTCAAGTGATTCTTCTGCCTCAGCCTCACGAGTAGCTGGGACTACAGGCGCCTGCCACCATGCCCAGCTAATTTTTGTATTTTTAGTAGAGATGGTGTTTTACCATATTGGCCAGGCTGGTTTCCAACTCCTGACATGGGATCTATCTGACTCGGCCTCCGAAAGTGCTGGGATTACAGGCATGAGCCACTGCGCCTAGCCCTTAAAACATATTGACATGCAGCTTTGATCACAGAAGTAAAATAAAGGGATTAAATTAAAGGATTTTTAAAGGTTTCTTAATAGCATAGACCTCAAGATATTTAAAATTCTTAGTTTCATGAAATGGAAGGAAAATCAACTTGTTGCATTTTATCTAAGCTACATTGGAATAGAAAACAGGCTACATCTTAAAAATGAGGCATCTTGCTATTTTTGGTGCTTAGGGACCTTTATAAACAGATTGGTAGCAAGGGATACTGACCAATGATCTACTTACCAAACAACTCTCCATTTCACTGCAAATGCTCCTTTGACCACAGGGGCTGCCTCGCCTTATCTACCACACAACTTTACATTCCACTTAAGGAAATTCTTAGTTAACCATTATATGTTTATAGATTTTTAAGCAAACCATGATCCGAACTCTGTTTTATTGTATTTGAAAGAGACTGGGTTTCACTATGTTGCTCAGGCTATTCTCGAATTCCTGAGTTCAAGCTATCCTCTCACCTCAGCCTCCCAAAGTACTGGAAGCACAGGCATGAGCCACCGTGCCTGGCTTACATGGTCTGAACTTAAAGCAGTGTTGCAGTAAAAGAAACCTACTGGGCCACCAAAGAATAATTTTAAAACAACTCATTTTTTTCTTAGATTTTTCTTTTCTTTTTTTTGAGACGGAATCTCATTCTTGTTGCTCAGACTGTTGTCTCTCTTAACTAAAAACTGTTAAAAAAAAAAAGTCATCTTCTCCTCATCCTCCTTTTTTTAGCTCTTTATAGAGAGGCAGGAGACAACACTTCTAAGTGTGCCAGGGCAGGACCATCTTTTGTCAGGCAGATAAAGGCATGAATCCATGTGTAATATTTTTTTTGAGATGGAGTCTTCACTCTGTTGCCCAGGCTGGAGTGCAGTGATGTGATTTTGGCTCACTGCAACCTCCACCTCCCAGGTTTAAGCAGTTCTCTGCCTCAGTCTCCCAAGTAGCTGGGATTATAGGTGCATGCCACCTATAATCTAATTTTTTGTATTTTTAGTAGAGATGGGGTTTCACCATCTTGGCCAGGCTGGACTTGAGCTCATGACCTCATGATCCACCCTCTTCTGCCTCCCAAAGTGCTGGGATTACAGGCATGAGCCACGGCTCCTGGGCCCATGGGTTCTGGCTGTGTTGTCCAGGCTAGACCTGGGCTCCAGCGATCCTCCCACCTCAGCCTCCCAAGCAGCTAGAACTAAAAGTGTGCACTACTTTGCCAGCTTTCATAGATAATTTTTAAGCGTTTTCACTTCCTCTTGGTTAATCTTGACAGATATCCCCTCCTCCCAATAAAAATATCCAGGCCAGCCATGGTGGCTCACACCTATATTCCCAGCACTTTGGGAGGCCAAGACAGGAGGATCACTTGAGGTCAGGAATTCAAGACCAGCCTGGGCAACACACTTAGACACCCATCTCTACAAAAAAAATATTTTTTTAATTATCTGGGCTTGGTGGCACATGCCTGTAGTCCCAGCTGCTCAGGAGGCTGAAATGAGAGGATTGCTTTGAGTCCGGGAGTTTGAGGCTGTAATGAACTGTGATCTTATCACTGCACTGCAGCCTGGGTGACCCGGCAAGATGCTGTCTCAATAAATAAATAAACAAAAATATCCAATATTTAATGTACTGTCCATAGACTGCTCTAGGACAGTCTTGAGAACTTATAAATCAGCAGTGGGGGAGAAAATGCTGTCCAATAGAAAAACTGGCAGAATAGCACTAGGGAACTCACAAAGAAATTTATCATTAATGAGCACCTCCCTTCAAAAGTCTGACCTTATTACTGTTTGTTTATTTATTTTGAGACAGAGTCTCACTCTGTCACCCAGGCTGGAGTGGCACGATCTCAGCTCACTGCAACCTCCATCTCCCAAGTTCAAGTGATTCTCCAGCCTCAGCCTCCTGAGCAGCTGGGATCACAGGTGTGCGCCACTACCCTGGCTAATTTTTGTATTTTTAGTAGAGACAGGGTTTCACCATGTTGGACAGGCTAGTCTCGAACTCCTGACCTCAGGTGATCCACCCACCTCACCCTCCCAAAGTGCTGGGATTACAGGCATGAGTCACCACGCCCAGAGACATTTTTATTTTTATTTAATTAATTAGCTTATTTTTAAATATAAAGATGAGGTCTCACTGTGTTGCCAGGCTGGTCTCCAGCTCCTGAGCTCAAGTGATCCTCCTGCCCTGACGTCCCAGAGAGCTGGGATTATAGGCGTGAACTGACATGCCCAGCCTGAGTTGTATTTTTATTCTGTCCATTTGATGATCTATTTGAAAGCTATACTCCTTGTGATCCAATCTCCACGTTGAGTTGAAGTTAAATAAATACTAGTCTTACTCTGAAAGTCTTAGAGAACCATGTTGACCTTTATTGTAGATTACTTTAATTGGGCTGCATAGGAGTTTTATTCAAAACATCACCCAGAAAGCTTCTAAACATCTTCACACAGTTCTCCAGTTTCCCGAGTGTTAAAAATCTTCTTTTCTTTCTCTCTGCACAGGGTTCTTACCTCATCCTAATGCTCTTCTGAATCACCTCCTCCTTCATGCTTCTCCCTAACAGAGACTCATTCTGCAGGGATTCTGGTGAATAAAATTCTTAACCTACTTACACATCCTTAGAACAAATGTTTAACGAGCACCTACTGTGGGCTCTGCCATGAATAATCCTTCACATTTGGTTAGGTTTTTTCCTATCTACAGAGTTACTTTCACGTCCATTATTTAGACTAGGGGTCATCAAATCTTTTTTATAAAGGGCCAGCTATTTTTTGCAGTCCATGTCTCTGTCACTTCTTTCTCACCCTTGTGGTACAAAAGCAGCCATACATGATGCATAAATGAATGGAGACGACTGTGTGCCTTTGAGACTTTTTTTTACAAAAACAGATAGTAGTCTGGAATTAAAGGCATGAGCTGACATGCCCAGCCTGAGTTGTTATTTTAATTCTCTGAGCTGTAGTCTGTCAACTCCTGATTTAGAACTACTTCCTGATTCAGTGAAGTAGAAGTTACTGGTCCTGTTTATAGATGGAGAAAGGAATTGAGGCTCAGAGAAATTAAGTGGTTTGCCTAAAGTCACACAAACAAGTTACAAGTGGCTGACCCAGATCTCAAATCTGGGTCAAAAACTGTGACTGCAAAGTCACTGCTACTTCAGCCATACCATCCCGTCTGTCACTCATTCTGATAGCTTGTGTCAAGAGTGATAAGCTTCTGAACCTACATGCCACATGTTTGAGGAAGAGTTAGGTAAATTTTGATGTATCCACAAATCACTATGCAGTTAGTCAACATGATATTTACAATGTGACATCGTGGAGAAACACGAAAGGATGTGAATCAAAAGGCAAGGCACAAGATTGCATATAGAGTTGTGCTTGTGTGAAGGAAAAAAATACATAAAAGATTTCAGTGAGGTAACAGGATATTAACAATTGTTGCCTTCTTGAAGAGGTGAGACTGATTTTTTTGTGTGCTTGCAATTTCTACTTTTTCTATTTTATACTTTTTTTTTTTTTGAGACAGAATCTTGCTCTGTCGCCAGGCTGGAATATACTGGCATGATCTTGGCTCACTTCAACCTCCACCTCCCAGATTCAAGTGATTCTCTTGCCTCAGCCTCCTGAGTAGCTGGAACTACAGGTGCACGCCACCATGCCCAGTTAATTTTTGTATTTTTAGCAGAGATGGGGTTTCACCATGTTGGCCAGGATGGTCTCGATCTCCTGACCTCATGATCTGCCCACCTCGGCCTCCCAAAGTGCTAGAAGTACAGGTGTGAGCCACCGCACTTGGCCTTGCACATGTTTTTGCAATGTGCATTATTACTTTGTGAGCCAGTAAATAATAAAACTTTAAAAGTGAATGCATCTTGAGGATGCTTACAATTTATTTTTTTCTAGAATAAGGTGGTTGGATTGGTCACTGACCGGAACAGGAGAAATACATTTCACTTCAGATAAAGCAGAGAATACAGTTTTTAGCCAGGAAAAACCCTGGTTGGTTTAAGGCTAAGTTTCACAGAATGACTGAGGAAGTTGTGACAAGCCTTGGCCTCTGGGCAGACCTCATTTTTAGCCATGTTGCATGGTCCACCATAAGAGAACTAGTTTAGAGTCCCCTCTTTTCTGAGAGAGCAAAAGAGGAGAGAAGTTTCCTTTGGAGAAGAAGACTCCTCATTCCAACTGGCAGCTTTTTTACCCCTGGGTGCTGCAATGATGGCAATATGAACAAACATTAAATGTGTAGATACTGCAAATATCATCCACAAATCTAAAAATCATTTGCAATCCATCTTCTAGGAGAGGTTAATGTCATTTATGAGGGTTGTAACATGGAGAATTTTCTCATCACTGGGTTTCAGGCTGCAGATATAGGGGTCAGATGGGCTAGTAATGAGCAG